GACCATGCATTTTAAATTTAAAAAGTCTCCATATTACCTCTGGAGCAGATACATAACGTGTATTTAAAAATGTTGAGATTTCATCCCAATTTAAAATATTATCATGTTGTTGGGTTGCTGAATGGATTTCAATTATTGCATGATCATAACTTTTATAGACATATTGAAATAAATACTTAATACTTTTTATAGTAGAATAAATTTCAATATTAATATGAACATTATATTTTTTACAAAGGTATTTATTATAAGGTACTACCTAGCGATTATCAATATAGCACCCATTTTTTAGAAATGTGCAGCCATTATCAGGTCTATAATAATCTAGATATCCATCAACACTAAAAATAGTTTTATAATTAAATTTTTTTTGGATAACCTTTTAAATAAGTGCCTGATTAATATTTTGGTGTATAGAATTATTATCATGATTATTTTGAACAGCTATAATATGTGTATCATAATCAATCATAGTTTCAGAGGCATCTAAATCTCCATTAGATTGTTTACTATGTCACATGGCTCTCAAACGATGGCGGAGGCAAGGCATTTTCAGTCAGTTTGATTATAGATTTGAAGCTTATATATATATGTATATATATACTAGTATTTTCCCAGCCAATGTTAGGTAGTTGGCAAAGCCTCTCAAATTTACTAACATATCTTTGTGAGAATTTGCTTACATCTCACAATTTCCTTGTGAGATGATTCCTTTATTTTTAGCATCGGTCCATTGCTATCCATTGGGCCATAGGGAAACTTAAAAAATAAACAAAGTTTATTGTAGTTTGTTTTTATGTTTTAAGGTGTAGTAGGACAGGAGTTAGTTAATATAAAGCTTCTTTATATACAGTATTGATGGTGAATGTTGATGAATTGAATGGAATTAAGTGGCCTTATGTATGAGTTGTGTCAACTCGAATTGCAAGTTGTTGTGGTGATGTGCATCTTGAGAGTGCAACATAGAGCTGCCCATGGGTAAAGACTAGCTGGGGTAAGTAAATACCTACACGATCAAATGTTTGACCTTGGCATTTTGAAATTGTTAAGTAGTATCCAAGACAAAGAGGAAATTGTTTTCGAGACATATGGAATGGGACATCTGAATCAGAGAGTGTTAAGTTAATGTATGGGATAAAAGTTCTAGTACCTTTAAATTCACTTGTAATTATTTCACAGTCCAAAAGTTTAGGTGAAGTTCTTTTGACCATTAGTCGAGTTCCATTGCATAATCCAATTGTTGGAGATATATTTCTCAAAAGAATAACTATACAACCTTCTTTTAGTATCAATTTGTGTAGTGGTAGTCCAGAGGGAGTGATAGAGTTTAGAAATTTAATTGGGAAATCTTCATGGTGTTCAACATCAACGGAGTCAATGCTAGTATAAATTTGAGATGGACCTGGTAATTAAGAGATGATATTGTTGTTAATTGGAAATGTATCATCATTGAGAGGTGTTAAAATGGCTCTATTTGCTGCAATTTGAACATTTGAAATATCTTCAATACATAGGAATACGAAATCAGTAATAGAGGTACTTCTAATTAGTTTTGAAGGAAAAAGGATAGAATCAAGTGGTAAAATAGGGTTTTGTGTGTAATTATTTCCATCACCAACTTTCAATAGCTAATTCTGCCAGTCTGGGAACTTATGGCCAAGCCGCATATTTGTTTGCAATTGAAACTTTCTAAATAAATTCCATAGACTATTCATTCTTACAGATGTGGAAACAATCTATGCTCGATGACTATGTGGGACAATTGGTAATGTTTGACGGAAGTCACCACTTGTAACAATAACAATGCCACCGAATGGAGAATTGTTCTGTTTCAAGTCTCGTAAGTAGTGGTCGACAGCTGAAAAGGCAAGTGTATGAACCATACTAATTTCATCCCAAATAAGCACTTGTACTGCTTTCATAAATCTACCGGCACTGTTATTAGGTGTTAAACTAGAAACAGATGTATCATTAATTGGAACTGGTAACTTAAAGGTTGTATAGGATGTTTGTCTATTGTGTAGTAGTGTGCTTGTAATGCCTGTCCATGCCATACAAACCACTTTTTTATTGTAGAACTCAAAATATTTTACCATTGTATTTAATAAATATGTTTTGCTAGTACCACCAGGGCCATCAATAAAAATAAAATAGTTGGTATCGGTCGGGCACTCAACAATATTAACAATTTCATTGAATATAGCTAATTGTTCAACATTCAAGTTTCTAATATAATGATAAATTTCTGTATATAAATGGTTGCAATTTGGTATTGGTTGAATAGAGGTATTTAGGATTGGGATAGGTAAATTGTATAATTGGTTTGTTTTACCATGTATTTTCATTCTTGAGTTAATGTCTATTAGAGCAAGTTTATATCGGCATACAATATTTGTTCTACCAAAATCTTCAGAGAGCTGATCCTTAAAAACATCCCAAAGATATGGTGGGTCTTGTGGATTGCAAAAAATACATATGAAAGTAAAGAGTTGATGCAATTGTGTAAGCATTTGAAAATTGCATGCTTCTTGTAAATAATTATACCACTCGTTATCATCATCAAGAAGACCCATAGCAACAGTAGCTTATTGAAAGCTTTGGTAAGTTACATCATTAATTGTTTTAATATTGTTGAAGGATGTCGCTCCTTTTTTATGAAGAAGAATAATACGTAAGTGGTACAACTCGGTATTTAGAGGAGATACTGAGTATAGTTGAGGAATAACCTTTTTCTTTTTTCAACGTTGCCATACATTAGCAGATTTATTGAAAACATAATGTAAAGGTATTTCAACATAGGTATATTGTCTTGCATTCAGATCATGAATATTGAGTTCGAACCATTTTGTTAGCATTGTTCCATTACGTGCTGCTTTTTGTAAGGCATTGTGCTTCGAGCCTTCTGTAAAATACACATTTTAGAAGTCAGGAAGATGTACGAGCAGACGTATTATAGGGTGTAAGCGTCCATGCATTTTAAATTTAAATATCCTCCAAATAGCTTCCGTTGCTAAAATGTATCGGGTATTTATAAAATTTGTGATTTCATCCCAATTTAATACATTTTCAGACTGAGTAGCTGTTTGGATTTGAATGGTTGCACAATCATATCCTTTATAAAAATATTGAAAAAGATACTTAATACTTTTAATTGATGCACATATTTCTATATTTATATGGACTTTGTATTTTTTACATAAATATTTATTATATGGGACAATCCATCTGTTATCAATTGGAACATCATTTTTAAAAAAGGTGCGACCATTGTTTGGCCTAAAATATTCTAGGTACCCATCCACACAATATGTAGTTCCATCATTGAAGTTTTTGGGATAGTTTTTAAAGCATTTTTTGTTTTCCATACATGGACTTTGAGGATTTAGTAATCCACATGGACCATGTATCATATGTGATGTGATTATTTCAAATAGTTTGGGCTCTGATAAAGGTTAGGTAATTGAGCAGATATATATTGGTCAATAGTGTCACGGTCTTTAATTTTACTTTCATTATCTAATATGCCTAGGAAATGACAATGTGGCAAACCTTTTTTTTGGAACTCAATGACATATATAAATGCAATACATCTTCCAAAGATATTATTTTGTGTAATATCATGGAGAAAATATTTTAGCTTCATGTTAAAAACCCTAGCAACTAAATCAGGTCGGTCTTCAGATCCTTCATTAGGGTGCAGATTTTGTAATATCTCAAGCCATTTAGGGTTGCAAGTGAAAGTTATGAAAATATCAAGTTTTGAGTGTTTTGTTACAATTGCCATAGCATTTTGGTAATTTTGTTGCATAGCTCTTGGGCTTCCTGTAAAAGTAAAAGGTAAAATAACAATTTTTCCTGGTCGAGCATTTGCATCAACAGCTTTGCCAGCAACATAATCCATCAAACCTGTATAAAAATCAACTCTCATATTTTTTTGATTAGATTTATAGTATTGTAAATTGTTGCTTTCAATTTTGACATAGGCATCTACAATATATTGTTGGGTGAGTTTTCCAGCATGTAAAATTTGGTCATATGTAACTGTAGAGGTTGATAATGTTGAATCTCTTTTGGACAAACGATACGCATAATATTGAAAGAGTGTTACATGCTTGTTAGAAGAAAGCTTGTCATGCCAAGCTCTATCTCCATGTGGAAAAAGCAATGGATAAACCATAGGATCACAATTAGCATTTAAAATAGATATATATTGTGGCTCTGATGATTTTGGATGAATGCATATTTCACGGTCAAAAGGTGGCACACCATCTTCACTTTGGAAAACTATTGCAACATCACTAGTTTGTGGAGTATTATATCGACAATGGTCTGTGCCTTCATTTTTAATAAGCATATAAACTCCACGTAAATTGCTACCAGAAATAATAGTTCTTGAAATATTTTCCCATTCCAATTCATACATCATTCTAAAAGCTTGTGCATATAGATTAATATGTCAAAGTATCATATCTAGTTGAAGCAGTAAATTATAATCACAGTTAATGTTAAAAGGGTTTTGTTTTCTGATATCAGTAGCCTCATTGGAGTCTAGCATGTACAATTGACTGTAGCTTGGATTTTGATGTATTGAAGGATGTTGTGGCATAATTTTGTGATAGATTTGTCCATGAATTCTATAGTAGTATGGACCATAACCTGTAAAAGTATCAATGCTAGCTCCCATAAATGCAAAAGCAAGTGCACTATTATATTGTCTTATATTACTCTTGAAATTAGAGTGTTTGTGTGAGTTATATACAGAATACAAAAAAGGTGGTAATGGAAGTATTGAAGGCAGGTAGACCTGTCCACTCTGGCAACAAATAGACTTGTTCTCATCGGCAAAGTGTGAGGCATGACAATACTTACAAATATATGATAAGGGACCTATATTCAATGTCAAAACAGATTTATCATTATATAGGTAATTGCTAGCAAGTGTGCTGCAAATCTGAGGTGAAGGGGGCAAATAGGAATTGAAAATTGACTGCTGTTCAATGTGATTATTAAGATTTGTTTGATGTCAATTCTCTGTATCCTCTTGAATATTACTGTTGTAAAAGCTATATGTATGCTGGTGCTGGTTAGTGTCTTCAACATTATCATTGTACGTGGAATGTGTATGTCTGTGTCGAATAGCATTCAGTACATGTTGAAGGCATGACATTATTTTCAACAGTTTCTTTTGGAAATGGAGATCAATTATTAGGGCAGATAGAAAACAAAAGATATTTACTGAGGGGTATGGATAGGCATAAAAACTAACCTTTTCGATGCAATCGGGTGATGCCAAAAAAGAGCAGATCGATGTGTGTTACCTGATACAGTGTCTTCTCGCAAGACTTACATTTTTTCTACCTCACTGCAAGCGCCATGTTCGTCCACCAAATTGGGATCTACGAGGCGCGCGCTCCAATTGATCAGCCTGGGAATTCGTGGAGCAGTGCGGCGCCTCAGATCTGCGAGCTCGAATGGAGGATCATCCCGTTGCGTGGCGGCAATTGCAGATGTAGATGTTGTCAGGCTTCACGTCCAGGTGAGTAAGGCTGTGCTGAGTGAATGTGCTTTAAAGCATTTAAGAGCTTAAATCGCCTCATCCCATTTCCTGGCAGTGGAGTAAGAATGAAGATCATACAAATTCTACACACCACAAATACCTTGCTTTGATGGAACTCCTCACAAATAACAACTTGCAATGGGGTTCTCAGGAGCAAAGACACCAGCGTTGACACAGCGCCTCCGATTTGGATCGCAAATCAGCAGTAGCGGCAGGGGTTCTCTCACCGTCTCAAAAACCCTAGAAAAACATACAAAACAAAACCAAACTAGATCACGACACGATCAAGCTCGAATCCCAGCCAGCAGCAACGATTTGGGAGTGGATTTGCTTACCTACCGGAAGAAATTGCGATCCACAATCAAGCTCGAATCCCAGCCAGCAGCAACAATTTGGGAGTGGATTTGCTTACCTACCGGAAGAAATTGCGATCCACAGCATGCTTCAAGGGCCATGACGGACTTGATCCTGCCCAAAGTGATGCCATGGAACAGCAATCTCCAGTCAACACTTTGCATGTGCCACGCGTTGCCGGGCCTTCCTCTCTCGCCACACGCGGCTTGGCCGCCTCCCATTGGCCAGGAGCAAACATCAGCGCGATTATTCACTAACACATGGTTAAAGAAATAACCCCTTTACAGTTACCCCCCCATCGGATGGCCCCGATTGGCCAGATCCAGCGGCCCACAAAGTTCGGCATTTGCTCCTTATAGTAATAGATATATATATATTTAATTGAGTTTGTATAGAAGTTTATGCAGAATAGGAATGCAGACTGCAGTTGGATATATATAAATTTCACAACTATGTAATTATCTGAAAGGAAAATATTAGACTTTTGCAAAGCACACTCAAGAACAACAAAATAATTCCAATGTTGTGTTTACCAATCTCTGCCTCATAATCCACAACTTTGCAATTTTGAGCTCCAGCCCCAGGTGCTGCTCCTACGCCAGCATCAGGTTACCTGGCACAGCATCCCAGACACCTAAGAAAGCCCATAAGCACGCATCATTGAAACCAACCCTCAAAATCTAGGAAACTGGAACTAAATTTTAGATTCGACAGAAGCAATATCGGACAGAAAAAAAATCTCATCATAGAATACAAAATCTTACCGGCTGCCGTGGCATCAAAGGCTGAAATGCAAACAAAAAAGAGAAGCATAGCCTAGAACAGCTGCTGCCTGTGAGAGAAACCAATCCATCAGTCGCAGAAACGAATCAAAAAGGAAGAACGATCTAAGAACCAAGGACAAAAAGTAAAAAACTCTTGAAAGGAACCTGGAGTGCTCTTACATCGGCCATGGGCCATTGGCAATCGAATTGATGAGTGGCAGATGAATTTTTTGGAGCCCTAGGAGTGCATGGTGTAACACCTGTCACCACGCCCTCTTCTCTTTCCAGCCACACGTGTATCCCGCCCATTGGCCACCACAACATTGAGCTGATATTCCCGCTAACCATGGCTTCCGAGGCTGCCCCGGGCCTGGGTCTGGGTTCTTCGTTCTTATTATTATAGATTAATTTTCGTGCTATTGGATTGAATCACCACGAAGAAGTCCTGCTCTCTCATCTCAATCAATCCATGGCCAGCAGTAGCAGCAATGGCCAGGATCGCGACGAGGAAGCGCTGCTAGGAGGCGGCGGTGTCGATCCATTCGAGCAGATCGCAGGCAACAAGGCCCTGAGGCTGCGGCTGGATTTCTGGAAGGAGGAGGCAAGGTGTGATTCTCACCGCCCTGGCCCAGGCCACAAATTTGCCCCGAAGTCGCATATGGATCCCTTTCGTTCTCTCGATGCTCGCCTCGCTCGCCACAATCCTCGCTCTCATCTTCAAATTGGAGGATTGCGCGGAGCTCCAGCGCCAAATCGCGAGCGAGAAGCTGCTATCCAGGGCCCTGTTCCAGGCCAGTGACACGCTCAAGAGCATGGGCAACGATTACATCTGGTGCTGTAAATTCTGAAACACTTCTAGGAAGGTAAACAAGCTTGTCTTCTATTTTTCAAGTTTTCCTCTTTCTTCCCGCAGGTTTATCAAGGAGATCAAACAAGAAGAACAATCTAAGATTGTAGTGGCAACGAAGTTTGCTGCACTGCCATGGAGGTTTGGCCGAGGGAGCGTTGTCAAAGCACTCAAGGATTCTCTGGAGCGTCTCAATCTTTCGTCTGTCGATTTATATCAGCTCCACTGGTATGGCACTTTTAACTTGAAAGACGCTCTAAACTTCACGTCTAAATTAAATGGCAGGCCAGGCATATGGGGAAATGAAGGTGGTGTCTTCTTTCTTTCTTTTTTTCATTTTTACTCGTTTTCTAGTTTCTTTGCTACGTTGTATTTGTAACAGGATATCTCGACGGTCTTGGTGACGCTGTGGAGCAAGGACTCGTAAAAGCCGTAGGAGTTTCCAATTACAAAGGTGTGGCATTTCTACTTTGGAAACCAATGTAAATCCTTGGTTTGCTTCCAGTGGACAGGCTTAAGAGGGCTCACGACCAGCTGAAGAGACGAGGAGTTGTCCTGGCATCGAATCAAGTAAACTACAGCTTGATCTATCGAAAACCAGAGGAAAACAGCGTCAAACAAGCCTGTGACGACCTGGGAATCACACTCATAGCTTATTCTCCGATCGCTCAAGGTAACTTCCAGGCACATGAAATAAAAAGATGAGGATTCTCAAACATCTCACAGGTATCTTGAGCGGGAAATACACGCCATCAAATCCACCAAAAGGACCCAGGGGAGGAATCTACAATGCGGAGTTCCTGTCAAAGGTAATAGCTACTATTCTTTTTTTTGTTTGTAGTTTTGAACTTTTTGAAACTTCCTCAGCTCTCTCCTGTGCTAAACAAGCTCAAGCAACTAGGAGAAAAGTATGGCAAGACATCCACACAGGTTTTTTTTTCTGGTGGAGCCTTGAAAGTCACATAACTTACGCAAAGTTTTCTCGATGTTTAACTTTTCCAGGTAGCTCTCAATTGGCTGGTCGCACAGAAGAATGTGGTTCCCATTCCAGGTGCCAAGTCGGCACAACAGGTACTAAAAGAAAAAAAAAAAAAATTCATATGGTTTTTTCGTGGCTAAGTAAAGAGGCATCTCCACTTATCAGGCGATTGAAATCGCGGGGGCTCTCGGATGGAACTTAACAGCCGACGAAGTTGAGGAACTCCGGGACATTGCAAAGAGAGTTTCTCCAGTGGTTGGATTTCCCGTCGAGAACCTGTGAAGGCTTCCTTGTCTAGTTCTTGGAGAATCTAAAGCTTCTTTCTCTTGATAGAGTGGACTCAGTACGCTCTAGATATTGAACTTAGAAACGTAACCAAGTATGAACTAATCTCGTGACTGCTGCCTAATAAGTTAAAACACACAGCTCTTCCTGGAAGTTCCATTGGAATTGGTCAGGTCACTTGACGCGGTGGCGGCCACCATTCTATAAAATCCTGGGAACAAAGATCTCTCCACGTCTGTTGCTACTAGGCAGGCCATGGGAAATTCGCTGGGGTGCTGGAGCAGCGACGAGAGATTAGCGCAAATTCGAGGAGTTACCTTTGTCAACAACACTGGCAGTACGATCCAGCTAATGGAGAAGAATCGAGAGGTGTACGGAGGCTTGTTGTGTACTCTGGAGGCGCAGGCCCGTAGCGAGAAGCTAACTTATCCCAAGAACCAGCTCTACTATGCCATGGCGGTCCTCGCGCGGAGTGAAGATGGCCTGGTAATACCAACAAATCTGGCGGTTAGTTCCAGGGACATAGATTCTTACAGCCAAATCACAGTCTCTGTGAGAAATGGTGCTTACTTTCTCCAAGGCGTGAAGAGAGATCCTAGACAAGTGCTCGCTTCGTGATCTTGACGGGATAGTGGTCGGCGGGCCTTGGGTGTGGGAGATATACGAGCTTGTAGTGTGGATTCAATGGCTCCCAGCTGTGTTGGTGTGTGTGAGCCTTCCAATGCAAAAGATGGAAAACGTTATGCTTACTTGTATTTCGTGATGAGATGGTGGATGATGATGCTGCTCTGGATCTTGGAGAGGTTGCTTCCGGGACACTTTCGATTGCCCAAGCCGAAGGCAACGTACGTATGAGGCTGAGGCTTCTCGTTCTTGACACAGAAACTTCCGGTTAACGTAGGGAATACGACCAAAGAAACAAAACGCTTACAATCCAGCGGTCGGGATCAAACTCTCTCGGGTTCTTGTGCACGAGGGGATCCATGTGTACTTGTCGTAGCCACGCCTCTACGAACCATCCTCTCGGGATTGTGTAGCCTGGTGAATTCGTTGGTCAAGCATATATCCTTTTCAAAAGCTCTCTAGAAGTTTACTCACCGTTTAGCTGCACGTCGCTGAGAACTTTCCGAAAGACAAACGGGGAAATGTTAATCAGCCTCAGGGTCTCATCAATCACCTTCACAGAAAGTCAGCGGTCATAAAGAACTCGAAGAAACTTTAGCATACTCTAGACATGTAAGTCATGCTCCTCATGTCAGCTAGTGTAAGGCTTTCGCCAGGCATTTTCTTGAGCGCGATTTCATCTTGTTCAGCCTGCAAAAAACACTAAGAAAATATTCATACTGAAAGCGAAATGGATACCTTGAGTCTTTGGTAAACAGCAGGGTGCTCTTTCAGGAGGATGGCCAACCAGGTGACGAGATGTGCCGTGGATTCGTGCCCTCCGTTCATAAAAGACATGATCAAATCCACGATTTGATCATCTTCTAGAGGTTGACCGCCCTCGTCTGTGGCGTCCAGCAGCATGGACAAAGTATCTCCTCCTCTCTTCTTGCTTTCCTTTCTTTCGTAGAATATTCGCCAGAAGTCATTTGCCAACGTTGCGCGTGCCTGGACGAACCAAGCACAAACTTAAGACGGAGAAAAAAGAAGAAGAAGAAGAAGAAGAACAAGAACCTTGACAGCGTTACTGTAAGCAGTGCCAGGAAAGTTGAGTGGTAAAGCACGCAGACCCTTGTTCATGGTGTGAAACAGCCCAGACACCTGTTTGAAATCAATCCCTGTATCCTCTCCTACTAGAATCTCGTGAATAGTTTTCAACGTAAACTACAGAAACGACAGAAACAAAAAGCAGGTTAGAATTTTGCGGATTGTTTTGAGGCTCGCTCACCATTCTTGCTTCATCTAGAAAGACGATGTTGCCTCGATCCGCCCATTCGTCTAGCAATTTCTTCACGTTTTCTTCAATGCAAGGCATTTGATGCTGAATTGCTTTCGGTGAACTTAAAGCCGGCTTGACCAGTTTGCTGAGCTTCAAATGATCGTCGCCCGTCACTGCCGAGAGAACCTTCAGTCCCAGAAGCTCTTTCACCACTCGCTCTGGCCATCCGATCTCAAAAACATCATGGTTACAAAGCACGGTCTTACATACTTCCGCTGATGTGGCCAGAATGGTGGGCTGCCTGAACAAAAACGCTTTATACAGGCCTCCACATCCATACCTGCAAGAAAAGCAGAGGTTTTGAAAAGAAAAAGGAAATTAACACTTACTTGGAAATGAAACCCCCTACAAAGGACTCCGGATTGCTTGACTTGAAGGCCTGTAAGAAATCTCCCATGTTTCCGAAAACAGGCCAACCAAGCGAACCTGGTGGCAATGGTGGCGATCCAGGTCTAAGCTTCGGAGCATAAAACCAGCTGTTGAAGTTGAGAATGCACGAGATAAGGACGATGATCAAGGCCACTGCAATGGAAGGAAGCCAGAGATCCATCGCCTGCATGGCTGCACACAAGCGTCTTTTCAAACGCTTAAAGAGCTAAAAAAATTTGTCGCATTCTCTTATCGTATCAAACTCGAAAACTTTAGATTGCTACCTGTTTGGATTGGCGCGGAATCTAAACTGACGTGTAAGCTCTTATTCGCAGAAAGGAAAGACCAAAAAGTATAGGTCAGGTGTCAATACATCACAAACGTGAGATTTGAAGCGCTGGAGCATCCATGGAAATTCTTATGATAACCTGGAGACAAAGTCATGAAATTAGTGCGCATCATTTCAATCAAATCGCAATACCTTGCCAACACTTTTTCCAGAATGAAGGTACTCCACAGCATCACATGCAGAGCTTAGGCCAGTAAAGGGTGTTGGATCAACTGCAATCTGCAGAGAAGTAGGTTGTATTCTCGCTCAAAGAGCAGATAAGCACGATACCTTTAGCTTCCCCCGACTGTGTAGGCTATGAAGTTTCGCAACGTGTTCTTTCCAAAGCTTATTGTGATGCATTAAGTAGAATCCAACCTGGATAACCTTGTTAGCAAAGCAGCATTATGGCAGCACTTGCTTACGATGGTTTGCGATTTCCACAGCAACTTCTCGCAAAGTCCAGGATAGTTTCTTGGTTGCCATCCACCTTCTCCTTGATACTGCAAGAAAGCGTTTTCATATGGCGGCTAAAATACAACATTAACACACCTGTGATATCATTCCTATGACGATCAGACGTCCAAAAGTTGCAAGAGCATTCAGGCATGTGTCAAACATCGTCCCGCCAACAGATTCGTAGACAAGGTCTACTCCACGTGGATATTCTTTCTTCAAAACCTGTTCATCTGTTAGATACTCCATAGCACTTCTTACATACCGTTTTTATGTCTTCCGCTTTGTAATCTATAACCCTGTCCACCCCAAGCGACGAAAGCAATGCAGCTTTGTCACTTCCACCACAGGTGCCAATCACTTTATTGCCTGCTAGTTTTGCCAACTAAAATAGAAATCAAAGAACTATCACTTGTAAGTACTGATAAAAGCACTACCTGTACAGCAAATTGTCCAGTTCCTCCAGCTGCAGCGGTCACAAGAACAGTTTCACCTGATCTCATCTTGCCAGCCTGCAAACGGGATGGCAATCAGTCTTTACGTGGAAAGATAGCACCACTACCTCTTGCAAACCAAGAGAAGCCGTCAGTCCAGAGACAAGTATAGCCACAACTTCAGGAGTTGGGGAAGGAACAGGAATGACAGACTTTGCAGGAACCTGCAAATCTAGTTAGAACAAAAATTTCACTTTTCTTTTGCTAAACCTGTGAGTATTCTGTAAAACCCCCGTAGCTAAAGGTTGCAACAGCAGATCCTAGCGCAATCTCATCTAGAGCTACGCCAGGTCCAATGCCTGCAACCACTCCAACGGACTGCAAAGCGCAGAAAAGAAAAACTTACATAGAAATCTAATAAAAGTCAAAATTACCTCAAAGCCAGCAACAAAAGGGAGGCGCGACAATGCTTCTTTCTCATTTGCAAAATAACGTCCAGAGCTATAGTTCACCTGAAACATAAGCATATGTAAGATAAAAAAGAGTTGCACGCTTACTTACATCACTTGCATTCACACCAGCATAGTAGTTCTTTATAAGTACGTGGCCTTCTCTCACAGGAAGTCTTAGTGGTACCGTGACGATTTTCGTGGCCACACGAAAATTGCTGCTCAGCTTATGAACCATCCTGAAAACAGCAATTGTAGAAACAGGATCATAATATAAAAAATCACTTACAGTTGATCAAAGGACGTAGGCAGATTTGGAGACGGAAGTCCTTTCGATTCTTGAGGGATTCTTTTTCTTCTACCGTGTACCAGGAACTTGTTTTCCTCTTCTTCTGAAGGCCAATACTCCGGACCACGCCTGTTTGTTATCCAAAGACAAACACCTCCTTTGCTATCATCTTCAATGAGCTGAAAGGCCCCTGAGGAATAAAAAAACACGACGTTGCTTCTGAATAGTTAAATATACACCTTACCGTGAATAAGCTTGTCCATTGATAGATAACCTCCGGTTATGTCTATTATTTTCCTATCCAGAGACTTCGCCATTGGAGTCTCGATAAACTGGAAGCTAGCATGTATGTCAAAATCGAAAAAAATTGTAAACGGTGCACTGACCTCGGGACAGAGCGCGTTCACTCGTATTTTTTCTCTGCGCAGTCTTGATAGCGATCTCGTAAACAACACAACACCACCTAGAAAAATGTAGTGTTTCGACAGTAAAATGAAATGCGACCACCTTTTGAGCTTTTACCTTTACTTCCGGAGTAGATTGGCATCAGGGGAGCCGGATATAATCCCGCCGCAGATGCCAGGTTTATGATCACTCCCGGTTGTCCCCGAGCTCGCATTGCTTTGACCTGTAAAGCCCAGTAAAAGAGACTTTAAACTCTATAGTCATGGATGAGCTCGAGCACAAACACACCGCTTGCCGGGTACACTCCACAATTGCCACAAAATTCACATCGATCACTCGCCTCCACGTTCCTTTGTCATCGTTTATAAAATCAGAATTGCCTCCAATCCCAGCAGAGTTGATGCAAACATCGAGTCGTCCAAACGCTGAGTTGTGCTTCGCAAACGCGAGAGAAAGTTCCTCTAAAACAGCGAAGTATTAGTACTTGACATAAAAATGAGCTGTGTTTGTGAGCATACCAGGTTTTGTAACATCGCACTGGACAAAAATGGCCGCCGTGCCCGAGATGCCGAGCCTGGAATGGACTTCCTTCACTAGATTGAGCGTCTCCAGGCCATTTCCAGAGTCGAAATCGACAATGGAGACACTGGCGCCCTTCTCAGCGAGCGCAAGCGCTAGCGCTCGTCCTAGACATCGCAAAGAACAAAAGATCGGCCGAAATCCAGGCATGGAACACGAAATTTACCGATTCCAGAGCCAGCGCCAGTGATGAGCGCAGCGTATCCAGCTCCGATGATCATCCTTGCGGAAATTTTCGCGATGGCGACACGATCGAGGTCTTTACCTAGGGCTTGCTAGAGAAAGAGAAATTATAAAATTGCGGACATGACAAATAGCGATGTGTTTTAGCTCTTAGCATCAAACGATGCTTCCTGGCGCTTTCTTCCCAATCCCTTGGAAGCAGTGGCCAATAGCACGATGAATCACCACGAAGAAATCCCGCTCTCTCGTCTCAATCAATCCATGGCCAGCAGTAGCAGCAATGGCCAGGATCGCGACGAGGAAGCTCCGCTCGTCGATCCATTCGAGCAGATCGCAGGCAACAAGGCCCTGAGGCTACGGCTGGATTTCTGGAAGAAGGAGGAGGAGGTCGTGAATCAACGCATCGAGCGCAAGGAGCAGCGATTGCAGAGCGCCAAGAACGAGATCTATCAGCTCCTGGGGATCTACTTCGTGTTCCAAGGTGTGATTCTCACCGCCCTAGCCCAGGCGAACGATCTCTCCGGGAAGTGGCGCTGGATCCCCTTCGTGCTCTCGACGCTGGCGTCCATGGCCACGATTCTCGCCCTCGTCTATAAGCTGCGGGATTGCTCGGAGCTGGAGCGCCAGATCAAGGGCGAGAAGCTCATGTCCAAGGCGCTGTTCCAGGCCAGCGACGATCTCAAGAGCATGGGGAGCGCATTCGATCACAAGGATGTCCAGCGGCAGCCCCACATTACGCACAGGCCGCAAGATCGCCCCAAAAATCTTATCCCCAGGATCTGGGAAGATCACATGAAGGCCTACGGCGCATTGCTAGTAGTGATCTTGCTCATCTTCTCCACGATCATGGGAATTGCTTGCTGGCGAATCACATCGAGCAAAAATTGAAAGAGCGCTGCTAAAGTTCCGATTTTAGGGTTCTTGAGCACTAAAGCATATTCCTTAACGCTCAAAGGATATTCTTGGGGGGGTCAAAGAAGACGAGTTCGTCTGTTGTGAGGGTTTGATCACTCGCTTCTAGCACAATGCTGCGCCCGAGTTTCGTTATCCCGGTCACTCCAAGTGATGAATCAAACACTCCTCCTCAGAGTCTCACCCCTGGCACTGATCCCTACGCGCAAATCGCTGCAAATCCCGCGCTTAAGTTGCGCCTGGAGTTGTGGAAAAAGGAGGAAGAAGTCGTGAATCAACGAATCGAGCGCAAGGAGCAGCGCCTCCAGAACACTAAGAACGAGATCTATCAGCTCCTGGGAATCTACTTCGTCTTCCAAGGTGTGATTCTCACTGCCCTGGCCCAGGCCACAAATTTGCCCCCAAGTCGCGTATGGATCCCTTTCGTTCTCTCGATGCTCGCCTCGCTCGCCACAATCCTCGCTCTCATCTTCAAATTGGAGGATTGCGCAGAGCTCCAGCGCCAAATCGCGAGCGAGAAGCTGCTATCCAGGGCCCTGTTCCAGGCCAGTGACACGCTCAAGAGCATGGGCAACGATTACAACCCCACGGATCTCCACCTCTTGCCCCATCTCCAAAATCCCAAGACCGTGGATCGATCGCAGCTTTCGAGGATCTGGATCAGCCACATGGAGGGATACGGCGCATTCCTGCTAGTCATTCTGTTCATCTTCTCCGCGATAATGGCCATCTCGTGCTGGATCATCCACAACGACGGCTCCTCAGAACCCAAGAAGTAGTAACCGTCCGATAAGAAGTTTTTACACCGTCCGATCGGATTATAAAAATCATGGACAATAATGACCGGGACTTTTAGTAGGGTTTATAATCCGAGCAATCGGCCATTTTCTACTCACGCCTTTCTTTAGTATCGCTTCGAAATTTCTACGATGATCCATCGGCGCCAGCGATCCGGTAAGAAATCCATGGATTGCGAGTGAGCGAGCGCCATTAGGAGTAGAACTAGCGCCATTGCGAGGGCCAGGGCTCACACAATCAATGCGCGAGTCGAAAGGTTTCTATTCTTCCAAGTAAGCTCTTGCCTGGCATGATTGAAGCTTGCACTTTCAGTGGATTGATAGCACCTGCATTGTGCCGTGAACATAAAGTCGCAAAGTTTTTGAGTGGAGGGGACCAAAAAACCTGGATGAAAGAGGGATATGCGCTTCCATATCCTGCGATCTTCACAGGTGTGCTTCCGGAGTGACTTTTCTTTTGTTCTCTCTCTCTCACTGTTTAGGAGAAATCTCTGCTTTCTTTGCGGCTAAGTTGTCCTGGTTTTTATTCTATAAGGTGTCGTATTCCCTTGTGTTGTTGAGTCATCTTTTCTTGTGGAAAAGTCGGCTGCTTGAGCTCGTGGAACATTGAAAGTTTTGTGCTCACTTGTTTACATTGTAGTTCTTCCCGACTCTTTTCTAAATGTGAGATTTGCTCCAGAAGTGGCTGCTGGTCTTTGCTCCAAGTTTGCTTGCACCAATCCAAGATCTGAGGAAGAACAGGTGGTTTTTTCAGCGCTCGTCTCATGGGAAAGTATCCGACAGGTCCTACGAGCTGTGTTGATGATCCATCCTGCAGTGTTCTCATCACCAGCGTCACTCAGACAGGCCCTTTGATCGTCTACGCGTTTTGGGCTTTCGTTATCAGCTGCTGCTCGGCATTTCAGCTCTGGAAGGTTTTGAAGCTGCGAAGGGATCAGGTGCAACCTTTAGTCCTCCAGCGGAACGGGAAAGGCGAGAATTTTTCCTCATCTGATAGAAAACCTGGCGAAGATCATGTGGTAAATGTGGAAGAGGAGAAGGAGCTCCGAATCACTGGCTACACTTGGTCTTATTTTGGGGAGTTTTGCTACTTTCTCTGCTGCCTGACATCGCTTCACTGGATCCTGCTCCACTCGCTCTTACTTTTCGATGCATACAACAAGTGTCAAGTCGGTGGTGTGGATAACTTGTGCTTTTACGGGAATTATTCCGTGTTCGGGAGTTATGACTTCAATGGAAAGGTTCGCAAAAACGTTTTTGTTCTCGATCGAATCGTGGTACGACTTTGCCCTCTTGTTGCAGATCTTTTTCGTGGTCTGGTGGCTCTCGGCCATTTGGTTTACGGCTTGGGTAATATTCAAAGGCCGAGTAAGATTTTGGTTTCGAATTCCTTGCGGTCTTGAGTCTGCCGGAGTCGTCTTTATCTGGACCAGAGAAAGCGAGCAGATTTTGTCGACAAACGACTTGCCGCTCGTGCACTACGTCCGTTACTTTCGAGTAAGCTTTTCAACTTCTGTAGTATAGGGTGATTCACGTATGCTAAATTGTTCAATTTTGCAGAATTTCCTATCAACTTTTGAAGAGTTACATGGTCATTCCGAGATTGTCAAAATACTCACTACAAAGGCCGGGCAGCGGCATTTTTTCTTTCAAGGCCACAGGTTCTTGATCAAAGGCGAAACTGTGACAGACGTGCACTTCAAAGTTGGGGAGAGATACTCAGATTTCCTCAAGGTTTAAAAACTTTATTTATATCGTACTGTATCGGTGCGTCTAAATTATTTTTCTTTTCCATTGTTTCCGGTAGGAAGCCGAAGGTCTTACTGAAGGGGAAGCTGAAAAGCGTTTAGAAGAACTTGGTCCGAACGAAATCCCGTTTAAACCAGAGTCCCTCTTCTATTCTATATTCGATGAAACGTTCACGCTCTTTAAAGTGTATCAGCTCATTTCCTACATTTTGCAGTTCTGGAGTAGCTACTTATTCGTTGCATCGCTCATGATGTTTATTGTGGCACTGAGCGCTGCGATAACCATTTACAATCGACGTCGAGGCCAGTTCATGATAGCCAAGGTAAGCGTTGTGAATCAGTTTCAGATGGTTGGAAAACGTCCCTTTTTGTTTTCAGATCACTGAGTATGATACGCAAGTTGAAACTCTGAGAAGCGGTCAATGGATAAACCTTGCTTCGCGAAACTTGGTACCCGGGGATGTTATCAAGCTCAAAAGCGGCTGGGTGCTTCCATGCGATCTACTGATCATCAAAGGTTTGAAACCGTATGTTTCTCGATTTTTAACTAGCTTCGAGCAGGCTCCTGTGTTTGTGACGAGAGTGCTTTGACTGGTGAGCCCATGCCAGTGCAAAAATACGCTGCTCCCAACACCGACGTGCAGTATAAGGCCGATGGCCTTGGCTCGCGGCATACGTTGTTCTCTGGAACTACTCTACTTCAAGCAGGACAGGGCCATGATGATGCTCTCGCAATTGTCACGGAGACAGGTATATGTTTTTGCCATGGTTTTTTCTTTCACTATGGAACGCGTTTTTCTGTGACCCAGGTATGTCAACCTCCAAAGGCGAACTGGTCGCGACGATTTTGTACCCTCAAAAGCTCATCTTCAAGTACGATGAGGAGCTCCAAATCGTTGCCTGTCTTCTTTTTATCTACGCTATCGTATGCTTTGGTGTGTCCATAAAGTTTCAGGTATATATTCATGTTTCACTATATGAAATCATTTTTGCAAACTGTCTGTCTATTGTGGACCAGAACATGAACGGACAGCAGAGTATTTGGGTGACAAAGTGGATCTACTGTATGTTCATCATAAATCAGATAATGTCGCCACTATTGCCGGTCGCTCTTGAAGTTGGACAAATTCATGCTCTGGAGAGTTTAAAGGCACGCCTTCTTACCTCCTGTTTCCAGTTCCTTATGTTGTTCTTTCAGAAGCGTGGGGTGTTTTGCCTCAATCCAAAGCGCATAGCTATCGCTGGGAAGATACGAGTTTTCTGTTTTGACAAAACTGGGACATTGACAAAAGAGGGACTCGATTTTGTTGGAGTTCAGAGTGTCGTCACTAACTCCTTTGGACCAGTTTTATCACTTGAAGGGGGTCAAAGAATTGATGATATTGTTTTGCATGGACTTGCCACATGTCATGCTGTTACAAAGTTCGGAAAGGACTTGGTTGGAAACCAGGTTGAGGTAAATTTGTAATTTTCGCAGAAAAGCTTGGATGATCTTTTGTGTCATAGGTGAAAATGTTCTCAGCTGTGGGATGGAATTTGATAGAGTCCGCAAACAGTCCCCCAGTCGTTTCAGATGGTTCCGGATCACGGACCTTTAGAATCGTGAGACGAAACGAGTTTGATCAATCGAGAGCAACAATGAGTGTTGTTGTGGAGGACAACTCTGGAAACTTTCACATCTACTGCAAGGTTCTTGCGTCTAGCATTCGTAAACCTTTACTCATCAATATTTCCGTTCAAGCATGGCAGGGTTCTTTCGAAAAGATTAAGGAGCTGAGCAACGCACAAAGCCTTCCAGCGGACTACGAGGACAGAGCACGGCTTCAAGCTCTGCAAGGTTGTTATGTTCTTGGTTTAAGCTACAGGTGCACGCTGTTTCCTCAGTCTTTCATGTTTTGCAGCTGGCTTTTTTTACTGTTTTCTTCCAATGGCTTATTGCTGAACCTTGCAGATACCTTGGCCGAGAACTGGGATTTGAAGACATGTTAGCACTACCAAGGAATGAGTTGGAGAAGGACCTGAATTTTATATCTCTGGTCTTGTTTAGGAACGAGCTCAAGCCGGATAGCTCTGCAGCTATTCAATCTCTCAAAGCTGGAAAGGTACGTTGTGTATATTGATTCCGCTGGAAAACAAAATGCTCCTGGTCTACAGGTTCGTCCCGTGATGGTTACCGGTGATAATGCTCAATGCGGCCACTATATTGCTAAACAATCTGGTATGTTCTCATCTGACTGTAAGATACTACTGGGTGATATAACGAACGACAACAGGTTGGTCTTATTCTTTATGAAAGATCTTTCTAACGATAGCTTTGTCTCTGTAGCGTGGTATGGTCTTCATTGAGTAGTGAAGTGACAACGGGTATAAGCCGCATGACCACCGAAGAACTACTTCAAAGTAGAGCGAGCTCACTTGAGGACGGGACCTTGGAGCTTGCGCTTACGGGTAAAGCTTTTAATCGCTTACAAGAATCCAAGAGAATGGACGACCTACTTCTTTACACACGAATCTTCGCAAGATTCACTCCTTCCGATAAGGTTCATCTTGTTCCCTTTGATAATAGTCTCATGCAGTTGTGGACTTAACAGGAGAAAGTGGTAACTATGCATAGAAACCATGGCCTAATCGTGGGAATGTGTGGTGACGGTGGAAACGATTGTGGAGCGCTAAGGGCCGCTCACGCCGGCATCGCTTTAAGTGCTGCAGAAGCATCGGTGGTGTCTCCATTTACTGCCCGAAACAAATCGGTCAGTTCAAGCATTTTTCTGAAATAATCGCTCAAAGTTGATGTTTTCTTTGTAGGTCCAAGCTGTGGTAGATTTACTACGTGAAGCGCGAGGTGCTCTCCATACGTCATTCGCATGCTACAAGTTTCTGATTATTTATGGCCTCCAGTTCTCAATATTCAAGCTTTGTTGTTATTGGTAAGCTTGGACTTTCGAGATCTTCCCGACGCTTAGCGCTTTCAATCCAGGTTTGGGATTATAGCCTGCCAAATGGACTACATATTTATTGATGGCGTAGCTGTGCTCAGCCTTGGTTATGCCATGTCTCGGTGCAACGCTGAAAAAATACTCAACAAGGTCCTTACACTTGTTACCTTGAGTCTATGAAATGTTTAACCGTGGTAATGACAGGTGAGGCCTACTTCCAGTTTGCTTGGACCTTTAAACGTAGCATCGGTGCTGGGGCTATGGGGAAGCAACGTTGTGTTCCTGGTGGCTGCAATTTGTTTCATGGCAAGCCAGAAGGATTACGTGAGATGGCCGGCACAGTAAGTGATTGGTTTTGTGAAGTTCGTGCTCAAAATCTCGTTTGTTTCAGATACTCTCATGGTGCAAGCTGGTGGACGCTGGGTGACAACTGGGAGTCCACAGTGTTGTTCTTCACAATGTATTTCCAGTTCATCACGTCCGCATTCGTGTTCTCGTTTGGCTCTAAGTTTCGAAAGACCGTATTCAAAAACTTCGCTTTGATGGTAAGTCTTCTACTTTCAAGTAGTTTCAAGCACTTAAGTCTTTTCCGCGCAGGTTTCGTACTGGTCATTGATCGCTGTGTGCTCTTGTCTATTACTTCTTCCTCACAACAAGTTCACGGAAGTATGGCACGTTGCAAGCGAGCAATTCAACCGTGCAAACCCCGCCTCTCCAGTTTGGGCGTCTTACCAGGTAAAAAAAACTCTCATTCTTTCCACAACTAAATCATATCTCTTCGTGTTTTCTTCCAGAAAAATGGTGGACAGCCTTCGCCGGCCATGAGCTTTGATTTCCGTTTCAAGCTATGGTGGATCATTCTCGCGAGTCTCGCCATCAATGTAGCTTGGCAAAAGGTTTGATGTTTTCCATTCCAGAAGAGAAGGAAAAAAAATCTCACTTTGCGTTCCAGGTCGTAGTGGAAGGCCCACTGGCACGGATTTTAGCTGCGAAGTATCCCTCAAAGCGGCCAAAGCTACACATATAGAGTATATTCTTAGAATCGCCAAGAATGTACGGTACCAGAAATTTATAAATCTCAATCCTGATTTTAAGATTTAGGGCCTTGTGGAATGGCGCGGGCGATGGCGATTTCGGCTCTACCGGCTGCGCGTCTCTCGAGAGTAGGCCTCTGGATTCTTCCCACATTTTTCTTTTCTTTCTGCGAATGGGATTGGATTTAGCCAGGCTTGCTCCGCTTCTGACAAAGACAAGCTCCAAATTCCCGCTGCTGCTAGTGTCCCCGAGCTCAAGACGACGATCTTACGCTCTGTGTCTAATACAAATCGTGGTAAGGTGAGCTTGCTCTAGATTTTCTTTCCTGATTTCTCTTCCACGCGACCGCGACTCTTTTCTTTTCGTGGATTTCCTATTTCTTAGGATGCAACGAGTGAGCAAAAGCAAAAGATCTTGTCACTGGTGGAAGTAAGAAAACTTTTGTGGTTTGATTATTACGTTCTTATTCTCTTCTGTCTAGGAACTAGAGCGTATGAATCCCACGGAAAACCCAGTAAACTCTCATCTTTTGTCTGGAACTTGGGCTTTACTTTACACGGCTCCACTGAATGGTATGCTTTGCAAGCTTTCCAGGCTGCTAATACTTGTTCTGCCATTCCACGCAGAAGAAATTGTGGATAGATATGCTGGCACCGAAGAGGGCCCTTTTCTTTCAAGAATCAAACCACTGGCATTTGGAACTATCAAGCAAACTCGAAGCTTGCAGGTAGTGTTTCCTCATTTCTTGTTGGCAAGCCTCTTTTTCTTTGCGTGCAGATTATCGATTCCATCAATGGGAGCGTGAAAAACATTGCAGACTTTTCCTTTCTTGGGATCAATGGTATAAAGTTCTTCTATTCTTTTGGTTCTTTTCCTTACGATAGCTTTTGATCCTCGTAGTTTAAAGCTGTGCAGGTTCTCTGTGCATAAACGCAGCAGCCGTAAAATCTTTGGAGCCTGACACACAAGGCGTCCGCCTGCTCGTCACGTTTGAGAGCTTTGTGTTGACGATCAACAGGATCCGAGTTGCCACCATTTCTCTCGCGTTTATCAAACCAAAGGGGTAAGAAAGCAGCTTAAACCAGGATCTTTCCGTGACTTTCTTCTTGGCTTGCAGATGGGTTGACACTACGTACTTGGACGACGATATGAGAGTCGGGCGAGGTGACAAAGGATCCATTTTTGTTGCCGTGAGAACGAAAATGGTCCCATCACTATAATTTCGATCCAGGTGATGATCCATTCGATTCTCGGTTTTTGCAAAGGATCAACTTACGAGCTGCCGCTATCAGAGACTCGAAGATCACAGTGACTGTTGCATTTTGCTCTCCGGATCTTCTCACATTGCCGGAGCTTAGAAAATGATATCGCCAGGCTGATCAAAACATTTGTACCAGGGAAGATGAGAAACAACGCGCTTCACTCTAAAAAAGCTATCCAGCCGGAGTATATTCCAAGAATCGCCAAAACTGTACGGCACAAGCCGCGTACGGCAGCACTCCCCGTACTATCTTGTACGGAGTGCTCTGTTTTTAGGGCTCTTCAAAACTTTCTCTTGAACTTCTTGACGGCGAATTGGCCGTTGCGGCGCGCGGAGACGACGATCCGGTCGTGCACGGCGAGATCGTCGGTGTCGATGAGGATCTGGGTGTTCCCCTCCTCGCCGCTGGTGTCGGTCTTGGCCAGGAGCCCCATCTGGTAGTACGTCATGGTGCCCACGAGGTCGGCGGGGACGATCTGGGCGGAATTGGGGAGGACGGAGTGGCGCAATCGCCCGAATTGGTTCTTGTGCTTGTCGCGGAGCAAAATCGTGTGGGCGGTGTTGTTCACGATCGATGTCGTGCCCTCCCTTTGATCATCGCTGAAAGAGCTGGAGCTGGAAGAATCGGAGCTGGAGCTGGGACTGGAATTGGATGTGGAATGTCTCTCGCAGATTGAGAGTGTCCTGCTGTTGGAGAAGCACCTCATGATCCTCCTGGAGATGAAATGGAAGGACACCTGGTTCTCCTTCGCTTCCTCTTCTTACATTTATATCGTGGGGAAATTCTTTAACGTGTAACGTGTTTCGTGTTTCTCTCCAACCACGAAGCTACCAATTGGGAGTGTGACAATGTCACACGCTTTGACGAATCCATGACCACTGTGACCTTTAGGGCACACGTCATCGAGATTTTCCCGCTACTTTCTGCTAGGGTTCTTCGCGATGGGCGATGGCGGAATTCTCCATCTCCATCGCATTGCTGTCGCGATTGCTACATTCGCAAGCCGGAGAGCGACCGCCATCGCCGCCTCGTCCTCTCAAAGGATTTAGGGCGAAAGGCAAGTTCACACTGCCACACTGCCAGTGTCGCCGTGGTGAGCAATTTCTCTTCCTTTGCGGAATCTCTCTGAGGGTGCTTCTTATTTCTAAGATTTTTCGGTGTGGAGAACTGCTATTTGGAACAATCGACCAGCTTGCAGGTAATGTTAATGAATTTCTTTGTCGTTTGGAGAAGTTCTCTTCATGTTTGCTTGCAGATTGTGGATGCGGAGCCTGAGAATTATTACAGAGTCTTCCTTGAGGATAAAAGGTATGGAGTTTTTTTCTTTCTTTCTCCGTTTAAAAGAGATTCTCTCGCTTTTATCTTTTATCAAACCAAGGCACAAGCAGAGACATTCACGGTTGATCAACACTACGTATATGGACGAAATATCAATCCAGGTGATGCTCTATATGCATTAAATTCCATTCGATCTATTTACGCTTGCAAAGGATCAACTTACAAGCTGCTGCTATCAGCGCCGTGAAAGCTACGGTCGCGGTGACAATGGATATCTTCCATTTCACCACCGTTTTCCTCGCGGGAGGAATCATGACTGGCTGATGCTCCAGATTGTTAGGATCATAGTCTGCTCCAAGTCCAAGAAAGCGCTCCATCGTCCGCGCTACGGCTCTCGAGTTGGCCTTCTCGAGATTAATCTCATGCCGGATCTTCTCACATTGCTGGAGCTTATACCAAACAGCAAACGCTACCGCCATGCCCGCGAAGATGGTCAAAACAAAAGGGATCCACCAGAGTCCACACTCGAGTTTGGAAGACTGGGCCAGAGCAGTGAGAACCACGCCCTCGAAAACCACAAAGATCCCAAACAACTGGTATGTCTCGTTTTGAGTCTTTGTTAGCGACTGCTCCATTTGCTCGATTCGTTCTCGCAGAAGCTCGTCTTCGTTCTGCCATAGCCGGAGCTGGAGCAGCAATGCTGGACTGGATTCAATCTCGTGCAAGACATTCCTCGCTCTCGCAGGAGTCGCTGAAGTAGCACCTCCACTCCCAGGTATTTCTTCTGAACTGAAACTTGACCTTGGACTTAGAAAGGTTTCAGCTTGAGTTCTTTCAGGAAGTTCAGTAACTCGATTACTACCTGGTTCGTCCAAGCTAGGAATTTCGTGCTCCACTTCGCCAGAGGTGCTTACATTCGTGAAGTTTTCACTCATATCGTTGCTCTCGAACAGGGAAGAACCAGGATTGATCGCCTGTGGAGGAAAAGTAAACGGCTTGACGTGCGAGACGGCGATGCGTACAACGACGCAGCACGTCTCGCGAGTGTAAACAAAGCTCCCAGTGTTTCTTCCGGCTATCGTACGCGTCTTTTGTTGGTTTCGTCTCTTCCTGCAGAGTAAGCCATCTCTTTTTTTCTTTCATTGTTTTGGTCTTCTCCCTCGTATTCAAGCGCGTGCTCTCATCACTAACGTTTGACCGCAGCCTCTAGCGGACGATAGGAACAAAGAAAAGAAAAGAAAAAAAAGGAGAGGCTCTTTTGGGGATGGGAAATTCTTGGAGCTGCTGCTGGAGCTCCAGATCGCGCGAGGCAGACGAGGCGAGCGGCGAGGACAAGGTCCCCAGCGTTTTAATCCACAACAATACGGACAGGACGATTGGCCTCCGCGACAAGGAGAGGGAAGTCTATGGCGTGCTGAGGTACAAAATCCCCGCAGGCGCGAGAGAAGAGATTAGCGTCGACTTGAGAGAGGCAGGGACTTACTACCGGATGGCCGTGCTCGTCATGGTGGACGAGAAGAACGATAACAAAGTGGAGCCGACGCATCCACCACTGTTCATCGACACGGAAGATCTCCACACCCAAAAGGTAATCACGATCTCTCGGAAGGGCAACAGGTATGTGCTCGAGAAGGAGGCCCGAGCTCACTTCAAGAACGGCAGTAAGAGCAACGCCGGAGTGTCCAAGCGGAACTCCTCGGCAGAAAAGGAGGCCTCTTGAAAAAGAAAGTAAAAGCTTCTGATCATCGATCGATCGATTACTCGTCTTGAGAGTGTTTTCAGCGCCGCGTGTTTTATTTCGTTTCGAGGATCATGTCGATCTAAGTGAAAATGCTATCCAGGCCAAGTTTATAAATAATCATGTTTTCATTCTAAGAACTTGACGAGTTTGACTCGTTGACCATTCCTTGGGAAGATCTTTGATTTCCGCAGGGGAGTTTCTTCGTTTGATCTACCTGGATTCCAAGAAGTTTGGGGAATCGCCAAGCGAGAAGAATGCCTGGAAGTGTTTCCCATTCAAGTGGAGCGGGAATCGATCGAGCTCGAGCAAGGAGAAGAAGGCCAAAGTTAAGAAAGAGGTGAAATTAGAGAGTAAAACAGCGGTAATTGTTCCTTATTCACCGCAGGAACTAAGTTCGAAGAGTTCTTTCTGACCAGCAGTAAGTGTTAATCTCGGCTGCTTAACTGTCAACTGAACAATGGCGGGATGGTAGCGCACCTGGCATCATATAAGAAGGTTATGTGTTCGAAACTCTCCAAATATTTGTTCTTGCCGAGAAGCCCTAGATAGATTTTTATCCGGACTGGGAGGAAAAATGGAAGCCGGAAGAAGCACTAGTAAGTCACAGAGCAAGAAGAGCAAGAAGAAAACGGTAAAAGCAGTGTGATTTCCTACATAGTTACTCGGTCTTATGTTTTTTCCTGTCTTCGTTCAAGGCTGAAATGGAGTTTTGCCCAACATGCTCGAGCTTGCTGCTTGTGGAGCACGCAGCAAGGCTGAGGTATTTCTGTCCAACTTGTGCTTACATTTACAACATCGATCACGAGGTTCTTATAACTCTATGAGATCTTCGCTCCTTTTAACGCGTTTTCTCCTCCCATTGATAAAACTTCTTGCTACCTTGTCTCAGATAACCAAGAGGATTCCACTCAAGAACAAGGAAATGGATGATATTCTTGGAGGCGAGGACGCATGGAAGAACTGTGATCGGACGCCTAGTAAGAACTAGTCTTATTTTCCTTCTCATTTCGAAAATTTCATTGCTTTTCAGTCACTTGTGCCAAATGTAACCACGAGCATGCTTATTTCATGCTAGTTCAAATCAGATCTGCGGATGAACCAAGCACTGCATTTTACAGATGCTGCAATCCAGATTGCTCCTACCGCTGGAGAGAAGACTAGACCCTTACCTTTGTTTATTTTTAGTATTTTGTTAATTTTACTTTATTATTATAAACTTTTGAAGTTAAAAATAGTAATGTTTTAGGTGATAATTAGAGAAACAAAGTGTCTTATTAGGGAATTTTAAAGAACTGAATTAATAGAGTAATAAAAGAACAATTATATGATAAAACTTTAAGAGCGATTATCAATGTGTAAACATTATGATGGTTTACTCAAGTAATTTCAAATTATTATCTAGAAAATATTTTAAAGCAATGCTATATAATATAATGGATATAAAAACTCTTTGCAAATAGTATAATCTATTTAAACTATAAAAATCTGTCTTATTGATAAGTATATGTCAGGAGCGTTTTTGGACATGGTCGTATATATAAATATAATTATAAATATATTTTATATTAGTGTACTTTTGTCAAGATTTAAATTATAAACCTTCATATATAGAATTTATAAGCAATATCCATATATAAACATGGGCACCTTATTGTATGTCATACTTCTACTTTTACTCCTAACAATTAAAAGTAACAAGACACTATATCAACTAAGTATTCTGCCACATCAATAAGAATAATCTTGTTTTGTGCTAATCTTGAATTATGCCATGGCAAAAAGGCGGTGAAAACTAGTTGTAGTGGGAGTGAACTTCATTTTCATGTGATTGAAGTAAGTATTACAATTGTCTGCCCAAGGAACAGGAAGAACTCAAGAATTCTAAAGCTTTAGAGACTACACCCTATCATGCTCTTTAACTTCAAATAAAAATTACTACCTTCTCTTCTAAAAGACCCTAGTAAATAAAGTAAAGTTGGACCTCTGTTATGAAAAAGAGTTATATAAAGAGTGGTCATGGTACTAATTAACAATTTTGAAGTCTTGAAAATATATCTAACAAGATTCCTAGAATACTTTCATATTTCTACTTTAACTTTTAAGTTTTTGATATGCTTTAATTTAAAATTAAGTGCATCAAATCACTTGGCCTAGTAATCCAGCCAAGAGAGAGGCATCAAGCATGGTTTTCAGTGATTATGTAAATTTTCAAATTGTCTAGGGATGGATTGAATACTCAATCTTTTTAAATTACTTTTAAAGTACATGGATCTTCTGCACTACCAAGAATTTCTAATATACTCCTAAAACTATTACTATAAAATGTTAAGGCCATTACCAATAGTAGCCCTAGAACTTTAATTCTAAGAGTTAATCTAGCTAGAAAGAAGTTTACTTGCCAGTGAGAAAAAATTTTAGAGCCAAAGAAAATGAAATTTTTATGGCTTAATGGGCAAGTAAATAAAAACATATTCTATCAGGTAGTATAATAAATGAGATTTGCAAATCTTGGGAAATATAGTTAATGAAAAGAGCACATTCATTTGTGGGGGAAGGCAAAATTTTAATCCCTTAAACTATAATATCCATTTAGCAAATTTGTGTTGCTATGGGGATATCTTTTTGCTCCAAATGCATTATGATGTCATAAATACTTCAATTCAATTGATGTCCACAATTCTATAAAAGTTGCTTCTATTTTTATTTGCTCTCTAATGCTAGCACTCATATACTTATTTTGACCTATTTCCTTTGCCTTGCTGGGCATTGAGGAAAATATATAACAATTTCAATCCATAACTAGAATATTTTAATACTAAAATATGCTAATCCTATACTAGTAAAAGCAAGATATTGATAAGCTAAGTTATATGTCGGAGTAGTGAGTGGAGTAATATGTTAACAAAAATGGAGTAGTATATTATATATGAAGAGTATCTGATGTGATAATGTTTTGAGAGTATTAATTACTCTGGAGGAGGTTTACTTACTCCTTCCATGTGTTTTAAAATATTTCTCCTTATTTTTCTTTAATGAGTGGAGGGACCATACAACTATAAAATAGTACCAATTGACTATTATGTGCAAAACAAATGTATTATAGAATGTTATATAAAATTATTCCAAACCATTCTATTCATTGGCATTTGTATGATGAACAAGAGTGAGAGTGTTATACAGAAAGACATCAAATTCCTCAAAATTAAATTAATAATAAAAAATGGTGTAGGTATAATGACTAAAATTTTAAATTCTTAAAAGGCTTATGGATGTAGGATACATGGGAACAACATGGCAAATAATTCACTTTGGAGAATCTTTGTAAAGCACTACAGTAACAAGGAATCAACTTTAATCAGCATCATTACTATTGTAATACCCACTTATATTTCCCTTTTAACCTATGGTCTAGAGATATAATTTATTCAATCTATCTCAGATTGAATGTATCGAAGCAGGTTGTTGCATGTAACAAAATTTAGCAGGATTTTCCCTGTAGCCTCATATTTATCCTAATACTAGGATATTCTTATAATGTTCACTACTATCATAATTTAAATCTCATTTAGTTTTCACATTTTATAGTACTTTTATCACTTATATTTGTTTTATTAGTTTTAAATATGCACCTTCATGAAAGGATTTCTTTAAATTAATTTGTAAATATTTTAACTTGACAATATTATTCTAATAATATTAATATAATAAATTATTTATTATAAAAATAGAGAAACTATTTTATTAGTTAAATTAAATGATTATTATTTCATACTTAGACATGCAAAAAGTTTTAACCATACCGGTACCATCAAGAGAAAACGTCGCATTAGCAAAGAATTCTAGTTAGAAAAAGCATGTTCTCTCACCTTAGAATAGATGAATAGTTGACAAAACTCATAAGCTAGTTGTCAAGTTGGAGGTTTTGTGACATCATGTCTTCATACGTCACAAACTGTTACATTTAGTAGACAGCAATGACGAGCAGCCAACACCACCCGGAAACAAATTTGACAAAATACAAGCTGGAAGATTTTGATTGCATTTGGCAGTTTTTGATAGTCCGAGCGGACAACATCCAAACAAAATAAAATAATGCAAACTTTGTGTCGCCACCCGTGATGTCCCACCCACATTTTAAAACCATAGCCAACGGTGCCGATTACCAGAGCGGAATAAAAGATTATGATACCTTGGAGTCAAAAGAAACAAAAGAGAAGATACCCATCTTGGAGTCAACCACACCACCCATTGCGCCAGGTGGCCACATCTGCAGCGGACCACGCCTCCTCTTACGTACATCCCGCGCCGTGTGGGCCCAAAGTTTAAACGCTTACGACAAGCCGTACATCTGTCCACATTGAATGGCGGGAGGCGAGAAGCCCTAATAACGCCTCGGTAAAATTCCAAAATAGAAACCCACTATTTATGAAGCGCGAGTATCGAGGAGGGAATAAGCCGTCCTTAGCTAATTTTGGTTTTTTACTGAAAGTGAGAGAGACGTCGGTAAAAGCCATGCATGGCATGATCATATGCGCTGTACCTTAAAATGAATGGTGACGCTGGCCGTGATGGATGCCCATGCCATGGTCATGGCCATCGCATCCCATAGGGGTATAAATCTTAACGTTTTGCGCTTCACCACAGGAAAGCTTTTTTTCTCCTTCCCCTTCGTTGGCTTTTCTTTGGCGCTAGCGTTCTTCCAAGATTTCCCTTTCTCTCCGACGGATCCTTCGATCTCTTCCTCCCGCTGCCAGATTTCGATAGCGCGCGGCGCTGCGCGGAGCTCTCCTTCGATTCGCCGCCTTCTTTTCTCTTTTTGTCGGCGGCTCGGTCGGCGGCAGCGCTTCTCCAAGATTTTCCATCCAAGATTCCACGGCGGCGCTGGATTTCTCTTCTTCGAATCCGTCGGCCGCTGCTCCTTGCTGTTTGTTTGCGAATCTTGCTTGCTGTCGCTTCGATTGTCACTGGCGACAGAAGAGAGTGAGCACACGCGGCCCCGTCCATGGATCGCATGGATTGAGCTTCGCGTGCTCACTCTCTGTCTGTCAGCTGTGCCTGTTCGCAGTGATACTGAGCTCGCTGTGTGTTTTTCTTGAGCTGCTTGAGATTTTTGTTCCTGTGTTCGTGAATTTGCTTCTTTTGCTTCTTTTGCTGTTTCCATTGTTTCCATTGTGTTCGATCGATTGAAATTTTCTTCGTTGCGTTCCGTTCTTCCGTGGTGTTGGATCGATTTGCGCTCTTGAATTTTACTTCAATTATTCTATGGCCTTTTTTTACTTTTTTGTGCTTTGCGGCGATAGCTGGAAGTTGTAACGTTATACGATTTAAGAGATTGATTTCTGTATTAGTATAAACATGGGTTAACACGACTTGATTTTTCAGCAATACTAAAGTCCAAAACGAAGAAAAGTCAGCTTTAAATCGGTAGAAATGTTCTGTTTAGATAAATGATCGACCGATCCACGATCGATTTTTGATTGATTGATCGCCAGTCAACAAATACTACGACCCTCTCTAAAAATGATTGGGATTTATTTTCACGTAAGCCTTGCGCAGCACATGGAGAGAGAGAGATGCTGCCTGTACAAGCGAGGACACAAAACAAAAACACCCCCCTCAAACAGAAAGCTCGAAGACAAGTAACAGACGCGCCGTACGATTTTGCCCTAAACGAATATGCCGCGGCATTTAGGGCGGGCCCGGTACGGCGGCTCCTTGCAGGGCACGCGATTCACTCGCGCGTTTGCTAGCGATTTGGACGAGGTAGCTTCTGGGCAGGAGGCATCCAAGTACAGGACCCAAATCTTCCAATCGTAATTGGGTTGGTACTCTTTGGAAGCTTTCCGAGTACTGAGACTAACGGCCGGGATTTGGCGGAATGGGACCGGATCGTACGGCGCTGGCCACTCCAGCGCGGCACTGACGGGCTCGCCCGCCATGGTTGACGGGCGGTGGATGAATGAAACAAAACGGGTAAATGTAAGAAAAACAAAAGAGTGAAGGGACTTTGGCACATACCTCATTGGATAAATCCCGTCGAGTCCGCGGCCTTGAAATGGGAGGGATTGCGATGGAGAAGAAAAGTATCACACCGCTTCTTCTCTTTTCTTTGCTTCTTTTCTTCTTCTCCAGGAGTGTAGAGATTCACGATTCAATCGCCCTCTTGCCGAATGAAGAGATGTCCTACTTCTCTCCACAGCAATGGCGTTGGATCTCAAAGATCTGGAGCGAGAAAGAGCGCAATCGTGTGTTTCCTGGCGATTTTGGTGTGTCTTTGCTGATTCCTTGTCACGCAGGGAGCCAAAAGCCCGAGATCTCGCACGGGAGACCATACAAATCGCATGGGACGAGGTCAACTTTTGGTTAAAGCCGGAGAACAAGAGATAAAGCTCATACGGAAACTGTGAAGAGCTTCCCAGATCCGTGGTAAGCGTTGCTTTCAGACTTTTGGTTTCCTTGCATAGTTTTGTGTCGACTTCGCTGTTTTGAGCCGTGTGCTCTTGAATGTTTCTTGTGGAGTGTTTTTCGTGCTTGTGGATCCTTTGGACTGCTGCTGACAGAAGATAGAGAGCACAGACGTTTGGCTGCAAGAGCGGAATCCATATCCAGCAGCTCTGCGTTCGTGCTCTCTATTCTTCTGTCATCAATCTTTCGAGAGCTCTGCTTGCTTCAGATATGAACTCAAATGTTGCGTGTTTTGCTTGAGGCCATAGCTTTGCTTTTCTTCCAAAAGCCAACAGGAAAGAATTTCAAGTATTTAGTGCTTGCTGCTTTCCACAAACATAAAAACACAAAAGAGAAGCAATGGAAGCGCCTTTCTTTTCTTATTCTCGTTTTTATATAACTTGTCTGTGCCATGAGGAACTTTTTTGTGCACTTTGGAGCAAGGAAACGAAAGGAGGGTGTGTGATTGTTTCCACTCGCTGGAAAATCCAGGCGTAAATCGAAATAAGATTTGTGTTTCCCACTTTGGCTGCTGCCGCTGACTTTGCAGGTTCAGTGCATCTCGTTGTTCCGTTTTCTAGCACCAGCAGCATCTTAAAAACGAAAATGAATGTATGGATCTTTGAAGCGCAAGTGGCTGTACTTCTGAAACCTTGAACTCGGTTGTTTGTGCCCGAGATGGGAGGGAGGTTGGATTTGGATACACAGGTATTCCGCAGAAGCACCATCTGTGTTCCGTTTCCAGATGTGCATTCCGTTTCCAAGGGCGGAAGATACCAGAAGCTCCCTCTGTCAGGTTCACATATCATTCTTGAACCTTGAAAGGATTTTTGAACCTTGTTCACTTCTTGACAGATTGATTCAGATTGAACATTCAACAACAGTTTCGTTCGGTCTTTAATCTCTGAAACGCAAGCTGTGTTGTAGTTGGTGAGGCCGAACCTGCATACTGCTGCTGTGGAGTGTGATGCTTCAACTTGCCTGAAATATCTCTTCTTTATTTCAGATTTTTTTCCTGCCGGTTGCTCGAGTACAGATGTGTTTCTTGTTCGTGGTGGTCGGCAGGAATGCAGCAGCTGAAGGTGAAGACGAACCTGCATGCAATTTGCAGGCAAGGGAATGATGATTATGTGTGTGAGGGAGCACAAAGTGCATTGGTTTCACAGTTTCTTCAGACATATGGCGTTGAATGCTCCCAGCGTTGAGGAGAGCGTTTCGTTTCAGTGCTCGCGCAGTACAATCGTTTTTCACCAGACGCACTCAGCCAAATAATGTCAAATTCTTTTCTCCTTTCTGTTTCTGCATAGTATAGTGCTCCTATGCAGTGCACCGAAAACACTCATTTCCTATCACCTCATCTCCACAACATAGATCATCTCACGAAAGCCATGTCAAGGATCTTATCTAATGCTTTTGGGCACTAATATTCTTTTCCGTACATTTCTCAATGTTTGATCTTACGAAACAGTCTGCATTTCAAAGAAAAGAGAGGAAAAAAAAAAAAAGGAAGAAAAAAACAGAAAAAACAGAAAAAAGGAAGATTTGGTTGAATGCCGTGAAATCTTGAACTTCAGGACGATACGAAAGAGAGAAAAGATTTACAAATGCTGCAATGTTTTGAACCTGAGACGTCATTTGCTAAAGTCTCCACTTTGTAGACACGTGTCTCATACGTGTCGAGCTCCATGCAATCGATGGAATTCTCCTTCTGCTCTTCTAGGGCTCTTGCTTCGATCGCTGAGAGAGATTTCTACACTCATCCATCAATATGGCGGACGAATTCAGGTTAGTTTCTCCCGGAGGATTCCATCACGAGGGAAAAATCCCGCGCAAGCACACCGGCGATGGCCAGGGCGATCAAAAGGACATCTCGCCGGCGCTCGAGTGGTACAATGTTCCTGAAGGAACCGTGAGCTTGGCGCTGGTTGTGGACGATCCCGACGCGCCCGATCCAAAAGATCCAGTCGTGCCATGGGTTCACTGGTAAGAAGATTAGATCTCTCCTCCTCTTTCCCTTCCCATTCCCGATTATCTCCTTGCCTTGTGATCCAGGGTCTTGATCAACATTCCTCCAACGCTCAAAGGTCAGTTCTTCTCTTTTCCCTCTAGCGATTTTGGGTGATTTCTCTCGTTCTTCCAGGGATTCCAGCGGGTTTCACCACTAAAGGGCTGGACGAGAAGAGCGAATTCGCGGAGATCCAAGAGGGCTACAACGATTGGAAGCTCCCGGGCTACCGCGGCCCAAATCCTCCAGTGGGCACTCACCGCTACGTCTTCAAGCTCTACGCGCTGGACACCAAGCTCAAGCTCGGCCACAAGGTACTCGCATTTCCCTTTGGATTCATCACTTTCGATTCAATCAGCACAGATTTCTCGGATATCTGTTCTCTCGATCTCCGCGAGCTAAGATTTTCCCCCCTTCTTTTTTTGTCCACAGGCGACCAAAGACAAAGTGGAGATAGCCGTACAAGGTCATGTTCTTGGAGAGACGGAGCTCATTGGCCACTATACCAAGGAAAATTTTAGCACTGGCCACGACTCTTACGTGCCGCCACCCGGTGGACCGTTGATTTAGAATATGCTCTCCTTTTAAATTGAGACACGTCAGCTCCCAACGGTATTTAAGAGTCGTAGAATATGCCAAAAGTATCTACTGTTTGACCAAAGTTTTGACTTGAGCCACTATTTAGGGCTTTAGAACCCTAGGGCGATCGGCGATGGATGCCGTGTTGATGCGCTCGCGGCATTCTCTAGGCGCTGCTGCGCATCGGAGGCTTACGGCAGCGGCGGGAGTGGCGCCGACGTTCTTGTCTGTGGTACGATCGCGAAATCTCTGCGCTGCGGCTGCAATGGCGGTGAAATCTTCAGGCGAGAGCGTGGCGATGGAGCAGTATTTTCGCTGCGTGGAAGAATGCAACCGCGGCAGGGTAAGAACGAGAGCTTTGATTGTTTATTTCTTTGCATTTTCACCAGGAATGAGAGATCGTTTGCTTATTTCTTTGGATTTTCACCAGGAGAGGGTATGTTTTCTTATTTCTTTCCGTTTTCACCAGGAGCGAAGGTCGGAGTTTCTTCGCTTTCTAGTGAAAGGACACACGGTTGGCTACATTCATCCCAGGTGAGCTCTATGTGACCAAAGTTTAGCGGTGTTGATAGGAATAGATTTCCATTGTCAGATTTGCAGCGCTCTTGGAGAAATTTCCACAGGTTTTTACAGTTGCTACTACCTCGACAGGTTATGCGTCTGTGGAGATCCATGAACGTCTCGAAACCCCCGAGCAGCGCACAACTGCCGTGGACGATGCTTTGCGGGTCTTGAGAAGAGATGGATTCATTCCCGGCTGGCGTGACGAGGTACTTTGCGTTTGCACGACTTTCCTTTACAGCATTTCTTTTATGCGTATAATCACAGGCTCTTATACTTCTACGTTTCGCAGCATTATCCGGTCGTTCTACAATTTGGTTCGCCGGCTTTCTTCTCGTTGGAGCGAGCGGCTGTTCCGTTTTTCGGGACCAAGGTGTGTTGCTTTTCTCGGTCGGTTCCAAAGGAGTGAGTGATTTTTTTTTTTGCCTTTTCTAGGCTTATGGGGTTCACATGAATGGATATGTCACCAATTATGATGGCTCCAAGCAGCTCTGGGTGGCCAAGCGGAGCAAAAGAAAACAAACATATCCCGGTTACCTCGATCATCTAGTCGCAGGTGGTCAGGTATTAAAACATAAAATACCAAGTTTTTTCGTGCGTTACACTCATTGATGTTGGCTTCGTCCTTCCATGATGTGTTTTTCCAGCCAGTGGGACTCAGCTGCTCGGACAATATTGTTAAAGAGTGCGAAGAGGAGGCCGGAATTCCAAAACTACTGGCGGAAAAGTGAGCTTCCTCCATCGCTGCTCACTCGACATTTTTGTTTTCTTCTTGTTTTTTGCAGAGCGATTCCAGTTGGAGCAGTCAGCTACGAGACAATCTACGCCGAGCAATGCAAACGGGACGTGCTCTTCTGCTATGACCTCGAGCTGCCACTCGACTTTGAGCCATCCAACAAAGGTACATGATCTTGATACATTCAATTCCCCCGTGTTCTTGTTCACCTCTTCCAATGGCTCACGTCACTAGATGGCGAAGTGGAGTGCTTCCGTCTGGATTCTATCCCAAATGTGGTCCAGAGCCTGGGAAACTACAAGCCCAACTGCGCACTGGTCGTTGTCGACTTTTTATTTCGCCACGGGTACTGTTCTTTCCTCTCCTGTTCGTTTGCTCTCTTTTACCAGTGGATTCCCACAGATACATCCGACCAGAACAACAGGGCTACCTAAATCTCGTGCAAAAACTCAAAAGCGGGGAATGCTTGTGAGGCAAAAAGGAAAAGCATCGTCCCTTGCCTCTTCGGAGCACAAGTGGAGAGACAACGGGGAAGAAGAAAAAAATAATCTTTCTTTTGATAAAGCCCAATGCACGGCTCAGACAGCTTTCCTCCCCATGGGACAGGAGAGAGAATGAAGCTCAACTTTAAAAAGGAGACCCAAAGGGATAGGAGAGACGATACGTCTCCTCCTCCCTCCTTGCTGTTGATCTCCTCCCAAGGTATTGCGGCCTTTTCTTATTTACAAATAGAGCTTGGAACTTAATGGTAGTGATGGTGATCGTGTAGAGCTCTCTCGCTGGCAACGGGGTCGAATGGGACTCGCAAGAAGCAGCTGGAGAGCGCGCGGCGTGTTCTCGTGAGCTCTTCTCGACTTTTCGATGATCAAGTTGCTGCTGGAACCGGGATAGTGGATGCTGATGATTGTGGTGGTGGCGGTGGTGGTGGAACAGCGGGAGGGAACTGGCCATTCCTGGCTGCTTGCCCGGCTTGTATAAGAATCGCGACTTCGGCCATTGTGGCTTCCTGCGCAGGGACAAAAGTAAGAAGCTGTTTACTCGGGGAAAAGGAGATTTTACTGACTTGCTGCTGGCGACGTCGTTGTAGGATGCTCAGCGCCCGGAGCATGATGTAACAGGGTAAAAGGAATCCCGCTGCTCGCAATAGGAATAGCTGGACCAATTCACATGGAGAGAACATATACATATATATATATATATATATGTTAGTACTTCCACATGGAGAGAAGGATAGACTCGGACTTACAGTGAACAGCGCCGATGTGTCATCGTCAGCGCCAGAGGATGCCATCGCCAGAGCGTGGCGAAGCAGTAAAAGGGCCATCAACTGGGATCAAACAAAGCAGAAAGTTAGCAAAAAGAAAGCGCAATGGTGCTTAGAGAGAGAGGCAAGGGAGATATTATTCGGGAGCGAGAGAGACGGAGAGAGAGCTTGCTTACGATGAGGGCGGCCGATCGGCAACAGGCAGCGCTGCTTGCATTGGCGGAGGCGTATTCGTCGTAGTCCGAATCAAGGAAGTGCCTTTCGGCGGCCATTGCCAGGATCCTGGGGTCCCGTAGATCGAGCTGATGAGGACCAGTGATACCCCAGTTGCCACTACGAGCCATCAATGCAAGCAGGGGATGGAAAAGAAGAAAGAGAGAAATTAGAAACGAATACAGTGAGCGCTGCTGCTTATAGCTTACCTCAAATCAATCGGGGTTCCCTCCGGTTCCACAGGACGAGGAGGAGCTGTATACCCAGGCTGGTATGGCTGAAAAGCAAAAAAGAAGGAAGAAAAAATTCCAATCGATCAGCTAGCGCTAGAAAGAGTTGGCAAAACATGGGCGAGAGTAAATCCAACCTTTTGACAAATCTCACATGTTGTATCGCCTTTCTCGTTACACCAGCGCTGGACACACTTTCTGTGCGCGTACTGCAAAGAATCGAATGAGCAATGAAGAAAGAAAAAAAAAAGAAATAACGAAACAAGGCAAGCAAGAAAATGGGAATGGATCAACCAGTACCTTGACACTGCCAGAACACGCGCATGGAGCTTCCAGATTTCCCACATCGTCCTCCTCCTGGCAGATTCTACATTCCACAGTCACCCCCGTGGCTCCTCCAAACGATGCGAGGTCGTCGTCAATGGTTTTGCCCTTCTTGACCACGAAACCCCCGCCGCCCTCGACGTATTCCTCCTCGCTGGCCGGCGAGAAGATGACGACGTGCTCGCTCTGGGGCGATTGCTGGAGCGCCCTGGCGGATGAGAGCAGCGGCTTGTGTTCTTGAGCAGCGCATGAATCTGGCGACGCGGTAGAAGCTCCGGGGGAGCTGGAAAGCCGATCTACATCCAGAACGACATGGTCCTCCATTCTTTCCCCAATCTCTTCCCGAAATATTTCGTGTTCTCCCGTCCGATACCCCGGCGCTCAGCACAGATCGTCACACAGACCTAGAAGAAGAGCTCGCATTCCTGGCGCTGACGCGCTTTCTTGCTCCCTAGGGTCGGCTAGAGTGCCGTAGAAATCCCAGGATGCCTCGCCGAATCCCCCAAAACACAAGATTGCCGCCGGAGAAGCAATCGCAGGGCACGCCGCGCCAACACGCTCGATCGATCAACCGAGTGAATCCCTAGAAAAATCTACGGCACTCTCCCTCGCCGATCGCCCTCGCCATCGCCATCGCCCTTGCTTCTTCCTCTTTGCTGCTTTGTGTGTCCATATTTTAACCATGTTTGAATTCCAGCTTGGCGTCCGGAGACTAGGCTCGGCACCGAGCCTGAGCTGCCAGGCCGGGTCGGAGTGGCCAATGCGTACGTAAGAAACAGCGCCAGTTGTACGGCTCATATCATTCATTGTGTGCACGTTCATGGACATTATTCGCACGGACGGGGCGTGGCGCCACACTGACTTTTGGACCAGCCAAGTGGCCAGCGGGCCATTGGACAAATCCTCGACGATGTAAAATTATTACCGATCAGCGTTACTGGACACCTCTACAATAGGGACGTGATAATATACGCCGTAGAAACACGTATGTATCTACTGTGTGAGGGGGCCTCGCAAGCACTAGAAACAGACATCTTATCGGAAGGTCAAAAGTTTCATCATAGAAACCAAAGCAAATCTCTTGTGTTGCCCTGTTGCAAATCCTTGAGGGCTTTGTAACGATATGAATCACAGTGTGTGATGTGAGATCCCTTGTTTTCTAAGCTAAATCGCCAGTGGAAGTGTGGGGATCGATCCATCCATTTGGATTCAGATTCAAAGCCATACAAACTCTTTTATACTAAATTTTGTAGGTGGGGGGAAAGGAAACTAATAATTCTTTCGGTAGTAGCGGCCAGTGAAACAGAGATAGATTGTTTACAATGTTCTTCCTAGGGTAGTTCTTTGATTTTTGTGACAAGGCAAATAAATGTATATTGTATAGATTGAAATGCTTGGCTGGCCAAAGATCGGTGACATGTATCAAATGTTGTGCCTCCAAAATTCTGTCGTGCGCGCGGATAAGGCGGATGGCGGGGCGTTTTCGGTGGCCCTTTGCCTGCACACGCACACCGAGCCTCAGCCTCGGGTGGCAAATAGCCAAAGCGAGGAATATTCCACGTCGCAGGATCCGACGGCCTGGATTGCAAAGGAATCTTCTCGAGGTTTGAAAGGTCTGTGCAAAGACAATTCTGGCAGAGGAGGCCCAGTCTAAAAGACAAGCGCGGAGAAAGTTGGGCGTGTTATAGTTGATGGAGTTGACCAGCATTGAGTGAGCCAGTCAACGGCTACTAGAAGGGTTTTGACTGGCTTTCACTGTGTGCGCCGTGGGGCAGTTATTTCCGCGAAGTATTCTACGCGTCTGCTACGAAACACCGCAATATTCTACTCGACAATTGAACTTTCATGTAAAAGACAGCATCCGTCAACTTTCTGTCAACTTTCGTGCGAAAATGGAAAAAACAAACAAGCACACGACAAAGTCAAGCTTGCCGGTTGTCTTCAAAAGGAGGACAGAGAGAACGAAGAAACAAAAATGGGAGGAGATGGTGCTCTTCACGTCCTCGTCTTCGTCTATCCCGTCCATGGCCGCATCATCCCCGCCATGGTTCTCGCCTCGCGCCTCGTCGATTCCGGCGCTAGGGTAAGCTTCCTCTACCCCGCCCACCACGAATCGCGCCTCTGCGACGCAAGGTCCCGGCCACATTCTCCAGAAATCCGCTTCGTCGCGCTCCACGCCCGCGATTTCGACTCGGCGCCCAACGATTTCAGCCGGGATTTCTTCCTCATGCCCTCGCTCGCCCAGGAATTCGAGCAGCTCGTCTCATCGCTCCAGCCACCACCATCGTGCCTGATTAGCGACGAGGTGTGTGGAACACTCGCCAAATCCGCACGATTGCTGGGCATCCCGCGCTATATCCTCGTCCCAGAATCCGCGTCGGCATTTGCCGCTACGCTACTCGCGCCATCGCTCGCCAGGGATTCCAAGCTCCCGCTCCAGGTCGCGAGGAACGAGACGGTGGATATTCCGTTTATCGGGATGACGGTCGTTGCGAGGGAATATCTTAGCCCGTACCTAGATACCTTCCCGTGGCGTGCGGATTACTTTCTCGAAGGCGCCATTGAGGCACAGGCATCGGACGGCATCCTCGTCAACACGTACCGCGAGCTGGAGCCGTCAATCTTATCCGGCATGGTGCGTGACACGTGCCTCAATCCTCACCGTGCGCCCGTCTTTGCGGTTGGGCCGCTGATCCCCGAGCCATCCTCGACCGTCGGATCCCACCGCCAGGAAGAAGAGGCGGAGATTATGGAGTTCCTCGACGCGCAAGCTCCATCCTCGGTGGTCTTCGTCTCGTTTGGAACGCTCATCCAGCGAAACGAGAAGGACGCTCGCGAGATCTTGAGTGGGCTCGAGCAATCCGGCCATCCTTTCATCTGGAAATTCAGTGGCGATGGCGATTACGTCCCCACTGGAGCGGAAAAATCTGGATTGATCCTGCGAAACTGGGCGCCGCAGCTACGAATCCTATCACACCCATCCACCGGATCGTTCCTGACGCACTGCGGATGGAATTCATGCCTCGAGAGCTCCAGCCTCGGCGTTCCAATCCTCGGCTTCCCGGCCTTTATGGATCAGCCCATCAACTGCAAGCTCCTAGTGGAGCTTCGCAAGGCCGGGGTCAAACTGGCCACTCTCGAGAGCTTCCAGATCGCCGAAGCGATCAAGGAGGTGATGGAGTCGGAGGAGATCCGGAGAAACGCACAGAAGCTCAAGCTCGCTGCCGATCGAGCGCCCAAGAGCTTAGATTTCTTCGTGGACAAGTTAAGAGAAAAGTCTGCTTTACATTACTTGTGAGAAACGCTTACAAGGAAAGCACCTCTTTCTTAAGCTTCCATAGCTATGAACACAAACTTTCCTTCACGCTGCGAAAAAGAGGAGAGATCTTTCAGTCAGTGAGACGGAAAAACAAAATTCATAAGAACACACCTTAATTGTAGTAGAGCTCCAGCCCCATTCCATCGCGGATCTCGTAATCGGACAGAGTGATGTTGTCCTTGTAGATCGTGTACCATTTCTGGATCCTGATCTTCTCCGGGCGCGTCCCCGTCTGCGCCGCCACGAGCTTCTTCAAATCGCCGATGGTATCATCCTCGTTGCACTTGACTCTCACCTTCTTGCCCAGACGATCGTTGAGAATCACCTCGATCATCGCGGAGAACCCTTGGCGGAAAGCGAAGAACCCTAAAAATTAGGAAAGTGAAAATGATGAAAAAGAGGAACCCTAAATGCCGTCAGTTATAGCCACGGACTCTGTTAGGGAATGGCTCTCTAACGGCTCCATTTAACAGAGCCGTTGGTCATACCCACAGCCCTGTTTGTTTAACAACAGACACAGGAATATGCCAAAAGGTGCCGGCATCTTGCGGATATCCTCCCCTTGCTTTCCGTTAGTGAACAGGGGAAAGAGAGAATCAATCAGTTTCTCGCGAGCGGGTGGACGATTTGGCCTGGGATCGGCGAGGCGAGATCTCCGCAAAGGACGATTGAGGCGCTGCGCGTAGCGGTTTGTAGCTCTGCGCCGTGTTTAGGGCTCCAATCGACGAAGACGAAGACGAGGTAGGGCAGGCGAGGGCGCCGCGAGCGGCTCTCCCGGCAGTGTAATTCTGCGGCTTCCCGCGAAATCCGGATTGGCGGCTGCGATCCCTGGAGGAATTTCTCGAGATTTCCATCGGAGAGGACCTGGCATGGGATAATTCATGGTAATATCGGATAAGGTCGTGGTATGAGGTCTAGGGAAGATCGCAGTAGCGGAAGAACTGCAGGAAGGATTAGTCGCTTAGAATGATGGATAGCAGCGAAGCAGCGGCGATGGATTTTAATCTACTGGCGGAAGAAGATGAGTCGGGCAACGATTGTAAAAGCCGTCAAGAAGACGGTGACGAGGAAGAAGAGGAAGGAGACAACGAAGATATCGAGCTGCTAGAAGTTACTAAAACGCTGGAAGAACAGGAAGAACAGGAAGAACACGAGCAAGAAGAAGGAAACGAAGAAGTCCACTGGAGGCGGCCTAGTTCGAAGATACTAACATTCCCGGCCCACGCTCCAATCCAAGCTGACACAACAACATTCTCGTCTAGAGAACCAACTTTGCTGTCGGTGGACACGGACGTGGAGATGGAAGTCACCACCGAGGAGACTCCATCGCCGAGCACGACTCCAAACCGGAGGAGCGACTCCACTGCCGCTGGAGATCATGGCAAATCCCCGTCGGTGGCAACTCCAGGCGGGAGCAGTGACGATCGTCCGTCGTCAAACTCGAGCGAGGAATCGTCGTTGCAAAGCCACCACAAGCGGTTCCTCGAGCTGCAAGCGTTTCTCAAGCTCTGTGACGAGGCTGACCAGAAAGATCTCCTCGAAGGTGAGTTCCAAAAGTTCGTTTCTGTTTGATCGTAGCTCTAAGTTTCTCCTCGCAGCGTTGAGATCTCTATCGGCCGCTGCTCGTAGCGGGCATGCGTTTAACTTGGAGTACCGAGCTCTGATGCTTTCCATGGAAGAAGGTAAGCGAAAGTTTCTCAAGTTTGGCTTGGCTGGATCAAAGTTTTCTCGATGTTTTCTCGCAGGTAGAGAGATGCTGAGATTAAAGATGCTCAACGTTATGGGTGGCAAAGGCAGCCCTTCTCAATCGCAGCAAGACAATGGTAGCACACCACTGGGGACTCGATTGCCGGCCCCTGGATCCGTGACAGATTTAAGCGCGTATTGACAGACAGCGAAGATTTACACCCAAGACAAAGATTATTTATGGCTATGCTCTTGATCCCCAGCCGTGGAGGACTCGAGAGGCTTGTGCATTAAACGAATAAATCGAAGAACTTCCAAAAAATCCCCTGGAACTTTCAACCTTCTAAAGTTCCTCTCTTGCAATCCCTCATTGAGAGTTTTCAGCAGGCATTGTCTCAGATAGAGCTAATACTTTGATTTCTAATCATGGGGATTGTCCAGGAACCACGATCTATATCTCTTTCGTTCCCTCATTTGGAGAAAGGTTTGGCATCACGCTCTGCTCCACGAGAGCGAGCATCAATCCTATCAACTTCGTTGATAATCATCGGGAACGAAACATTGAAATCTAAAACCCAAAAGCCTCAGCAGCCTATAGTCATCTCCGCACAGAGAGAGGAATCGCACGAATCCTTCCTTGGAGTGGTGCATGACTTCGCGTCATCACGGGCAAAAAAGAATGTAACCTAGAAAACCAAGAGCCCTACATCCAACGCTTAGTAACAGCTCTAGTCCCTAAATCCAACGGCCCGTGACGGCTTAAAATCCAACGGCCCATATCGTTCAAATCCGACGGCATACAGCTTAAAACGAAGGTTTTAAAAGCACTCCCGGTGGGACTCGAACCCACAATCCCCTGATTAGAAGTCAGATGCCTTGTCCATTAGGCCACGGGAGCGGCACTTGCAAAAGAAAGTGGTATAAAATCGAGTTGTTAGATTCCATAAACCCTAATTTTCGTCTTCCCCGAGAGAAATATTTCACCGGGAGTGGATTTTCATGGCGATGGCCAAGCGCGCGTTCGATCCAAAGCTGCTCGAGTTCCTGGTGTGCCCGCTCAGCAAGACGGGTCTCAGGTACGATCAATCATCGACCTATGGAATCGATAGGCAGCAAAAATTCTTCTCTCTTTCGTCGCGCCTGGCATTGTACTGGATTGGAATTCCCTGCTATTTCATTTGTTTATCATTGCCGCCAGGAAATCGGCATCGAATCCTCGGAAGAAAATAGAGTTAAAATTTTCTCTAGATGCTGAAAAACACTGGTATGCTCACTGATGATCCATCATTCACAGATATAGTGAGAAGAGACAGGAGCTCATCAGCGACGAACTGGGCGTCGCATATCCGGTGCGTGTGATGAGAGCTCTCTACACGACTGTGACTTACAAAACTTCGTAGCTTTATTGGTTACTTTTTTTCTTCTTCTTCTTCTTCTTCTTTTTTTATTCTTTTCTCTTTCTTCTTTTTTTCTTCTTTATGCGTGTGTTTCTCTTGTTCATTCCTTCTGACTGCTCGCTTTTCCCGCAGATCATCGATGGAATTCCTAATCTGATACCCCTGGACGGACGAATTATCGAAGAGACTGAGGATATCTCTCGCTCGGCTCGAGCACCGCAGGCTTCCGAGTAAAGTTTCTAGATTCCTGGCTTGTTAGAATGTCCACCAGGTGAAGGTCCCCGGTGTGGGTTGGGATAGTCAGTATGGAAGACTTGCTCATCAAAGCTGCCTTCTTCGGAAATCCAGCGAGACGAGTGATATAGCTGCAAACAGTTGAAATTCAAACTAACTGTCAGGTGATTTCCCTCTTTTCTTCTTCTTTTCTCTAAAGCTTGCTACTGAAGAAACACGGTTTGAGAAGAAGAGAGTTATCAGACCTTTCCAGGAGGAGCGGGTTCTCCATCATGCAAGACGACTAGAAGCAGCTTACGCGGTGCTACTAGATTGGATGCTGAAAGTTCAAATCTGTTAGTAGCGGAAAGAACAACCTTCTTTCAGCACAACAAACCTGCAGCAGGAGAGATTTGGAGCAAGGATAGGAGGAGAAGAACCAGGAAGACTGCTACTGCAACAGGAGCTCTCGCCATTTATCTCTTTCCGAGGTGACTCGAGGTATGGCTTGCTAGTTTTTTTCTTTTGATTTATATAGCGATAGCGTATCCTCTCAACAGCTGAAAAGGCTGCTTAGACTAACATAACCTGGTTGTAGCTTTTACTGGGAACAATGCGATCTTTCACAAGGATCCGGATCAAATGGACAGGTTAAAAAAATGGAGGAAAGAGGGAGGAAAATGGCCAATGGATCCTTTAAAGGTAGACCACATATGTTTTTTACTTCTCTATTACTCGTTTGACAGGAAAGAGAATACAAGTAGGCCAACAGTGGGATATTATGGGTGCTAAAGTGTAAGCCTTGCCCAGCACTGAGGTAACATCTTGGAAGTTGGTCTGCGATTTTACCAGCGCTGTGTTGTTCCAGTGCCAAATAATTCCGACACAGGCTATAGTGGAGTGGAATCGCGCGTAGAGGAATATATATAAGCACCGGCTTTGTTGACGGGAGACGATATACATGCCACCTTGGAATCGTCCTGACGAATGGAAAGCTATGGGTCCTGTTATTTCTGGTTGCACACAATGGTCGCTGATACATTTATGGACAGGCATGAAGGATCGACCAGAATCTGACAACGTTGGCATCTCGAGGTCTTGGGATTCCGGGAGAAAGTTCTGGATCCCAAGGAAGCGGTTTCCAGCTTTGTTGGTGACGCAAGTGCTTTCTGAGCTCGGGTAAGTAGGCTGTACCAACACCTGTAATTATCAGATCTTAGGGCTCTAGCGAGGATGAAGTTTCGGGTTTTCGGTGGAGAAGATGCTCCAGACTGGGTCCTCTCCGGAATTTACACGCTCTCCAAACTGGTACTTGGCATCCGATTCTCACGACTAGAGTATCTAAGTGAGTGGAGTCTTTTCAGAGCTCTGCAGACTTTCAGCTTTTGACACTCGAAATACTTCGCCAGATCTTGGGAGAAGCTTTTGATGTGAGTGCCAAGCTTACTGATTAGTGTCGTCCCTGATTCGTTTGTTCTTTTCTTTTCCCAGTATGAGAAAGCGTTGGAAGTAGCCTCAGCGAGTGCCTCTCTTGGTGAGTTGAAACGAGTGTAATCGAAGCAACCTGATTTCTTTTGCAGATATCAAGGCATGTATCGCAGCACTCCATTTTCTTATAACCAGTGCAGCGAGATTTGATGTGGACGACGTCACCGTTTCTAAAGAAGCTCAACAGCTCGGTTTACCAGCGGGTAGGCTCTTTTTCCTTGCTTTGTTATAAAAATGCGTCCCTGAGCTTAGCTTGCTACAGAGCATACCGATTCCTTCTGCGTTGTTTACAAGGAAAGCAAAGATAGATTGCTGTCAAGGCTCTCGGGACAAACTCCACGGAGTAAGGACCAGATATGTGCTTGGCTAAAGCTCTTTCTTGTTTTTCTTTACTTCCTTGCAGTTCCTCCCATATGTATTACTGGATGGCAAGTGCACAAGCCCAGCAATGATATATTGTTGCGATTAACTCAGCCCTGTGAGAACAACAACAAGGACGAGGACAAAAACACCGATATGAACTTAAGTTACGTAAAGCTCACAACTCTTTTGACAGGTCTTTCTCTTTTGCCTTTCCTCCTCTCGCTTTCTCGTCTTCTTCTAAACACAAGCCTTGCAGAGCTCAAAAGCGCGAGAACTTTGATGGAAAACCTCTCAAACTGATCAGCTACGCGGACTTCGACGAGTAGCAAATAAAGGCTGAAAATGAGACGTCGCTGTTAGGTCAATTTTGTAGTGGTTCTTAAACAAGCCCTACAAAACGACCTTTGCGGACATAATCCTATAGCCAAGTGTTTAACCAGAACATCTCTTAACTTTTTCTTCTTCTTGACATGATTTTTCCATTTGCCTAGAACACTAAAATAACTTCAAGAGCAAGTAACCAAGTATGACATTTATCATTTTCATCTTGTTAAATAGCTTTAGAGCAGCTCACTATAAAACTCTACAGAACTTTAGATTATTGTGACTAATCCTACCAAAGACTGTTCATCACAAAAATATATGTATCATTGCTATTAGCTACTGTTTATTCCTAGGACTCTTTCAGAACCATCAAGTTCACAGCTTCTTGCATCTGTAAGAATGATGTAAGTATGTAAAAGAGTGAGATAAAATTTGCTAAAATTTTGGTTTTTCTTTCATTTGCAAAAAGAGTTGCAGGCCAAGATTGCCATTTTGACAAAATTTGATAAGAAATTCCAAAGAGAAATTGATTTATGTTATACTATCAATTCTTTTATCTCATATGCAATATGCTAGCTTTGATAACAAACATTGCATGATTTCTAAGATTTATGAAGGAACAGGTCATACATACATATATGATACAAGATATTTGATTCTAGTTATAGTTTTTTTTATTATTCATCAAGATTCTTAATTTTTATTATAAATTTAAAACAAGCCAAGCAAATTATTTGAATCCATTTCTAGATATATGCTAAAATATTCTTCAATCCAACGGTTGTAATTTTCTACTCTTATGTGAGTCAAAGTATTGACCAAGAACAAGTAATGGAACTAGTAATTAGATGCTTTTTCGTCAGAGGAGAGATTGCTTAAAAGGCCCAGCTATGAAGCCACAATTGTGTGGCTTTAGATATCTTCTTCCTTCTTCCTTGTATATCGATCATGGCTACCCAATGCTGGTCCGAGAAAACCGTGGCAGTGGTCACCGGTGCTGGCAAGGGAATTGGCCTGGAAATCGTGAAAGCCTTGGCAAGCCGAGGTATCTCTGTTGTTCTGACGCTCCGCGACCAAGTTGCGGCGGAAAAGGTTGCTCAAGATCTGATAAGCGCGGATCCCAAGCTCAAGGTCTACGCCTTCCCTCTGAACATCACACTTCCGGAATCTGTGGAAGCGTTTGGAAAGTGGATCCAAAACAAGTTTGGAGGGATTGATATTCTTGTAAGATTGTTGGTCACCGTTCATAGTTGGTCACTGCTCATACCCTTCCTTTTGTTCTTGTCAATGTGGAACTAATTTCCAGGTGAACAATGCGGGGCTGCTGCTGGATCCTGTTCATCACAACCTCGAGGAAGCAAAACCCGTGCTGGAAGTCAATTACTATGGCACCAAACGCTTCATACAGGAGATGCTCCCACTCATGAGAGAATCCGACCATGGGTCTCGCATTGTCAACCTTAGCACGCTTGGATCACGCCTAGACGTATGCAAAACTCTTCCCCAGAGTTCTCCTGTTTCATTTCCCTTTTTCCTCGTTCACGTCTATACGTTCTCAACACAATTGCCTCTCTGGTGATGCTAGATCCTCGGCAACGAATGGAAGGACAAGCTCTCCGACGTGGAAAACCTGAGCGAGGAGCTCATCGACGACTTTGTGAGCGCATATCTGCGTGATGTCGAGGAAGGCAAGCAATTCGGCAAAGGGTGGCCGGAGCTGTATGCAAGAACCGATTACTGCGTCGCCAAGATGGCCCTGAATGCGTACACGCGGCTTGTGGCCCGAGAGACGGCAGCCCAGGGAAGAAAGATCGGAATCAACTGCACCTCTCCGGGGCACACAAGTTGCGTTATGTCAGGCCACACGGGGCATTCTCCGTCCGAGGGTGCACTCACTGCAGTGTGGCTGGCACTGGAGCCACCGCCGCCCAGCTCGGGTGGCTACTTTGTGGATCGCAAGAGCGTGGGATTTGTGGAGATTCCACTCCTCTACCACGGCAAGCTCATCTATGATCCCGAGGGCATCAAGAAGCACCTCCTGGATAACGCAAATTACACGCACCACAAGTGAAAGTGAAAGTTCAGCAGAATTCGTTGTCTGTCTGGGTGCAAGGTGTGTACAATATGCAAGTAATGTAAATTTGTGGGGTGATTATTCAGTGTTTAGTGAGGTTGATGAAACGAGTTTAAAACATCCCTGAAGAAAGGAATGGTTGGTAGCGCGTTGCCTTGAATGACTTACGTACATATGGGACATTGTTGGTGGAAATCTTTTGTGTATGGTGGGTATCACATTGTACATATGCTGTATGTGGTCTTGGGCAAACGAGTACAAGCATTAGAGGATTGGTGATGGTAGTATCGAACTACAGATGGGACCAACAAAAGTTAAGAAAAGCAGCACTGCTTCTTTTGCGCAAAAGAGATAAAGCACTTACGCTCTTTCAAGAAAAAGATTTATATGCTCAAGAAAAACGTGGGGGAAATGGAGGAGAATCACCGCTGAGCATGGCTGTGCAAATCGACGCGAACGCATGGCTCACCCGGCGTCTATCTATCAACACTTTGCCTTGTTCCCACGGTGAAGAGAAAAAAACGAGAGAGAGCGCCTGGTTTCTAGATTCCCCTCGAAGATCTACTCTGGCACCTGGTTTTCCAGATTGATCTACTCTGACGCCGATGTATCAACAGCTTTAACTCCTGGTTTCCCATCGAATCGATTGCTCAGGCGACGTTTTCATTGGATGGTAACATGTCGTGCGATATTGCGCGGGCGAGAGAGGACACACGGTGCGCGTTTGGGGGCGACGAGGGAGAGAGAACGAATGGAAGAGCTATTGCCGACAAAAAGAGTCTAGGTACTTGGTATAGTTTTAAATATATACTTAAAATTGATCATTGATTAGAATGTAGAATCAAGGACCTTGACTATAACATTTGATGTTCAAAGCTACACCCAAGGTATTTGAATGTTTATTTTGTGGGCCGTCTTCTTGTAAACATGCTTCTGAAAGCATCAGTGGGACATGATTTAGCAAATCTAATGCTAAGAAAATCAGTTTTTGATAAGACTATAGGCACAAGGCTCAAGTTCCACTACACTCCTAAACCATCCCAATGCCAACCTGGCAATCTTCCTCTTGGAGATTACTAAACACTGTATCACTGCACAGATCTATATGCTCCAAAAGATAAAAGGTCAAATGCCTTTCATCACTTATCTAAATAGCCACAAACCCTAATTTATCCATTAGTTTTGGGCTTTAGTAAAAATAAAAGTGTTACAAAAAGAACAAAAATCTTTCTTCTTTCTTCCTCTTTTTTCTTCTTCTTTTTTTCCCTTTTGAAATGGTCACCTCCGCCTCATTCCCCTTCCTCGGCCCCTGCCCATCATTCCCCCCATTCCTCGCCCTCGTCCGGCCATTGCATTAGCGGCTGCTTCACCCTGGGCACTCTCCGACTGCACACATTCAAGTTTAGCTTCTTTCAACTCTCGAGCGCTCGAATTTCTTACCTTTGGATTCCGGATTGTCTCATCGACGCTCAGAACCAGTGCTGCAGCTTCTGCCGCAGCGGTAATCGCATTGATCTGTGAATATGTAACAGTGGTGTTATCATTGGCTGAAAAACCAAACAAAGAACAGTGCTTGTCATACCTTCACCACTGCAGGCTCCCACACGAAGTTAGCGTATGTGTCTGTTATACCACCGGTGTTAATGTCTACACCATACAAGGCACCTTCTCCTGTAAGCCGCACAGGAAATCGCCATGAGAAGAGAACCAAAGAGAAAAATACAAGGAGAACCGAGAACCTGAAGGGAGAGCATGCTTCTGCCTGAGCTTGTTGAGAACATCTGTGGCATCAAATCCTGCGTTGTCGCACAGTTGCCGTGGGATCACCTGAAAAGCCCAGTGAGGATGCGGTACAACATAAAAGTAAAACGCCTTACCTCTAGTGCCTTGGCAAACGCGTTAATGAAAAGCTGAGCTTTTCCAGGGATTGTCCGTGCATGCTGTCGCAAGTATCGACTTATTTCCATCTAAAACAATAAGAACACCGATGACGAAATGAAGGGAAAAAAAAAGGCCTCCAAGACTTACATCTATAGCGCCCCCTCCGGCAACAACCGTGGAGTTTTTTAGAGCTCTACGAACGATCATAATGGCATCGTGAAGGCTACGCTCTGCTTCATCGATAAACTGATACCGCAAGTAAAAGATAGAAGCTTTCGTGAAACAAGAAAAATCAAAGACAGAAACGAACGCACCTGATCCGCCCCGCCACGGAGAACAATTGTTGCAGTCTCACCGGTAGGACATCCCGTAAAAATATTAAACCTCTCATTTCCAACTTGCTTCTCTTCAAATCTTTCGCACGATCCAAGAACCTACAGATTTACACCTTGTGAGTTAATCAGACCAAATATTACAGCCGCGCATACGTCAGGAATGAGATTGTTGACGGAAGTCTGCACAGCCCCTCCAGTCGCGCGGGCCACGCGTTGTAAATCCTCTTCTACAACACGCCCAGCGCAAAAGATATCTCGATCTGCAAAGTACTGAAGCGAGCATGTGAGATAAATAAAAGGAAACACAAAACAGAGATAGTACCTGAGTAGCCAGATCACCAATAGCCAAACGTGACAAGACCACTTTGGCACCACTTTTGACGCATTTGTCCAGTTTGTCATAAATGATGTTCCATTCCGCATCCACAATGGACTGATACTGAGAGGGATCCGAGAGCCTACATTGTCGTTCAAACATGACGAGATTCAGTCAGTGGTAATTGAAATACCTGATTTCAGCGTTCTCCTTTTCCGACTTTAGCTCTAACTCAATGTTTAAAAGCAAAATACTCGGGTTGTCAAACTTCTTTGGTTGCTGCTCAAAACCAGCGTACGAGAATGTTTTCTTAAACGCAACTCCGTTAACCAAGAAAGAGTCGCGCATTGTTCCTCCGGGTACCTACAGTACAAAACACTTAAGTCACCTCAACATCATAAACGCAAGAGATTTCTTACTTTTTTCACGCCAATCATCTTCAATCCTCTGTCCTCTCCCATGTCCGTCACGGCCTCCACGACCATCTTCGCAAAAAACTCCTTCTCCCCACCCACGAGCTTCGAGCTTAGCGTAGTCGAGGCACATTTCTCGAGGAGCGACTTCTTTTCTTCGATGCTCTTCCCCTCTATGCTGACTGCTATTTCTTTGATCTTCTGGACAGCCTATAGCACAAACAAAGAAGTTAACTCCAACTAGACAAGTTTTGTTGCTACAAGATTACCAAGTCAGCAGCGGTCCTGAAGCTCCGGATTATAAGCTGTGGATGGACATTCTCCTCGACAAAAGGCTTTGCTTCTCGCAAGAGCTCACCAGCCAGAACAACAACGGTAGTCGTGCCATCCCCCACCTGTGGAAAAAAAAAAAAAGACGTTTTTTGGAACTTTCATTCAGGAAATGGAAGTGTGAGAACCTCTGCGTCTTGCGACTTAGCAATGTCGACAAGAACTTTGGCGCCGGGATGAACTACGTCCAAGAGCTTCATGATCGTGGCTCCATCGTTGGAAATGGTAGTCCCCTTGTCGTCGTGGATGAGCTTGTCCATTCCTCGAGGACCCAAAGTGGTCCTCACCACATCCACCACAGCGATACACGCATTGATATTGCTGATGAGCTGCGGCTTCCCTTGCGATGTGTCGGTGCCTTCTTTGAGGAGAATAATCGATGGTTGCTGCCAAGAACACGATCAGATGAAACTTGATGGATCGATGGCGCCGCGCGCGCCGCGCGCTCGAGATCGAGCTCGAAAGAGAGAGAGAAGAAGAAGAAGAACCAGCGAGAGGGAGCTTACCAGCATCGCCGCCATCGCTCTCGCCTTCTTTCCAGCAAGAACCCTGCCCTAAACGGCTATCGAGGTTTTAGGGTTTTTTGGGCTCTAGGGCGAAAGGGAAGCGATGTATGGCGGAGGTGAGCTCGCTCTGTGCGCGGCAATGCTGGATCTTGACCATTCTCGTGTGATTAGACGAGGTATCCGCCATTGTCGTGGATCTGGGATCGCATTCTTGCAAGGCGGGATACGCTGGAGAGGACGCTCCCAAAGCTGTTTTTCCATCGGTAAGAAGAGATATTTTGCTAGAATCTTATCACATTTCTTCTTTGTGCGAATTTCTTCCAGGCTGTAGGATCTGTGGGAGAAAAACCGAGCACGTACTATGTGGGAAATCAAGCAATACAGTTTAGACGCGATTTCATGGAGGTATTTTTCTGCCATTCTTCCTGTTTTTAATTGAAGCTTTGTTCTGTGACAGGTTGCTTCTGCATTGAAAGATGGTCTCGTCGCAGATTGGGACATAGTTGAGAGCATCTGGGATCACGCTTTCAAGTCTTTACTTCATCTTTTCTCAGAAATGGCTGAAGTAACTTTTTTTTTTCCTTTTTCTTTTTCCAGGGAACGGCTGCTTATAGATCCCAAAGAGCATCCAATGCTGCTTGCCGAGGCATCTTTTAATCCTCAACAGCATAGAGAAAAGTAAGCTGTTTCTCAACTTAAAATTTCATGTCATACTCTTGGTGATGCAGGACTGTGGAGCTGATGTTTGAAAAATATGGTGTGCCTGCGGTCTTCCTTGCAAAGAATGCTGTAAGTGTGGTTTCTATTCCTTTTAGTCTTCTTCATTTATCATTCCAATCTCGTGTGATTGTCTTTCTCTCTCTTCTTTCTCAGGTTCTCACCTCGTTCGCATCTGGACGAGCGACGTCGCTTGTTGCTGACTGGTAATTTATTTTCTTGCTGGAAAAGCTATTCATGGTGTTGAACGATTGCAGCGGTGGCGGTTCTACTACTGTTGCTGCTGTACATGATGGCTATGTTCTGCACAAGGTTGAGTTTGCCGATCTTTAACTTGTTTGTGTTAATTTGGATTCCAGGCTGTTCTCCGGTCCCCAATTGGCGGGGAAGTCCTCACAGATTGCCTCTTGAAGATTTTGGAATCGAAGAATGTCAATGTAAGTCTTGGCTTCGGTTCTGTATTCATTTGGTAGTTACTGGCTAGTTTTTTGCAGATCAGGCCAAGGTATTCGTTCAAAAAGAAAGAACCTGTGAACGGGGAGTTCGAAGTAAGTTTTTTTCTTAAACGCTCAACGCAAATGACAGTACGTTTTGTATGCTTTTTCTTTCAGATTGTGAACCTCGACTTTCCCAACACTACCGACAGCTATCGTAGGTACATGCAGGTACTCGCTGTCGCTGGAAGTTAGAAGATGCTGACCTTTGCTCTATCAGAGAGTGATTGCCGCGGATATCAAAGAAACCGTTTGCCGGGTCCCGGATGGCATCTTCGATGGTAAACTGGATTTTTGTTTTCACCTTCTTCCCATATGAGCGTTATTCTTTGTGTCTGCAGAACACTCGTATGCCAACATTCCTACAACTCCGTATGAGCTTCCCGATGGCCAGTATGTTAGTCTTCTTATCTCGATACTCTGATGGAACTTTGAACTCACTGCAGTACGATTGAAGTTGGCGCTGAACGATTCAAGGTTCCGGACCTTATGTTCAATCCTGCCTTGATACAGGTAAACTTTGCTGTCTGTTTTCCAGGCTTTTCAACTCTTGTTTTTCGGAGCAGACAATACCTGGGATGGAGAAATATGGTGTTGATACGGGGCTCACCTTACGCGGACTACCACAGATGGTAAAAATATTTATTCTATTTTTCCTTCGAGCTATGGTTCCTTTTTCTCGCCAGGTTAGCGACTGCATAGGAAAATGCGATGTTGATATCCGGAGAGAGCTCTTCAGCACTATTTTGGTAGGAGAAATTGAGTTTTCGCAAATCTTAAATCTTATGAACTTTGCTCTGTGCAGCTCGCCGGCGGAACCGCATCAATGCAGCAATTGAAAGAGCGTTTAGAAAAGGACTTGGTTGAGGTTTGCCTGACTCAAATTCTCTCCGGGAGTTTCACACACAAATTTATTCCAGGAAGCACCACAAGCAGCTCGCGTCAAGGTTCTTGCAAGTGGGAACACAATCGAGAGACGCTTCAGGTAATAGATACATTTTGAACACCTCTCCTCACCCATAAATGTGCGGTTTCCTTTCAGCGTATGGATTGGTGGAAGTATTCTCGCTTCTTTGGGGTCGTTCCAGCAGATGTGGTTCTCTAAAGCAGAGTAAGATTTCATTCTTTCCCTCGTTCGGGTCTCTGAGCTTTTCTCAAACAAGCGCAGGTACGAAGAACACGGGCCATCGTATGTCCAAAGAAAATGTCCTTAGAAATCAGAAAAGTATGACTAATTTGTAATTATAAAGTTAAGAAACTGAAACTGATATAGAATTTTCGAAGTGTTACACAACTATAGTACTGGAGAGCAACAGATATGGTGCACTTTGGTTGGGTATCAAGTTCTGGAGCTCTCGAGATGCAAGCCTAGCAAAATCTTGATCCTTGTTGATCTTACTTGATGCCAGGAGTGAGATCCATGCAATCGAGTCCGGCAAAAAGGGCATATGCTTGATCAAATCCTCGCAAAGTTCCATTTGTCCCGCTCGACCCAACACGTCCACCATGCAGCTAAAGTGCTGCTTGCTGGGAGCAATGCTGTAATCACCCTGCATTTCTACAAAACACTCGCGCCCAAGACCAAGAAGCCCAACGTGGTTGCATCCGCTCAAGATGCCCAGAAAGGTCATGTCGGTGGGCATTAGGCCTTGCAAACAAAGGTGGCAGAGAATTCGTATCGCATCACCAAAGTTCCCCGAGTGAGCATGCATGGAAATCATAATGTCCACCGTAGTTGGGCTATGAAACGGCATAACTATGAAAGAGAACTTTGCTTTCTCCAGATGCCCAGACTGGGCATACGTGCCAAGCATGCAGTTCCACGCCAGTGATGCCCTCTCACGCATCAGATCGAAGATTTCCTTCGCTTCTACTACTTTTCCATTGCACCCAAACATTGCGATCATGCTTGTCCACGACACGGCATTGTGTCCAGGCATCAAAGTGTACGCTTTGATCCCTTCTTTGAAGCTTTGGTTCTGTCCATAGCCGGAGAGAATCGCATTCCAAGACACAACATCTCTTTCGGGCATTGTACCAAACAGCTGCGCTGCCGATTCTAGGAGATGGTTTTGGAAATACGCAGTTAAAATTGCGTTTAGTGTCACAAGGCTCCATGCAGGCATCCGATCGAACGTCACCTTTGCATCGCAAACAATGTAGTTCAGGACATATGAATTGCACATTGCAGTCCAGGATATCACGTCGCGTTGGGTCATATGATCAAAGATTTCCTTGGAATCCCTGAGATGCCCGTTTTGGGCATACGCCAAGATCGTAGTTGTCTTGCACACATTGTCCTGATGGCCCTGCATTGTTTCAAAAGTCTTCTTCACTTCTTCTAGCTCATTGTTGTCGGCATATACCTGCAGCATAATGGTCCAAGCTACACTGCTCCTTTCCGGCATCTTTGCAAAGATAAGCTTGCTTTTTTCATGGTATCCCCCACGGGCATATGCTTCGAAAAGCGTGTTCCAGGAGATGGCATCTCGCTCAGGCATGTCATCAAAAAGTAGTTTGACTGTGTCGATATGAGAAGATTTCTGGGCATATGAGGATATCAAAGTATTCCAGAGGATCGAGTTGTGCTCGGGCATAGCCTGAAAGATTTCTAAAGTCTCGTCATGGAACCTTCCCTGGGCACACGCATGAAACATCACACTCCATGAAAGGAGTGTCCTCTGAGGCATCAAGAAAAATAGGAACCTCACTGACATGACGGATCCTTCTAACGCAAATCCTTTCAACAAGGCGTTCCATGATATTACATCTCTCTCTTTCATAGATAGAAAAAGTTCTTTCGCTTGGAACAAATACCCATCTTCGGCAAAGGCTGTGATCATAGTGTTCCAAGTCGTAACATTAGAAGCAGGCATTTTCGCGAAAAACTTGCTAGCATTTGGCAATTGCGAGTTGATATTGTAAGCAGAAATCATTGAGTTCCAGGAGATAACATCTTTGTTCTTCGTCAAGTGAAACATCTCCTCTGCCGTTGCAATATACCCGTTCTGGGCATACGCATTCGTCATAGTGTTCCACGCTTGTAGATTCGGATCATGGATGGAATCAAACACCGTACGTGCCTCGTCGACGCGGCCGCACCTCCCGTACAGAAGAACGAGCTGGCTCGCCAGGCCCTTGTGGTCTCTGTACTCGCTTTGCGAGATCCACTCGTGAATACTTTTGCCGGTCGATAAGTCTCTCAAATCGCAACACCGTTTTAGACACGCTCGGAGCTCGCTCAAGAGTGCCACCATTGGAGAGACTCATCGTATAGACTCCTCAAACAAGAACACCAATCTATAAGAGACCCAAGTTCTCAAAATACTTCGTGGAGGATCACCCAAGATTGCCAGAATTTTTGAGCTATTTGAGCTATAGCATTAGATTTGAGCTATAGCATCTATCGCGATATACTATAGCTAAACTGTCACTGGCAATCTAGCTACCAAACAGAGGGTGGAGTGTCTTTATCCTCCTTGGCGCGATTCGAACCCCAGACCTCTTTAGCAGTGTCGGTTGTGGCCGTCCACGTGTTACATCCATCGGAGGTTTGCGTCAAACGCGAGATTATCGAAGCCCGAGGAGGAGCGCACGAAGACGCGCCGCGCCCTAGCTGCGATCCTTGGTCTGGCGCTTCAATCCACACTGGTAAGCAAGCTCCTCTAGATCCGCCGCGGCTTTGCTTGGCATCTCGCAGTGCCCGGTGTTTTCCCACGCATTCTCTTCTCTTTTCTTGAGATTTCGTGGAATGCGGGCAGTATTTCGAGCTCTAGGGCCCAGATCTCCGCCATTTCCTTTCCTTGTGCGAATTCTCACAGCGCTTGATCAGGTAGCGAGATCATGGGGTCTGCTTATGGCGCCTCGTATTTTGTGATCTTGGCGACGCTGGTGTTTGACATCATTGCTTTTGGGCTGGCGATTGGAGCGGAGTCGCGGAGAAATCACGTAAGTTCTTTCTCTCCCAGATTTGTCCCGGAAATATTTGGCTTTGAACGTTCCTTTCTTCGTGTGGTACCACGACCAGGTCACGATTGAGACGGACGTGAGTGATTCCTATACTACTTGCCGGTACAGCAAGGACATTGCCACTGGTCTCGGCATTGGAGCGTTCCTGTTCTTGCTCTTGGGTCAGCTTATCATCACTGGTGTCACTCGCTGCCTGTGTTGCTCCTCGCCACTTCGTCCTGGGGGATCCAGAGTTGCCGCGGTCGTGTTCTTCATCCTTTCCTGGTAAGCCCATCTCTCTCAATTCATCTCAGTTCTTCGACCATCAATTCCCGTTCCATCAATCCAAAACCATCGAAGCATTTTCTTCCCATCTATCTCCACAGTCCAACTTCTTCACTGGCTGTATGGTTTGATGTTTCCTTCGTATCATTTATCACTCCATAGACTTGGCAGCTGGGAAAGTTCTGATTCTTCTTTTCCCCGTGATCTTTCCAGGTTCACTTTCGTGGTCGCCGAGCTCTGCCTCTTGGCCGGATCGACACGAGCAGCGTACCGCACGCGCTCTCGCGGCTACCAGGGCGCGTTCGATCTAGACTGCAAGACGCTGAGGAAGGGAGTCTTCTCCGCCGGCGCCGCGTTCACCTTCTTCACGCTGCTCCTGAGCGAAGGCTACTACTTGTGCTTCGTCAAATCCCAGGAAAACGCATGGCAGACTTACAACACTGGCGGAGGCCCCGGCGTGGGCATGACGCCATATCCAAGACCATACTAAAAGACGAAGAAGATGGATGATTTTCCATTCCAGTGGAAAGACGAGGGGCATTTTGCTAGCTAGTATAGAGATATAGTCCTTGAATCAATCATTGGTTTGCACCTTAATATCAGTATCAATACTGTTATTTCTAGAAACCATACCAAATGTTTTCGGCCTTTGGATTTTTCTCAAACTTTCTGAAGAGCTTTCTCGCCTCAAGGAACCAAGATGCCTTTGACGAGGTATACACTTGCGAGCAAGAACGAGACGAGAATCCTGTAAGTTCCAGTGGTGGAGTAGAGAAGGCAGAGTAGCTTGTCGATCACTTCCTGGAGGCATGATGAGAAACCGGGTGGCAGCGTTGGAGTGCTCCCAAAGTTTGCGAACAGGAAATCATCGAGGAGGGCTATGATCCCGCGCAGGACGTCGATGAAACTTGGAGGACTGCCCGTGGTGCCCAAGCCAGCGTAGTCGATGAGTGGAGACAAGAAGGCCGAAGCTTGCGGGTATGTCTTGTTGCAATACTGGAGCTTTTGCTGGATCGTGATGAAGTCTTTGGTGATGTTACCAGCTGCAAGCACAGCAAGAGAAAGATCGATTAGAAACACAGCGTTAAGTTTTTTCTTGAGATCAAGCTACTAACAAGTATAACTGTCTGCCGTGCAGCTTGAAACCAGAGAGATCATGACCAGCATTGCTAACACGGATGGTAGAATGGAAGCCATTTTTTGATGAATAATCACTAAGCACTATAAAATTTCACTAAGCAAGCGCTATAACTGCAAAGACAACGAGTGCGGGTTTATTAGGAGGAAGTGTACAAAAAGTCCAGGGTGATACCGCTTACCGACCTTACCAAAACCAAAACCAAAATCAAATCAATTTTTGAGTTGGTCGTCACGGTGGAGAGTCCCAGCGCCAAATTCTGTCGTCTTCATAGCAGCACAGGATGGTGCTACCGGAAAAGAAAAAGCAGAGAAACCATCAATCAATCCATACAGGAGAAACAAGCTTAAAACGAGGCCATCGATCACTTAAGCGCGAAGCTCGCGACCAATTTGGAAGCACTGGATCTGGAAAGACATTTAAGAGAAGTGGAGCTAGTTTGAGAAGCCGAGAGAACAACGTCCAGTCTTTCATCACCAGCATCATATAGACAGAAAAGTTCACTGTGGCGAGAACCGTCAATGGCCCGACCATTTGGACGAGAGGCAAGATTTTAACAATGCATGGTATGAAAGCATTTCTTTTCTTGTTTTTTTTCTCTCTCTTCGTTAACATGGTAACTTTGTTTGCTTCACAGGACGCTCTATCGGACGCTCTATCGAATCCACATTGTGTGTTGTCTGGTCTAAACAATGGTATATGTGTCATCAAAACCATAGGCCTAGCTGCACGATCTGTGGATGGAAACCATCAAATAAAACCATGAACGCATTGCTTTCTTTCGCCCACCCGAGGTTGCCACTTTCTCAACACTGGCGCAGGCCTGGCATGAAGACCATACTAAAACGATGGATGATTTTTCAGAGGAAAAGAGGAGGGCTTGTATAGAAATATAATTCAATTATTGGTTTGCATCTTAGTATTATTACTATTATTCATATCAATGTAGAGATGGCCTATGCTCGTTTCTCAAACTAACGGAAGATCTTCTCGCCTCAAGGAGCCAAGATGCCTTTGACGAGGTATACACTTGCGAGCAAGAACGAGACGAGAATCCTGTAAGTTCCAGTGGTGGAGTATAAAAGACGGAGTAGCCTGTCGATCACTTCCTGGAGGCATGATGAGAAACCGGGTGGCAGCTTTGGAGTGCTCCCAAAGTTTGCAAACAGCAAATCATCGAGGAGGTCTATGATCCCGCGCAGGACGGCGATGAGACTTGGAGGACTGCCCGTGGTGCCCAAGCCAGCGTAGTCGATGAGTGGAGACAAGAAGCCTGAAGCTTGCGGGTATGTCTTGTTGCAATACTGGAGCTTTTGCTGGATCGTGACAAAGTCTTTGGTGATGTTACCAACTGCAAGCACAGCAAGAGAAAGATCGATTAGAACCACAGCGTTAAGCTTTTCCTTGAGATCAAATTACTAACAAGTTATAGAACTGTCTGCCGTGCAGCTTGAAACCAGAGAGATCATGACCAGCATTGCTAACACGGATGGCAGATTGCAAGCCATTTTTTGATGAATAATCACTAAGCACTATAAAATCTCACTAAGCACTACAAATGCAAAGATAACGAGGTGCCCTTTTATTTAGAGGCAGTGCCCAAAAAGTCCAACAGCTTACCGACCTTACCAAAATCAGATGCAAATCAAATAATTCACTCCTTTGATCTCAAGTTCAAGTCTTGTATATGTACGCGTACCGAACTATATTGTAAAGATCCTGTAAATAAACCATTAGAGCTAGCTTTACCAAAAAACAAAATACCCGCTGGGAATTTTGAGTTGATCGTCACGGTGCAGAGTCCCAGCGCCAAATGCTGCCGTCTTCACAGCAGCACAGGATGGTGCTACAGCCAAAAGCAGATAAACCATCAAGCACCGAAAAATGATGAAAGAATGAGAAGAATTGGTACCTTCCATCCACAGAAGTTGCTGTTTGTCTTATGGGCGACTTGCACTGCGAATGTGAGAGCCTGCATGCAATGCACGTTTCTTCATTCAGCTCGACAACAATAAGATCTTACTTTGCAACGAAGCCCGGAGGACTGGATTGGAGATCCCAAACAACAACCTTGCCTTCCCTGTTGCCTGTCACACAGATAAGAAAAGTAGAGTCGCGAGAAAGTTATAAGATATCGCCTGCGGGCTTTTACCTATTGACATGGTACTGAAGTAAAAGTCACACGAGAATTTTATAAACCATATGTCGCAGTCTGGCACTGGGTACTTCTGGATGACATCTACAGCACCCTGTTTACGAGATAATGATATTGCCCGTTCTAGAAAAATGAAAATAAAAAAAATAGAGGCTCACGTCGTTGGAAGAATGCTCTCTGAAGATTGGTTCCCACAAAACGATTTCATTATCCACACTCTGCGAATACAAAAATCATTTGTGGTAGAAGTTAAAATAAAGGACTTGCTTAACCTTGGACAAGACAAAGTCGCCGAGCCACCTAGTACAATCCACGTAGTTTGAGTGTACAACTGCGTTAAAAATCTACAGCTTTTTATAAGTAGGATGAACGTGGCTGCATACCGGAAATTGCACGTATTTGGTGGGAAAACGAGAGGATACGTCAGTCCAGGTTTTAGATTGCTCCACATATATCCAAAAATCTGGATGCACAGAGCAAATCAATTTGGGGATGTGTCAAGCTTTTGAACGAACCTTTAAACGACCAGATCTTTATACTGTTGTCCATTCCACAGCTAGCTAGAAGAAATGTATTGGATGGATGGAAGTCCTGTCGAAAAACATATGAAAATAAAAAAACAAAAAGGACTTCATTTACCACACTAAGTACTTCGTTCCGATGACCGCCAGCTCCACCAAATATTAAGATGCAGACACCTGTTTGTAGATTCCAAAGTCGTATAGATTCATCCTGGCAAGGTAAAACATGTTGATAGAAAACACAAGTGATCACTCAATATTTTACCTTGCTTGCAGACGCTATCAAAAACGGGTTCTGACTCTGCGTCCTTAACTCATTGATAGAATCTCCATGCCCAACAAAGCTCTGAAACGCAGCTATGGATATCAGCAACTCAGCACGACCACCAAATCGTAAAAGCCGAACCTTCGACAATCTCTCCATTCCGCAGTCTATAACGCGTATAATCCCGTTGCTTCCGCTCGCAATGAGCAAAGGCAAGCCACTGAGATCGCAGGCCCAAGTAACTGTGTAAAACGATTCGTCTTTCTAGAGGAATGTGGGTCGATTGAAAGAATGGATTTACAGAAAAAACTTACATCCTCATCGACATAAGCCTGTAGCACGGCCACAGCACCTCCTTCCAAGCACTGATAGACTGTAATCTGGAAAAAACAACATTGGAGCTAACAAGATTGGATAACAAGAACTTTGCTTACTCTGTTTCCACCGGCGGAAGCAAAGGTATTGTGATATCTCATATCCAAGAAATTAAACGCGATGGCATAGAGTGGTCGCTTGCCTTCCTGGAGTCGATTCGTGAGCTTATACTCGCGCTTCTTCTTGCTCGCAGTGGCAACACCCACAACGGGAGCCAATCCCAGTCCTGCTCCAGGTCCTACCGCCTTCATCCTGGCACGAGTAACGAAGAAAACCCTCAAGAACCCTAAAATCTCGCGAAAGAAAGAACGAGCGACTCACCTGACGCGCCCTCGGCATAGATGTTGGACAGCAGCTGATACGTCGCGCGGCTCTCCGGCTCCTCCGCCGCGATCTTGCGAGCGATCGCCGATCCCGTCTGGCGATCGCCGTGGATCCGGCAAGCGCTGAGGATCGTCGTCAGCGTCGCGGAATGTGGCCGGAATGGCATCGAATCGATCACTCCCGCCGCCTCCGAAATATGCCCCGATCTCGAGAGGAGATCCACGATCCCGACCAGTGGCTGATCGCTGCGCGCCGCGATGCCGTAATCTTCCATCTGTGACGCGAAGAAGAACAAGCCCTGATTGACGAGGCCGGAGTGCGTACACGCCGAGACGATGCTCGTGAATGTGATCTCGTTAGGGATAATCCCCTCGAGCTCCATCTCCATGAAGGTCGCCACTGCCATGTCACCATAGCCGTTTTGGGCATATGCCTCCACCATGGCAGTCCACGTCACGATGTCGCCAGCGTGGCGGATATTCTTAAAGATGCTTCTTGCTTTGCTGAAATTTCCGCCCTTTCCATACATGTTGATGAGCGCGTTCTTGACGCGGCGATCGTGCTCTAGGGTTTGCAGATCGGCTATGCTGGAATGGATGAATCGATCGTGCGCGAGGGATGGGGTGTTGGCGCAAGCGTCTAGGAGAGTGATCAAGGTGATCGCGTTTGGCGCGACGCCGTCGAGATCCATGGCACGGAAGATCTGCATCGCCTCTCTTCCCTGGCGATTGCGAGCGTAAGCCGAGATCATCGAATTCCAGGCGCCGACCTTGCAGCAGCACGGCAGGATCGCGTCAAAGGCCGCCCTGGCAAGCTCGATGTGGTCGCATCGAGCGTACATATCGATCAGAGCGCTGGCGACGGCGAAATTGGAGGACGAGGCTGCGCAGCACTCCTGGTGGAGTAATCTCCCAGTTGCGAGATCTCCCAGGCTGCCGCAGGCAACGATTGCGCTCACAAACGTGATCTCGTCCGGGAAGACTCCGTGGAGATCCATCGTCCTGAATAACCCCAATGCCTGCTCAAAGCACCCGTTCTGTGCGAATGCCGCAACCATGCCTGTCCAAGAGACGATATTTCTTTGTTCCATCGCGTCGAAAATTTCCATCGATCTCTCCACGCTGCCGCATTTGCCAAACATATTCACTGCCGCATTGCCGATTCTAACATCCTGCGAGGGATTCCACTGCCAAGAACCAGAAGAATACACCGATTCGGCCATTGCCAGGGATCCAAGACTCGCGCAAGCGTCGAGAATAGTGATCAAAGCCACGGCGTCCGGCTTCAATCCTTCCTGGATCATCGATCGAAACACCCCCACCGCATCTGAAAATTCCGCGTTCTCGGCAAGCGCTGCGATCATCGATGTCCAGCACACCACATTCCTCTTGGGAAGAGCAACAAACGCCGATCTAGCTCGCTCGATCGATCCACACTTGCCATACATCGTCACTAGCGCAGCGCCTACTGCCGCGTTCTTGACAAGCCCTAGCTCGCAAGCTCGAGACGCATGAAGGCACTGCCCCAAGCCGAGCCATCCAACGGCGCCGCACGACTCCAGCGCGACAAGGACCGTCACATCCGACGGCGGGACGCCCTCCAGATCCATAACCGCCAGCAGATGTAGAGCGTCCATCTGCCGGCCATTCTCCGCGTAGAACGCCATTATGGAATTCCAGCAAACGACATTCCGTTCCGGAATGTGGTCGAACACTTTCCGGGCATCATCAAGATGCCCGTTCTGGGCATATGCCGCGAGCATCAAAGACCACGAGAAGACGTTCTTCCGTACGATGGAGTCGAAGGCGGCCCTGGCCGAGTCCACGTCCTGGCACCTGCCGTACATTTGGACGAGGAGATTTCCCAGGAACGTATCGCAGCTGTGGCCAAATTTTTCAATATGAGCGTGAAGAAGTTTGCCTTGCTCTAAATTCTTTGTTTGCCGTAAGAGTGAGGCATAGGAGGAGAACTTCACGGGAGCGTCTGGAAGATCCAAGCTCAAGCAATCCATACAGCGGAAACAAGCTTAAAACGAGGCCATCGATCACTTAGTCGAAATAAGCGATCAAATTGGAAGCACTGGATCTGGGAAAACATTTAGAGAAGTGGAACTAGTTTGAGAAGCTGGCTTACCAGAGAGAAGCAAAGTGTTACGTCCAGTCTTTCATCACCAGCATCATGTAGAGAGAAAAGTTCACTGTGGCGAGAACCGTCAATGGCCCGACCATTTGGACGAGTCTTCGCCGAAATCTATTCCTGCTGCTCGGAGAAAGATTGCTGCTTGTATCAGTGTCGGTAACTTCGTCCGGGACGGTGGAGGCCTTCGACTTTGCTGTTGCTCGTTGGATGACGTTTCCTCTGTAGAAAAATCCTTGTTAGAAGATTGATAAAAAGTAGCGCAAGGCTAACCTTCGCTCGGAGCCTTGAGATGAAGAGACGCTAGTTTGTGGGAGGCTTTTCTTTACGAGATGCATGCCACCTTCCGCGTCCCAGAGCATCTCCCACTCTGCGTCTTCGTCCTTGGCTTTGACACCTTCAGAGCCGGCCTTGAGTGCGTCGTAGAGGCTACGAAATGACTGCCACAGATCTATTCCCTGGCTGGGCCAGAAGAACAGAGCGAGTACAGATATCACGAACAGGACACCATACCTGTGAAGCAACAAAGTTACCATGTAACGAAGAGAAAAAAGAAAAGAAAAGAAATACTTTCATACCATGCATAGTTGAAATCTTGAGCCGGAAGGAAACAAAGCCTCTCCGAGATGATTGTGTCTGTCATTGCCGATGAGCTTCGAGGCACAGAAAGCATCATGAAGGAGGGATATATATTTCCTTGTTGCCAGCTGAACGTTCCCACTGTGTACTGCGAAGGTCACAAATTACAGAAGCTTGTCTGGTGAAATTTGATCTTACCTCTGGATAAAACCCTTCGGGAGTGGCATGAACAGTCTTGCACTGGTCATGGTCATGACCCGAGAACACCATAACCTGAGAAGAACACGAGTTTCTTTGCAAATCAAATCAAATGTAAGACACAAGCGTACAGGTTTCGTCAAGTTGAGGAGCTTCTGACTCGTTCCATCCGTCAAGTAGTTTTGATATCTGTGAAACAGTAAATGAGTTGAGTTGCAGTCACTGTGGAGGAACATCTTACGTTACCCTTCCGGGTGACCAGTTCGTCCTTCTCAGTCTCTAGCCAATCAACAGTGAGAACATCTTAGAAATCGCCTAAGAGAAGCTTACCTGATTAATAACTTCGGACGCTCGATCGGATCCGCAGGGTGTGTTGTCTGGTCTAAACAATGGTATATGTGTCATCAGAACCATAGGCCTAGCTGCACGGTCTGTGGAATAGAAAAATCAAAACAAAAATCAACTATGAACAGCATTGCTTTACCCGAGCTTGCGACTTTCTCAACAAAACTCCAAGAAGCATTTGTGAAAGGGTCCGCTCTTGAACCTGTGAACAAGAGCGTTTGGACTGTAAGAACTCAAAGAGAAAACTGGCTCCAACGCGTACCATCAAGAGCTTGCGAGTTCACAAACACGAAGTCCAAGCTACCAATGTTGTGAATGAAATCGGTTTCACCGAACTTCTTCTGGTACCTCTGTGCTATCTGCGAAAAAGTCCATAGTTTCGAGCCAAAGAAAAACAGAAAACAGAGAGAAGGAAACGATACCTGTGGTTTCTGAGAGAACACCTCATGATATCCCAAGTCGTGGTTTCCACACAAATAATACGTGGGAATTTTCTTCCTCGACTTCAAACCTCTTTGGGTCTGATCAAAGATATGCTCGAAACGTTTCCAAGACTCCTCCCACCTGTGGAAGAGCTGTTCTTATAGAGCTAGAATTTGTAAGGTAGAAGAAATTCTTACTCGTCATCCGCGAGGTAAGGTCCTCCATCGAAGTAATCTCCCAAGAAAAGTATCTCATCTGGTTCTAGACCGAGCACAGACGATCGAAATGCCCGTCTCATGTAGATATCGGAGTAGAACTGGATGATCTTCAGCAGGAGCGAGCGAGGATCCATTCCATACGATGTCCTGTCGGTCAGCTATCGATCGATGCGTCAGGGGAGTCAAATATTTCGGGGAATTTGCCAAGAACACGGACCTGTGGATCGGCAATGAGGACGATTCTCAGCGGCCTCTCTCCCGGCGGTAATTTCGTGCTCGCAAATTTCTGCCAGAAAGAATTTGCGTGAGAGAATTGAAAATTCCTGGAGGAAATGTGCGAATGCCTGCTCTAGATTCGGCCAGGAGCAGCTCCACCGGGGGATCCAAAACGCGAGGAGCTCGCCGTAGAGCAAAGACGCGATCCAGAGGCCTCCCAAGAACACCGTGAGCGTCCATAGCGACCGCATTTTCCCCTAAAACATTTGTTTTGTTTAGGGCTCTACCAAAACTGGGTAGGGTTTTAGGAGGAGAGAATGCGAGCGGCGACGATCGCCCTCTGGCGAGCTTCCAGCTCGATTCACAGAGGTATGCAGCGGGCGGCGATCGTCCCGCAATCACAGCCGGCGGCATTGCTCCATTGTCGGAAGATCAGCGAGGAGGCGCGGAAATATCGTGTGCCGACGCCAATGGCGGGCTGGGCGCGCGGATTTCCTCGTCCCAAGGGCGTCGAGCCTTCGTCCCGGGACTGGCGGAGGAAATCTGTGAAGGTAAAGAAGAATCGCAGATCTTTCTGTCCCTACACGATCAAAGCCAGGCGCGTGTACAGCAGGGTGAGATTTGAAGCTCAGGAGAGGCGACTCAAAAGGGCTGCCGATCGCGAGGCTGCTGCTGCCGCCGCTGCTGCCGGAAACAAAGATGGAGGAGAGGATGCGCCCCGGATGGATCGAAGCCACAGCGAGCAGCATTTCTCCGGTAGAGCTGCTCCCGGCTTGGATTTCTACTCGAGGTTTGTCAAGCCCAGCGGACGTACCGAGCTTGTGCCGGCGGCAGTGGCACCACCCAACTTTCCTGCCTATTGCAAGCCGGTGGTGAAGAAGATCGATTCATGGAGAGCTCCGTGGACGCGGCCATTCAAGAAACCCAGGCAGGAGTATCAAGTTGGAAGGCCGAGGCCACTGCCAAAAGCCGCTGCTCGAGCCGTGAGAAGCGATCGAGAGGTTGCGAAGGTGAAGGGCCGCGAGAAGAAACTCAAGAGGCTCGCGAGAGGAAAGATCGTCAATCCCAAGCAAAGGATGGAGTACACTTGAGAGAGGTAAGGTGGGACTTTCTCTTTTTCGTTTCATAGTGATAACTCTAAATTCTCGCAGATGGTGATGAAGATGGATTCAATTGTAGTAGTTATCGTAGTCGCAGTTAAACAAGATCTCATCATCGGCATCCACTCCGAGGCAGTCTGAGAGATCAATCGACGCCGGCTTTCCGCCACAAACAACAGAGATCTCTGTTCCTTGGATCGTGAGTGTCGAAGTCTGGCAGCTTGTTACAAAGTTGTGGCTGGCATCCCCGCACTGGAGCTCGTTGTTCTCGTACTGCAAGAGAACCTGGAGGTGGTAGCGGTCACTAAACCAGTTGCCGTGCGCGCGGCAAGTCACGTAGAGGTAATCTTCGATGCTGTCGTAGTGGATGTCCCGGCACTCGGTACTGTTGAAAGTTTTGACATCGCAGTTCTGCAAGCCACAGAGACGAGACAAGACGTCAAGAAGTGATGCGGTGATTATCAAGCATCAAACTTACAGCGCTAACTTGTTGGAGCACAGCTGCTGTGACGACGAAGGCCAGGATCGAAGTTTTCAAGGAGCCCAAGAACAAAGCCATCCTCCCGAGCTCGAAAGGTTTGCTGCTCTTGGTTTATTATCCCTGGCCTCATTCTCTTTACGTGCGTCTTGAAGCAGGAAGACTGTGCGTTATAAAAGAATGCTAGAAACTCCAAAAAGAAGTTACTTGCCACTCGCGAAAATGCTACAGCCACATCTCGTCGGCCGCGTTCTCAGAGGCAGCGTACATGTTGTCGGAGCCAGCGATTTTCACGTCCAGGATCAGGTGGACTTTAGCTCCAAACCGCGCTGACAGTTCCTCGTTTGCAGCCATTCCGATTTTCCTGGAAGAACACGCTCGCGAGCTCTTTAGCCTGTGGAAATTAGCATCGTCCGAGTTACCTGATGAGACCTCCATTCTTGCCAACGAGAATCTTCTTTTGAGAGTCTGTAGGCACGATTATCTGCTGCTCGATGCGGATGGAGCGGTCTTTTAAGATTTTCCACGAGACGTGCTTGTGGTGAAGATGATACGGTATTTCCTGGAAACAAATAAAGCGATCAAATAAATTCTTCTCGAGAATTTGCAAGAGTTTGCAAGTATTACCTGGTGTACATTGTCAAGGACGTGCTCCCACACAACTTCTTTCGCCACTGCGATAGGACTCATGTCCGTCACGACACCCTTTTCTTCTTCCCAAGGCCTGGGTACTGCCTAGAACGAAGAAACAAATCGTGTGAGCAAAACCAAAAGCCGAAAAGAGAGAAAAGAAAAGAAGCTCACTTTCTCTAAAAGGTACTCTTTTAAGTGTCTCACGCCGCTTCCTCTCAAGCCGGAGATCATGAAGACCCTGTGACGTGAAACGTTGAAGAGATGGGAAGTGACGAATTTTTTTGATACCTGTCGTATCCAGGGAGCGAGCCAAACTCCTGCGCCAGCGGCACTAACTCCCGCTTTTGACGAATCAAGTCGACTTTGTTCAAGCACAAGATCCTCTTTTGCTTTGGATCCTTCTTCTCGCCCAGCTTTTCGATCAGTTTTCTCACTCTCTGGTCGGGACTGTCAAGCGAAGAACCACGTCTGAGTTGCTTCATCGAGGAAATGTATACGTCCTTACCGTTCTATCTGGCGATGAGCGTCCACCAGCACGATGAGAACTTCGCAGTGGCCAGTGACCATCCAGGCGCTTTGGACTCGGCTTTTGACGTCTCGTCTTACGGCCTGACCCTTCCAGCGCATCATCAAACCAGGAGTGTCGTAAAACAGCTGCGAAGGCCGAAGATAAGCTCCATATTCCTCAAGAAAAAGCATCAAAAGCTTACAACTTGCGTATCATTCTCTGTTAAAACTCCGAGGATCTCGTTTCGTGTTGTGTTTGTCTTTCGAGAGACTGCCGACACCTTGGTTCCAACCTGCATTTGGATGGGAAGTAAAGAAAACATACGAAGAAGAAAGATAGAATCGCTTACCAGGAAGTTTAAGAGTGAAGACTTCCCGGCGTTGGGAGCTCCAATTATCCCGACTCTCACGGACATTTGCTCGTCCAGTGACACAGATCCGATATCAGCCGAGCGATCGTCGATGGCTGCCAGTAGTGCCTTGACTTGAGTCGCTCCAGAGACTTTCTCATCACCTTGAGCGGACGAAGACGTTGTGGCCGTGTTCAAATCCTCAATCATCTTCTCACGTTCCAAGCTAGCCGGCTGGTCATCTTCGTCCGAGACTTTCTCATCACCTTGAGCGGACGAAGACGTTGTGGCTGTGTTAAACTCCTCAATCATCTTTTCACTTTCCCAGCTAGCTGTCTGATCATCACCTCCCTTGATCACGATTTCCTCAAATGATTTGAAGTCTTCATCGTCTTCTTCCGAGCTTTCGAATTCGTTGCTCTCCATGAAGCTGTTTAGTATAGCAGTGCTCTCCGGAATCTCTTCTTCTCCTGTAGCGACAGTCCCACTTTCTTCTTGTGGGACGAGGCCTTTGTCAACCAAAGCTCTCTCAACTCTCTCCCGGTAAGAAGTCTTCCATCCTTCCACCTTCGCAGGAGGAAGATCAAGAGGCTCCACTACTCCGTCAACTTCCCTCTGGAGAGACTTCAAGGATTTTATCGCAGCTTCGATCAATTCTGTGCCTTGGCTCTTGGGCTTTGCCACAGGAACACTACTTTTCTTCTTTTTCTTCTTGAGCTTTTTCCCCGGCTCAAACTCTTCGTCGTCTTCTTCTTCTTCTTCCTCCTCTGTGTCAATGCTGGACGATTTTTCTTTGGCCTTTACGTTTGAACTTCTGGAATCTTTGCTCTTGGTGACCTCCTGAGACGTCTTCTTCGTCTTCTTCTTCAAATTCTCCCTTTCTTTCTCCAAATCCTCCGCTTTCTTCCTCACGATCTTTGCATTTTCGATCTTCTCTCGTTCTGCCTTGCCCAGCAAAAGACCCGATCCATCTCTGAGAGGAAGTCTAAACTTATCCTTTCCCCAATCCACGAACTTCCTCCCATCGATCTCTCCCCTCTTATACTTCTTCTCTACTTCCCCTCTCTTCTTCAGCTGCTGCTCAGCAAACCTGGCCCTCGCGAGCTCCCTGACCCGCCGCCGCCGCTCCTCCAGCACCGGATTCTCGCGCTCGCTGTCCGACGCTCGCGATCCCAATCTCCGCACGCCAATGCCCGTGAGAATCCTACTGCCACTACCTCGGAGCGCGATCAAGCCTCGCCTCTCTAGCATCTGAAAATGCCAGTATCAAGAACCCTAAGATTTAGGGTTTAACCCCTTTGCTGGCGTAAGCAACTGTTCTTCCGGCTCTTTCATTGTCCTTCATTGTTCTTCCAGCAAAGAAACATAAATATGGTGTTCGAGCAAACAAACTTCGCGATGATGGCGATCAAGCTTATGTGCGCTCTTCTTTTTCTTCTCGTTTGTGGCACTGGTGAGTTACTCTTAGATCTCTCAAGCTCCTGGAACTAACATCAAGTTCGTCAGACTCGAGAGGAGTGAACGTCGAGTGGGATGTTCTAAACTGGACTACAGATGGTTACCAGGTTTGATCTTCCAGCTCCTTACATTCTTTGCTTCGTCGCAGTGCTGATGTGAATCGATCTCTTCCAGGCTCTAGTAACTCTGGATTCGTCTGGAGAGAAGAGCTTTTCAAAGCACGGATGGGCTTACGGCTGGACTTGGGCGAAGAAGGAAGTGATCTGGGAGCTCGAGGGAGCTAAAGTCCAGGATCAAGGCAACTGTACTCGCTTCATTGGAAACAAGCCTCTTGCTTGTGATCGCTCGCTTGTCCTGGTTCCAGCTGCGAAGAAGCGTGACAAAAACGAGAAGAAGGTTGTCTCTTTCCTGGTCACCGTTGGCGAAGCAGGGATGAGCACTATCACGGTTGATCTTCCTAAGAACTTTACTTTGAAGCCTGGGTATCACTGTGGAGCTGTGAAAGAATCATCTGCGCATAAGAAAGGAGCTCTAAGTAAGAACTACGTGTTATTTTTGCTTGCAAAGTACCTGAATCTGATACCTTGTTTGATGAACAGAGAGCTGGGAATCGCTGTGTGCTTGAGCCTCGCTTCAGACAGACTTAACGAGGCTTTCGTCTTCTAGAGGTGTTTTCTGGAATTGATTTCTCAACTGTCCACAAGCTGCATTTGCATCCAGGCCACGAGTTTGCCTCACCGAGGCATTTACTCGGCACTTAGCCAATGTTTCAACAAATGTCTGCACCTATGAATAATGAAAAACATCAAGATGTGTTGTAGAAAGCTTATAACGAGCTTACTGATTTTTGCCAAGGTCGTTGAAACAAAGAGTCCGCAACTGGATTATATGGAATGAGGTTCACATGATGGCTCATATCCCAGTGATGGAGAAGCTCTCCTAGTTCGAAAGCAAGCTCCTTAGAATCGTTTACGCCAGCTGAGAAAAGCCAAAAAAATGAATACAGTGCTCCAAAGCAAAGTACGTTGGAACGAACCTAGAAGAGTATACTCGAATGACACCCGACGCCCTGTGATGCTGAAGTATTCTTTGCAATCTTCCATCAACGCATCCAGCGGATAGGACTTAGCGCTGGGTACAATTTGTTCCCTGAGGCGCTGATTTGGTGCGTGCAAGCTGTTTCGGTGGAAACAAACACAAGTATTAAAACCGAGGAATAGAGAGGAAAGATTGGTGTCCCACCTTACAGCTAAAGTGGACTGAAGCTTATGTGCCGCAAGTTTACGTATAGAGTTTGGAACACCAACGGTCGAAATGGTTATCATGCGTTGGCCGATTCCGATATCTTCGTTAAGGCATCGATGAGCGGCAAGAACTGACGCCATATTCAGCATTGGTTCTCCCATTCCCATGAAGACAACGTTGCTCACTCGCTGTTTGAAAATTTCCTCCATAACAAGGACCTGAAATAAAAATCATGTCGCACTCCAAGGTATATTGTGCGAACAAATAAAACCTGCTCGATAATTTCGTGTGGCTTCAAGCTTCGCGTAAAACCACCTTTACCAGTAGCACAGAAGGCGCATCGCAGAGGACAGCCTACCTAGACAATTGCAAAGTTGTATGAAAGAAAAAAGGAGCTGGAAAAAAAAGAAACCTGGGATGAAACACAGACAGTGAGCCGATTGTTTTCTTCATCAGCTGGTATTCCCACAGTCTCTATTAAACGACTATCTTTAAGCTTGAGTAACACCTTAAGAGAAGCTAAATGTTAAAGACGATCTTTGCAAGAACAAGAGAAAAATGAAAACCTTGATTGTACCGTCTACAGAGTTGACTTTGTGATGAATTGGAGATCTTCCAACTTCCCATCCCTCGGAGATGAGTTTTTCTCGAAAGCCTTTCGATACTGAGCCACAAGCATTTTCCTCTAAGCATCCTGAAGGAAAAAAAAGCTTGAGGAACTTACAGTTTGTGAATTCTTGTATCTCAGCCTTGCGGACTTTGTAGAGAAGAAGATACATTTGCTTTCCTCGAAACCTCTTCTGTGAGCAACAAAGAAAATAAACACAGTGACAACGAATATTTCATGACGCTGGAAAACATTACCTCTCCCATTTCTTCACACAGATCTTGAAGCTCCTTCTCGGATTTCCCTAGCAGGAATTTTCGTGGACTGATGATCTTATCATCCTTCACCTGTACCTCCGGACGAGCCTCGACCTCGTTGATCTCCAATGCCTCGGCTGCCTGTGAGAAATTTCGGCGAGAAAGATTGCCGAGCCCGGCGCATTTTCCCAGTGGCGCACAGACCCTAACTCTCGCAGCAGAAGAAACGATCGAGAACGCTAGCCTGCTCTGCTGGAGCTCTATCGCCATCGCCATAGCCGCGCGCTTCATAAACCCATCATCCAGATAAACCCTAGAAAGATTCGATGGAATATTTTATGGCGGGGGGATAACTTATCTTGTTCTAGGGTTTCTAGAGAGGGCGAGCGAGGAATGGAGCTCTCGAGGTTCGTGCATTGGTTTCTCTGGTGGAGCTGGCTTCTGTGGGCGCCGCGATTCGTAATATCGCAGCCAGGGCGCGATTGCTTGATGCTGTGCTCGCAGAACATCACCTGCGCGTTAGAATGCGCGGCGTGTGACTTCGATTGCTGCAGCTCCACTTGCGATTCAGCTCGCCCCGGCGCTGTTTGTGATCCATTTTGCTATGTCTCCAGTCTCGATGTGAGCGATTGCTGCGTTAGCGCTCCATCGCCGCCTCCAACTCCGGCCCCCAGTATGTAGCACTATGGACTCCACTATTCCCTGGTAAAATTTTTTGTCATTTTTTTTCCTTCGTTGCTTGATCATGGTTTGTTCTATGCTCATTTTTCTTCTTGGTTTTTTTTTCTTTGTTCTATGCTTGATCATGATTTTTCTTGAAAGGCTTTCATCTTCTTTTGCTTGAACCATCTTGAGAAGTTGTCATAGTTCTTTGAGTTTCTATCGTTGAGTTTGCGTGAAAAGTTTTCATTCTTTATATCTTTGTGTTCTTCTATGCAGTTATACCAGGGCCTGGAAACTGCAGCGTTATCGACATTCTTGCTGTAAAGATCACGATGGTCGAGGGAGTGCCGTTCACTTTCAATATTGTTGCCATCGATTCGAGCTGCAGTGGATCGACTTGCTCTTGCACTACACCTTATGACGGATCGCCCAGCCTTTTTCAAGTACGTATCTTCGATTCCGGAACTGGATTTACTCCACCCAATACTGCCTGCAACGTGAGCCAGGGGTCCAGTTCTGGAGTATTTCCCGTGTCATGCCTTGCTCAAAATTCCATTGCAGATGCCAATGCTCAATACATCCTTTTTGTGACTCTCTTTTCCTATGGTTTTTGGGTGGTTCCTATCGGATTTTCGAGCCCGGCCATCACTATCATTTCCGGTATGCTTACAGTGTTATCCGTCCGCAGTTTTAATGTTTTTTCTTTTTCTGATTCTCAGGTCCTGTGTATGTTCCTGTATGTGTTGCTACATGGTCCAACAATAGCAGCACCTTCGTTGCTGGCACAATGGCTACGCTGCAGATAACTCAAAAAGACGCATTCAATAACACTGTTGGTGGAAAGACTGGACGAAGTGTACTATACAGCTTTCAGCTCGCCGTAATTGCCAACCCTGCCGTGAACACCTCGACGAGCTTTCCCAGTTTCAATGTCTCTGGTAACGCGACTGAAGGTTCTCAAACTGTTTCTTTCTATCCTACTACAGCCGGTAGATTCTACTTGCAAGTTGGAAATGGCACTCACGTTATCCAAAAGGCACCGTTCCGCTTTTACGTGGTTCCAGGTAAAAGATTTTGTCAGCAACGTGTATTCTTTCTGATGTTCTTTTTTTATTTTTTCTTTTTTGGTCTTTCTTTGATATATCAGGTCCTCTTTCTATGAATGACAGTTCAGCTGTTTGGCCAAACGGAGTTAATTCCTTTGAGGCGGGGTCTAATTCTTCTCTAGCAATATTACAACTCGATGGATTCAGCAATTCTATTCCAAATATGGAGCTACTTCTAAGCTTTTACTACTCGGATGGCAGTACACTGGCGCCTCTGAATGTAACAGTTGCTCCCCTCGAAATCGACACGGATTATATTGCTGCAACTTTTATGCCAATCCAAGCAGGCCAATATTATCTGCACGTTGGAAATGGATCACAAGAATTACAACTTTCACCCTTCACATTTTCGGTATTTTCAGGTGAATGTGTAAGTTGTCAATCAATCAACTGGGTAACCAGAGTTTATAATTTTTTTCCAGGTTCAATTGCAGTGGAAAACTGCAAGGGTTCCTGGACGGGATTCAAGTCTACCTTCTATGCTGGAGAACGAGCTGAATTTAATGTGTTGCAGATGGATGGTTACGGCAATAATGTCAGCTTATCCACTGGCAGCTTAAGCTCGTACGACTTTTCTGTCAACGTGAGCACTGCGAGCGACTATCAACTGTTTTCAATGCCGAGCCTGGCTTTACTTCCTCCGGAGCTTGGATCAGCTTACAGGATCGTAACATTTTATCCTCAAGTTTCGGGAACATATTTGCTGAACGTTGGCAGCGACATCGTCAATATTTCGAATTCTCCCTTCTTATTCCGAGTTTTTCCAGGCATGTATATAAATATGTGGCCTTGCATCATGAACTGACTTCCTTTTCTTTGCAGGTCCTATCAGCATACCGACCTGCATGGGGTTTTGGCCAAATGGCAGCCAATTTCAAGCGGGAGTGAATGGCAGTTTGCAAATCTTTAAGCGAGACAAGTACAACAATAGCGTTTATGACCCTTATGTTTTTGTAGCTACGATAGTGAGCCTCTCGAGCGACATACCAGTAGGAAGCTTGCCGGATCTGGGAGTGCAAGTGCAAAACATCAACGGCACGGATTACAACCTGATGACTTTCATGTCAACTCTTTCTGGAGATTTTGCCTGTGAAGTTGGAAGCAGCACTGACACCATCACAAACTCGCCTCTTGATTTTTTCGTGAATGCGAGTAAGTTTTTGCTAGTATATATCTCATCTTAAGTGGTTTGTTACTTCAGGTTCGGTGTCCACTTCCGCATGTCTACCATCGTGGCCGAAGGGCTTGAATAGATTTCCTGCGGGAACTGAAGCCACGCTTCACGTCCTACTCAAGGATGTCTACAACAACACCGTGAGCTCAATTACTGGCGGATATGATTACAATTTTCAGCTGTCAGCCGACATTTCTGGAAGTGCTAATAGTTCTCAAGGATACAACGTGAGCTTTGCCGATAATCCTTCTGCAGGCATTAAAACAGTCAAATTCTATCCGACCTTGGCTGGTAGCTACTGGCTGGGTTTGTGGAGTCCCAGTGCAAATCTAACAGGGTCACCTTTCCAGTTTGCTGTTACAGCAGGTCTCTGAGATAATCTTTACTTTTCGTACCTTCTTTTGGCTTATTGTGTCTTTTTTTTTCGTATAGGCTCTGTATCTGTTTGGAATTGCACAGCCTCTTGGCTTGGTGGCGTAAATGTCTTCGACGCGGGAACTCAAGCAGTTATCCAAATCCTTCTCATGGATGCGTACGGGAATAATGTCAGCTTGGCAACAGGAAGAAACGACTCCTACAACTTTGTTGTCGAAGTACAAGGCTATCCTGATGCTATAAACAACTGGAATGTTACGGTTGTTCCTCAGAACTTCTCCGGGTACCAGTCCGTAGTTTTCTTTCCGGTGGATGCCGGACAGTTCAACTTAAGGATTGGAAGCAAGTCGAAGAACATATCCGGGTCGCCGTTTCCATTGACAGTAAACCCAGGTACTACCTCTTTTTTACCGTATTATATATTAACAGTTAAACACAGGATTCTTGTCCGTGCCGGATTGCTCTGGCGAGTGGCTCAGTGGTATAGAGTTCTACCTACAGAACACAACTGTGACATTCTTGCTCTATCCAAAAGATGTGTTTGGGAACGCTTTATCCAGCAATGGCCTCACCGCAGCAAACTTTACGGCGCTCGTTTATTTCCAATCAAACCTGAGTATGCTGGGAGTTCCAAGCTTGACCGTGACACAGATGTCGAACTACTCGCTGGCATTCAGATTTAACATGACCAAAGTTGGAAGATTTATCTTACAGATTGGAAATGCGTCAGAAGACATTTCTGGATCGCCATACTTGTTCACAGTGACCACAGGTTTGAACATAACGTTCTTTGATGTTATGCTAATCACTTTTCCTACTTTTTGTAGACAACGTGGATCCTTCGAGAACCATAATAGATGGTACTGGGCTAAAGAACTCAACCGCTGGTGCCAAGTCGGAGTTTCTTGTCCAACTTCGCGACAGTGCAGGAAACACAGCATACGCAAACGCTAGTGACATGAGCGTCCAGTTTACGAGGTTCGGCCTTCCTATCAACGTAACAACTAACATTTCTATCGTTCCCAAATCGAGTGGTGCATTCCTAGTCGCGTATGTGCCCACACTTGCTGGGGACTACAAGATTGTGACGCAATGGAAAGGGCTCGTTCTAGGGGGAGGTCCTGCAATAAAAAAGAGCGTTCTTCCAGGTGAATATTTTTCTTGCACACTTCGTTTCTTGAACTGATGCCTTTCGTAAATGGTTGTAGCGAGTATATATGGACCGTGGTGCAGAGCTACGTATTCTGGGGTCTCACAGGGAGAAGCGGGCTTGACTACGAGCTTCCTCGTCACAACTTTCGACGCATTTAACAACACAATGCCGACGGGGCCAGTGAATATCTCTATAAAGTTTTCTCCGGCTGTCACCCAGGCCACAACCATCACCAACAATCGAAATGGAACGTATACTGTCAAGTGCAACGTCACAAAATCTGGGACCTACGGTGTGTTTGTTTACGCCGGATCGTTAACGCCGAGCAATCTCACCAGTGGCAGCCCGTTCCAGATCACTGTTTCATCAGGTTCTACTTCTTTTTTCCTCGACGATTCAAGCCTGAGTGTGATTCTTCTTAACAGGTCCAATCGCAATATCTCAATGTCGCGGGGTGTTTATGGACGGAAATGTGATAAGTGAAGGCAGTGCGGTGAGATTCCTTCTCTTACTGCGAGACAAGTTCAAGAACAAAGTCTACCAGGTTCTAAATGAAACAGTCACTGCCATGTTTACGGCGTCCGTCTACACGACTGGTGGCGAGGGGCCGGTTTTCACGTCGGACATGACCGTCCAGCAGTTTGCTACATTTACTTACGCAAGCGACCAGGTGTTGATCGCTTTTACAATGACCGAACGCGGGGATTTCAAGCTCCAAGTTGCCAGTGGCCTTACGAAGGTAAACTCCGGAGTCCCATATTATTTTTCTATCGTGCAAGGTAAGCACACTGTCTAGTGCTCTGTATGACATAACTCACGGCTTGCACCGTGCAGAAGCTCCGAGCGTGCTCAACAGCACCTTCAACGGAACTGGCATCATAGACTCCACTGCCGGGGACCTTACTACGATTTCCATCACGCTCAGGGACCACTTTGGCTATCCAGTCGTGACGGACACAAGCCTCATCGTCGTAAACGCTTCGTCAATGGACGACACCTTCTTTCTACTCGCGAAGGTTTTCGAGCTTCAAGCAGAAGATGGAAGGTACGTGTCGAACTACACCGCCACCGTCGCTGGCGATTACACGGTTTCCATTTCATGGTCGGATGTTCGTCTAGTTTCTTACAATAAGACCGTCTCTCCAGGTACTTCCTCGCATTCTTTCTAAAACTTAACATAAGTTTTTCTCGTATCTCAGGTCCTCCTTTGCCAGAGCAGTGTGTCGCCAGTGGCGATGGTCTCTCGGGTGGCGAAGCTGGAACGAATCTAGAGTTCAACATCTCAGCATACGATCGGTTTCGCAATCCTTGTGCTCCCGGCGCCATCTCTTTCAGCGTCCAGTTCGATCCACCGTTCGCAAGCATGGCCGCAACTTGGGTTGGAGGCCAGGACTTCTCGGTGAATTATACCATCTGGAAGGCTCAAAACTACAGCATGACTGTCATAGCGGTGGGTTCCGACGCTCAAGTGCCACTCCCAGGCAGTCCTTTCCCTGTCACCATTTATCCAGGTACTACTTCCAACTTCGCAAAGTTTCTCTCTTTTTGGTATAGCCGCGATGAAAATTTCTTCCTCCAGGGCCGCCGGACACGACCGTTGCTTATGTCACCGGCGAAGGGGTGTCAATTCTAGCATCGGTGCTTAAATGGAACGAAGTCGTGGTGATCATGGTGGACGTCTTCGAGAATCCAGTGACGGTGGACAGCTCCGGCTTTAAACTCAGTGTCACGGGACCTGGAGCTTCCACTTATCGGAGCTTCGTCCTTCTTTCGCCAGGGAAGTATCTTGCCTCGTACAAGGTCCCTTCGCAAGGATTTTACGCGGTCACGGTCTCGTACGAGGATCTCCTTCTTCCCGAGTGTCCGCTCAACGTATCTGTTGGATCTGGTAACGCATTTTGCATCGGTCAAGTATTTGCGTTCTTCTTACTCTGCTCACTGCAGTTAAAGAGACAGCCAAAGATTTCAGAGCCACGATTTCACCTAACACCAGTCTACCTGCTGGAGAGGACGTGACCGTCACCATCTTTGCGAATTACACGACCAACAAGCCAATGAAATTCATAGTCGAGTTGGCGTCGGAAGAGCTTACGGTGGGACTGATACCCGACGAAAGCAATGGGAAGTATTCTGCGACTATCAACGCTACGCTCTCGGGCTCGTACATTGCTGACATTACCCTCTATGGTTCGCAAATCAAAGGGACTTACACTCTGCAAGTCAAACCAGGCAAGTTAGTTTCTCTTTCCGGAGTTGCAAACCAGTTTCTCAAAGCTTCATACCTCCAGGTGCTGTTCACGTTCCTCTCTGCGCTGTTATAGAGATGGCCGCAGAGAGCATAGCTACAACCGGGGTTCCAAAGCAAGTGAGAGTCCAAACCAGGGATAAATTCGGCAACAATGCTTATAGCGACGTTGACGAGAATGGAAACACTGTGACCTTCGTCATGATCCTCTCGGGCCCAACCATGGAGGAGTTTTCGATGGACTACGTATCAGAAGGGATGTTCGTCGGTAACTTTGTGGCTCGCGAGCCCGGCATTTATGACCTCTCCATCATGGCTGGCCTTGTGGATATCAGCGGCAGCCCGTTCATGGTAACTGTGTCTTAGAGAAGAGGCTTGGAAATTTTGTCACGAGACAAGCACTTATTATCAGCGAAACTATGAAATCTTACAACATACCGATCGACGATGGCGCTATATAGTTTCTACACTTAGTTTGTGCCGGTGCCTGCGCTTACGAAAAGCTTGGCCCATTTGTTACAGTCAGAGCCAGGCCCGTCCCCCTACACAGGAAAATCGTCGTCTGTAAGGTTGAGAATTCTTTGCTGAAATAAAAAGCAAGTTTCTATTGCTCCAACCTGGACTGAGTTGAGCTCGTAAGTTTGGCCACACGTACACTCGAGGTCCATTGCTTGGATGCAGGCTTCGGCGACCATGATCCTGCTAGCTTCGCCAACAAGAGTATCACCTGTGAGAGAACTTCGGTCAAAACTATGGCAAGTATTAATTTCTCGACCTTGGCCAAGGATAACGTCGCGACGAGTTCCTGACGTTGCCTTTAGCAGCGTGTTCAGATCATACGATGTGTAAGGTCCGTCAGTTAGTCTCCCTGGCCTGTGGAAACCTCGTGCTCGAGAGGGAAATCTTCATGAGAGTTTGAGAGTTTGGCACCTGATTATAGTGTACGGGAGTCCAGAGCTTCTCAAAAAATCTTCACCCATTTTTTTGTACTTGAGCACTCCAAACAGGTTCATGATACTGCGGTGCCCAGCATAAAAGTTGAAAAGGTTGGAAACGCAAAGAACTTGATCGAGCTTACTTCCACGGCAGCTGATCGCATTTTGTAACTCCAACAGACGAAACCAACACAAATCTCTGGATGGTTTTGGGAACTGCAGCAATGAGATTGCGTACTCCGATCCAGTCTGCTCGTGGAAAAGGATAAGAAAAGTTTTTTCTTCAAACCAAAGACGTACCACTTCAATCTAGCACCTGTTTGTTCCGGCGTATTGTCTCCAGCCCAGCGCTTGGATGGAAACGCGGTGGTTCCTGTGCAGCATAAAACATGAGTGACACCCTGCAGCCAAATGATAGTTAGATCAAGGTAGTCGTACAAAGAAAAAGAGAGATCACCTCGAACATGGACGGAACAAAATCTTCTGGATTCCTTGTATCCCCAACAACAACCTGGTACAAATTTTATCGATGGTTTCACCAAGAAAAGATAGAGAAACAATTTTTTGAGAAGAGCTTGCAATACCTGTAGCTTATCGCCAAACAACGATCGAGCTTTCTCAGCATTTCTCAGCAGCGCACGAACTTCTACACCTTTCTCGAGCAAAGACGCGACCGCAAGCTGCCCTGAATGGAAAAACACAAAAGTATCATTCGGCAGCGAAGAAAAGAAGAAAATCTCGATAAGAACTCGCCTACACCACCAGTAGCGCCTACAACAAGCACAAGCTTCTGCGAATACCGCGCATCCGTAGTTTCTGGAGCTGGAGAAGCCGCGGCGGCTACCACACCACGGCGCTTGCAAAACCCTAGGGAGCTGGAGCGCAATCTCTTTCCAGACCTTGTGAAGCCGAGAAACTCCAGGCGCCGAGACGCTGGAAAATCTCTGGAATTCCTCCCAATGTGAGCGCCACGGATCGTTCTTGGCTGCGCGCCCAGCGCCACAGCCGCTAGCACAGCCATTCTCCTCACAATGGGAAACGAATATCCAGTTTTCAAACTAGATAAGCATCTTCAACACCATACAGAGAATATGCGTTTCCCGGCACTTTTTGAAATCCAACTTGTTTCTAGGGTTTAGTTTTAGGGCTGTGGCTATGGCGGAGCCCGCGAGAATGCCGATGAGCCCTCAAGTGATGGTACGTGTGTTTCCACTGCTCTTGATCCATTCTTGAGCTGTTATTTGGCGTAATTCCAGTCGCTGTTGAGGAAGCTCTCGATCAACACTTGGTTGCGCGCGCACGGCAAGTTTGTGAGGCCGGAGCTCACGAAGAAGCAAAAGCAGGAGCTCAAGGAGTGCTTTGATTTGATTGATCTCGATGGCTCTGGTATGTTACTCTTTCCTCTTATAAAAATCTTCTTTTTCGAGCTGAGCTTTAAAGATCTTCGATCACTAAGCGAACTCTACCTCTAGCATTTTTATTTTTTCTTGCCAAAACTTTGTGCCTGATCTTAGACTGCCACTTACTTGTTCGATGACAGCATTTTTTTCTCAGGTGCCATCGACAGCGACGAGTTGCTGACAGCGTTCAACGTCTTGGGAATGCATGTCAAGCGGTCGGAAGTGGACAGAATGCTGGACGAAGTCGACGAAGATAAATCTGGTGAGGTCTGCATGAATTCACTCGCAGCATGACGAATCTGCCTGGATCACTTAAAGTTTTCTTGTAGGTGGAGTATCCTGAGTTTGTGCAGATCATGACCACAAAACTGGACTCCCAGTCCAAAGAAGACCTCGAAGAGGAAGGTTGGAGTTAGAAACTTGTGCATTCTCCACCTTGAACAGCTTCGAGTTTTTGCAGCCAAGCCCAAGGTTCAGCCTCTCCCTTTCCAATTGCTAGCACAAGCTTATCGTCGAAAGAAGGTAGTGCCTGGCCTTCGTGCTTTCCTCTAACCTCTGAAAGCTTTCTAGCAGATGATGGAAGCTGTCATGGGAGGAGACAAAGCTGCTCAGCAACGTCTGAGAGCAAAAGCTGATGAAGCAGAGTCTGAACGCTTGGCTGTTCTTGCTGCGATGGAAGCAGAAAAACAAAATCCGGTAGGAAAATCATGTTTGTGTCTATATATCTCGCTCACTTTTCTTTTCACATAGGCTCTTGCGTACAAGGAGCCTGGACGAGTTGATCTTCAGCAGCAGGTTCTCTTTCCTCTTCCTTCAGCTTGTTTTTTCAGTCACCTGATCTTCGAAAATTCACGTCTTTCAACCTCTTCCAGAAAGCACAGCTTCGAAAGATGGGTGCGTTCATCCGAACTCACGAATTGTTCACTAACACTGCTTTCGAGTTTTGTGTAGATGCCGGCTTCCCGGTCTACATTGCTGACAATATCGACCAGGACGTTAGAGATGCGCTCTTGGGTGTTCATGAAGTGCCGAAGTTCACCATCAAAAGAGAGAAACCTCCTCTTGTCAAATGTAAGAGCTTGTGATACGTGCGTAGCATGGGATAAAAGGTTTGCCCTGGTTCCAAACAGCCAGTCACCTGCCTTGTGGGAGGGAGCTAAGGCCGTTTACTCTGAGCCAACACATACGAGAAGTTTATCAAGCCGAGCTTATCGACGTGAAGAAACGTCGTGCTGCTGTAAGATATATAGACTGGACATACCTCTTCCTTCATGATACTGATGAAACAAGGATGCAAATCGTTCCAGGTCCGCCACAGGCCAGTGCTGGAGCAGCAGATGACCCATCTCAAGGCTTTGAAATCCATCCAAGAGATTGCCGAGAGGAACAACCGGAGGCTCTTCCGTTCGGCTTCGAGGTGTGGCTTCGAGACGGCTGCTGGCAGCACCAAGTTCAACAAGGCGAAGTATTTCAGATCAGCGTCCAGCATGGAAACCAGATTGTATTGACTCAAATCACCCGAAAAGCTTTAGCAACCTCGATTTCAAACCCGTAAGCTTTCGAGCTTGTTCTTTTTCTCGCAACTATCTTCACCATTGATGACGCTATCCACACTCCACTGGATTGTTTTTCCAGCGCAGATTGGAACCACTGTCTCCGAATCAAAGCTATACGCTGTTGGCACGCACCAAGGGCTCTTTACCAGCGTCACCGTTCCCTTGTTCGCGGGAAGGCCATAAAAGTTTGGACCGTTTAGGCTCGTAAACGCTTCCAGCAGCCTGGAAATATACCAACTCAAGAACAATGATAAGAACAAGAGAAACGAAGGAAACGAGACTTGCCTCTTCGAAAACTTGGGCGTACAGAGGTAGAGCAACCGGAGCACTGTAAATTCCAGCACACCCGCAGGACGCTTCTTTGGCGTGAGGAGCACTGTCGGTACCAAAGAAGTATTTTTGGCTCCCGCTCGTCACAGCTTTGATCAGGCTTGTCGTGGTTTTCGTTTGTAGAAAACCAGCACAAATAAAAGAGATTCTCGTTTAGTGTGGTTGCGATTGAGTAGCAAGTGCTGTGGAGTTAACAGTAGCAGCCACATTTCCTGTGAGGCCGAGAGAAACCACGAAAGAAAATCTACAAGAAATCGCGTACCCGATGTAACGCTCTCCACAAACTCCACGGTATCGCGAGTAGTGATGTGCTCCATGACCACCTTGAGCTGTGGAAGCTTGGTGACGAGCAGCGAGAGAATTTTATCAACGAAAACCTTCTCGCGATCAAAGATACCGACGCTGGTGTCCGCCACCTCACCGTGCACCTAGAGGAGCTGCCCTCCTTTCATAAGAGTGAAGAATCGAAGAGAATGAGGAAGATGGAACTTAAGCTTAAGAAGATTCCGTGCGGGATTATCTGGGATACGTTCGATCGGCGTGCACATCTCTGGCGCTGCTCAATTCCGCGATTCCAGTTACTTCTCACAATGGATTCTAATTATGGTTCCGAGCTAGACTCTAAATGGGCAGGAGCACATACAGATACTCTACTAATACTGAATCCTCGGAGTATCAAACGGTTTTAAATACCATGGCTATGAGTACCCTAATAACAGGGTCCTGCAACGCCCAATTGGATGCAGCAATCCCATTACAAGCAATATTCATTAAATTTTATTTTTTTTATTGTAGTTTGATTTAATATTTATATGTAAAACAAAATATGTGTCAAATTTCATAAAGGTGTTCTACAGAGAAGAATAACTCCATAAAAAGTTGATTATTTCATTGAAGAAGGACTTGCAGAAAATATCATATGTCTAGTGTTTAGGCCATGTATTCAAAGAATGAATAAAGAAGAAGAAAGAGTGAAAATACAAAAGGTTTAGCATTTTGGAGCTCAAATAAATTATTGATATGATTGAGATATTAATAAATGACAAGGCTGCAAGATGAATTTATACATTACATAATATATGATCATTTGTATTAGATGCCCATAAAACTTTGTTTGGAAATTTTGCTTCATAAATTACTAAATTACAATCATTTTGAACTGTAAAATATGTTGGTAAAAAACATTCAAATTTATTATTGCAATACTTATTTGAAGACCATAATACCTTCTCATTATATTTTAAAACTAAATTCCCATTATTTTGCAATTTTAAAATACAGTTAAACAAATTCATAAAGGAATATGATTTATCCCAAATTATCCTACCGTTTGAATAAAGTATAAGAATACAGTTCATTTTTAAAAATAATATATTCCTACCATTAGGTGAAACTAGAAAACTATCACTATAAATAAATGAATCATAATATAAAATACTAGATCTTATATCACAAAATACTGATTTATCATCAAGACTCTTCATACTTAAAAATGTTGATAAAGAATTAGAATCATCTGTTTTTAGATTATATTTTAATATATATTTAGTACCATCTTTTAGAAAAGAATCTGAAGAATATAAGTTTATAGTGTCTATTGTGAATGCTAATAAATTTGTTAAACCTCTTACTATTTTATCACCTATAATAGTTGCACCTGTATTTTCTACAGAACATTTATCTTTACATTGAATAAGTACTGAAACAATTCCTTTTGAAGTACTAACTTCAACTTCATCTCCATAAGTTGTAGAATAACTTTCATCTCTATTAATTTTTTTTAATAATTCATAAAACGCTGTAATAACTTTACCAATATCATGTGGACTTAAATAGTTTGTTCTTCCAATTATAGGTTTCTTTGGAGCAATAATTTTATTGAATTGTAAAACCAATATAACTATAATAAGTATAGTGTTTATTAATCTAATTTTATCCATTTTAATAACATTGAGAAATTTGTCAAATATAAATATTATCAAGAGCTTGTGTCCAGAAGAAGAAAAAGACAATGAAAAAGTAAAAACAAAGATGAAAACAAAGACAAGAAAAACAAGTAAGATGAAATTGTATAATACAAAGTCTTAAAAGCCCTACTTTTATAGCTCTGAAAACTAATCTGGTCAAACCTCTAATTAATAGAGGAACTTAGTTTAGATATTAATAATGAGCCATGCATTTGTATGAGAATTATTTAGTTTCGAATCCCATGAGTAAATATCGAAGCCATATGTGATAAAAATAAAATTAGTATATTAAAAAGTGGTAAGAATATTTCTATATTTGCTAAAGTAAATAATTGATTTATTTTTCACGTCAAATTCAAGTTGTAATTCTTAAAAGAGGCATTATCTTGTTATAGAGTGTGATGCATGGTGATAATAAAGTTCAAAGACAATACATGTTTCTCAGTTCCCCCTGAAAAGTGGTTCCTCCAACTTGATTTTCTTAATCTTATTGAATTAATGATTTTATTATTTTATTAATGAATATTTTACAACCTCCTTTGTTGTGGTGAAACCACAGCTATACGCTCATTTGGCAAATATATATTGGCATAATAAATTTGATGTATTGGAATCTGTGTACTGAGGACAATCATTATTACATTAAAATTACCCAGCTGTTTACCATTACCTCTCTTTTAGGTCAATCTCGTTTTCTTTCAACGTCCCACCTCTCAATTTTCCTTGCACCATGCTATTGTAACATCATGACTCCAATCCACCTTGAGGTAGCTTTTTAAAATACAGAGACTGTTCCCATTCCTTCTGGTTAAGAATACTCTCAAAGTCCACATTTGAAGAAAAATATGTTAAAATGAAAGACACTTTACAAATACTATACCTCTTTTAGGCTAGTTCTCTTACACAATCCATGACCCCATAGAAGTAATTATTGTTGAGCTCATACCCATTTCTCTCTATTAGAAATTTAAAACAGAGAAAAGAAAAATGAGTAATTCAAAGCATTTAGTTATAGCCCACCCAAAATATAAACGAACCAATATGGTACTCAAACATGACCATATTCAATTGAATATCTAGTATATGAAAAAAAATTAATGTTTTTAGGGGGGTTGATAAACTTATTCAACATATTGAACTAGCACTTGGAATGCTCATTTTCTTTTATAAGCTTGCATTGGCTGATCCATCTTTCCATAAGTTGTGCTTAGATTCTATTAGTTTTGATAAACTATTCCACAAAGGCAAGGATCAATGTCTATTGCACTTGGTCCTCAAGAAGCATAAAATCATTCGTGCTGCTATTGCAAGAATCTCTGTGAGAAGGAGAGTTTTCCAGTTAGTAAAAAGATTTTGGTAGCTTGTTAACAGTGTGTTAAAATAGGAAATATGGCAAGAAAATCTCAACCTTGAAGCAAACGTGTTTGATGAGCTTAAGAGTCAGCTCTACAAAGTGTTCTATAACAAATTAGACTGGCCAAATTGGGTGGACTACGTGCCAATGTCCACAAGAGCAGAACTCATGGCCAAGATAAACATGCATGTTTCTTTGTCTCTGATTCCAATCAATAATGTTTTCGTATTTTAAAGGTTCAAAAGGGAGAAAGCCTGGTGCAAGCTGTGCAAAGAGGACAAAGACAGCAACATAGAATCAGCAAGTATTAAGGTGTAACAATATGAAAGGAGAAGACAATGGAGAGAATGAAGTACAACATAAAAAAAGGAGATGATGAGGCATAAAGTGTGGCAGAAGATTGAAGAGGACAGAATACAAAAGGACACACCCAGCACACAACATGGTAAAACATGTAAAAGACAAGTCTCCTACATTTAAAAACACAATCTCAGTGAGAGCTGTGAGCTGGATGTTAGGCATACCTAATGCTTCTATAAGTGGAGAGGAGGTATAACCAACACCAAAAAATGTGGTCCAAAGTTTGTTCTCAATCTCTTAGAAGAGAATGCCTTAACAAGTATGGCTATCATGTTGGGGAAGCTTAGATATCTTGTCAATGTGCTGCGAATAACATGCAACACCGGCAGCGCTTACACGAATTGCATGCAAGTCTTCTCTACAAATTTCACATACCCTATCAAAGCATCCATCAAAGTCTTCACATAACCATGTCTACCGAGGCTGGCCCGAACTTGAAATGGACAACCCTTGGTTGGGAAACCAAGAGTAGAATTCTACGTGGACGGATATTATTAGGGCTTTCTTATGGTTCTTGAGGAATGGAGCTCGACGAGGCGCTGAGCAAGAGTTTGTAGGAATTGATGCACCAGAGCTCAAATTCTCTGTGAATTTTGACTAGGTGGCTGCAAATACAAGCTGAAGAAAGAGGATGCTGAAGATCAATCTCCTTGTATGCGAGAGCCTATGTAAAAAGACTACGAGAGCCTATGTGAAAAAGACTTATCATCTGATAGAGAACTTCAAGGTTAGATGAAATAAAAAACGCCAATTAGCTAAATGGAAAAAGAACAAGTTGCTAACCAGTTTTGTGGTCATGATCTGCACAGACGGATACTCCACCTACAAAACCAAAAACAAAAAGAGAAAAACTTCAAAGTCGCCATGCTGCGAGTGAATTCATGCATTCTCAGGACATTGAAGGCTGTCAGCAATTCGTCGCTGTCGATGGCACCTAAGAAAAAAAAAATGCTGTCATCGAACAAGTGACAGACTTTGCAAAAGAGAGAAATAAACTGTCCTTGTGATCGATCTTTCAGCTCAGCTAGTATGCCTCATTTAATGAAAAGCGAGTAGAACATTTTCAGATCAGCGTCCAGCATGGAAACAGGATTGTACTGACTCAAAGCTTGAGCAACCTCGATTTCAAACCCGTAAGCTTTCCAGCTCGTTCTTTTTCTCGCAACTATCTTCACCATTGATGACGCTCTCGACACTCCACTGGATTGTTTTTCCAGCGAAGATTGGAACCACTGTCCCCGACTCAAAGCTATACGCTGTTGGCACGCACCAAGGCGTCTTTACCAGCGTCACAGTTCCCTTGTTCGCGGGAAGGCCGTAGAAGTTTGGACCGTTTAGGCTCGTAAACGCTTCCAGCATGTCAAGAGCTCCGGCCTGGAAACATATCAACTCAAGAACAATGGTAGGAACAAGAGAAAGAAAGGAATCGAGACTTGCCTCTTCGAAAACTTGGGCGTAGAGAGGTAGAGCAACCGGAGCACTGTAAATTCCAGCACACCCACAGGACGCTTCTTTGGCTCTTTTCTCGTGAGGAGCACTGTCAGTACCAAGGAAGTATTTATTGCTCCCGCTCGTAACAGCCTTGATCAGTGCTTGTCCTGGTTTTTGTTTTTGTAGAAAACTCATTGAAAATCCAACACAGATAAAAGCAAAAGAACAACTTACTGTGATGTTCTCGCTTAAGAACTGGGAGACAATAAAAGTGTGGTTGCAAGCCGCCCTGAAAGATTGCGTTGCGATTGAGTAGCAAGTGCTGTGGAGTAACAGTAGCAGCCACATTTCCTGGGAGATTGAGAGAAACAATGAAAGAAAATCTACAAGAAATCGCGTACCTGAAGTAACGCTCTCCACAAACTCCACGGCATCGCGAGTAGTGATGTGCTCCATGACCACCTTGAGCTCTGGAAGCTTGGTGACGAGCGGCGAGAGGATTGTATCGATGAAAACTTTCTCGCGATCAAAGATATCGACGCTTGTGTCCACCACCTCTCCGTGCACCTAGAAAAGCTGGAGTTCGTGCCTTAGCAAATCAAAGAGTAAGAACCAAAAACGAACACAGTTACCAGTAGAGGCAAGGAACTCCTCGCCATTTCTTCCAAGACTGGCATACATTTTCCAAACAAATCCGTCACTCCAGCTTGCGAGTTTGTAGTCGCGCCAGCGGGGTAAAGCTTCACGGCAAAAACAGCTCCACTCTTCTCTACAAATTTTTTTGGTCTCTTCTAAGAATCAACTAGAATGTGGAAGAAGGAACTTACTTGCAAGCTTGATCTCCGAGGTGGTAGTGTCATCGGTGAGATAGAGTGTCATCAAGGGGGTGAAAGTGGAATCCGGTGGAAGAGCTTTCAAGATTCGTTCTCTGTAAGCCAGCGCTTGAGAAAGTGTGGTAATGGGAGGCTTCAAATTGGGCATTACAATAGCGCGCTTGAACACACTCGCACTGCTCGAAGAAAAGAAGGAAAGAGCGCTCAATCAAACCAAATCCAATCGAGGAGAGAAAGAATTCTACCTGTGCGGCGCTACAGATGCAAGACCATTGCCGTCTCGCAGGTGAAGATGCCAATCATCGGGCTGGACGATCGACAGTCGCAAAGACTCCATTGGAAGGAAATCCTAGAACCCTAAAACCCAAAAAACATGTTTTAAAACTTTAAATTGGTTTGTTGGGTTATCTATAATGCACATAACAAATACATATTATCCATTTCTAATAGTTTAATGTCAATGGGTGATAAGAATTAAGCAAGTAACATATATTAGCATAAACTGGCACATTTTTTTCCTCCAAAAAATTGCAGTAGTAGACAATCCAATTTTTTATTATCCAAAGCATGAGTCAAATTATATATTTACCATATAAGTATGCTATTGCATTTATATTTCAAATATAATAAAGTTTGAAAGCATGATAATATAGTAGTAAGTTCATATAATTACATTATAAAGAAACTTTTTTACATTGGGTTTGGTTGTGCCTCTCCACTCTTGCTATATGCTTCATCACCTTTCAATCAGTATTAAGAAAATCAATTAGTTACTTTGCATTGAATGTGCTTAAGCATCGAAAATATAGGTATATCTGAAGCTTTGAGCAATTATATATTCAAAGATTCTAAAATTTTATTTATTAAATATTTAAATTATTACATTTCACAAAATGCAATTGCTTAGTATTTTAGCTCTACTACAATTAACACCCAATGTAGCACACGTGGTTTTTACTATTTATTCTATAGTGATTTATTATAAGATAACCACAAAGCGGAACCTAAACCATCCATGTGTGATATATCATATGCCACATACCACATGCCACATGTCCAAAGGACAATAGTATGGAACCCAAGTTTTAATGCTTTAGGCCACTAAACAAAGGGATAGTGCCAAACTCTTAGCATGGAGCCAAGAAGTGATAGCATTAGAGTATAGAATGGCTCCTAAGCATATAGTTTAAGGAACAAAGGGATAGGAGTATGGAGCGACTTGGAATAGTCTTAAAACATCTAGTATCCCAATGCTAAAACCAACACGCAAAATAGAGCCAAACGGAGTCTAGTGTTATTTCAATATACCAGTGGTCTAATGCAAGGATATGGGTACTCCACTAGCTAATATGGTGTGAAATTTGGGCTTAGACCTAAGTCAGATGTAAAACAAAGACAGGCATGCAAGCAAAAGTTAAACTATGCCTCAGGTTGGTTGGCCATGCTTAACCTACCCACTATCCTTATTATACATTTAGACCCCACAGCCCCCCTCCCCCCTTGAGGAACACATGTTTTTGGCTTTCACCCTAAGCTTCCTTTAGTATCTCGAGTTAATATCTAGGATAAACTTGAAACTTACTAAATATGGAATGGTGCTAGATTGTGAATTTAGACATGGGACAAACACCATTGTGTTCAAGACAATCTTTACATTCCGTAAATATGCCAAATGAGCAAATCTAAACACTTTCCATAAATAACATTTGAGATTGAAATGAGACTAACATAAAAGGCATGATAGCAAAAGTGTTTGGCAAACACAATAAACTATCATTTAGCGTTATTGAGAGACTAGTCTCAATACGCGAGGGTTTTTGTCAAACTAGTGCAAAACAGAGCAAAAGAGACTTAAGAGCCAGGTTAAGTATGCTCAGCTAGAAACACATAGGAGTTCCTATCTTATATCCATCTGGCAAAGTACAGATGCTAAGCCCACTAAGCTAACACTTGAACAAGAGGGGCTGATAAAGGGAACCAATAGTACCGACCTTCTGCCATTGTGGCAGTAAGGAAAGAGTGTCCATAAGGATTGGCCGACAGGTAACTTTCGATACCCGAAATCACATTTGTAACACCCAGAAAGTAGCATTTAGATTGATCCTAAATTTTTGTTATAGATGCATTAAAGTTTGATAGAGTGAAAGTGTGGCATCTTTCCAAAGCAAGTGAACAAATTAAGATTCTTAAACACTTTCCAAAAGTTCTCAATAAAATGTTTTAAAAATGTATGATACATTACAAGATGTTAAATTAACTATAAGAATTCGGTTTAAAACTAAAGTGGTTAAAAATGTGTTTGGGTCTAAGGATATGATTTATCTTGGGTACCAATTTTCTTCTAAAGACTTGTATATTAATCTTAATAAACTTGTGGTTGTTCTAAAATTCCTTACTTGAAGATATATTAATGATCTAAAACATTTCCTTGGTAAAGTGTAATATTTCAATTCTTTTATTAATCATCTTTTTGATCATATTTTATTATTGCAAACATTGTTGAAATTGTTGATATTTCACTATTGAGATTGTTGCTTAAGTTATCAATACTATCTTTTGTTTGGTCTAAGTGGGTATTTACAAATTTTAAAGAAGTGTTAAAAACTCCTTTAATTGTGGCATATCACAATTTGTATATGAATGCTTCTAATATTAATTTTTTAAGTGTGTTAATGTAAAAGAGAATGGGTGGCACTATTGTAGGATTTGTTAATTTTGAATCTCATCACTTGCTCACTTTGCATACATAAATGATTTGTACCAGATCACACAATACTATAAAGATAATATAGAGGAGTGTTTAGCAGCAATTTAGGGTTTTAAAAAGCTTTAATTACGGGGTGATCATACTTTATTATTAAAGAAAAAGAATTTAGTTCGTTATATTGCTTAATAGGTTTTGAAGCTTAAAATATATAATTTCAAAGTTGTTGATTGCTCAGGAAATTTTATAACTAACGCTAATTCTCTTTCTCAAGCTCTTCTCCATTATTCACTCTCTCCTCTTAGGGAGCTTATTATTCAGCTTACAAAGATTTGTAATTTTGATATAATTGTATAATAAAACTAAACTTAAAAAGGATTTTGATGGGTCAAATACAAACTATATTATGCAAAACTATATGTAAAATTAGTATATAAGAAGCTATATATAATAGAAATTAGAACTGTATATGTAAAATAATAGTTTTATTCATTTGCAATAATAAAAATTACTATTCCTCAATATGAAAATGCTCTAGAAGAATAGGCTTGAGTAAAATGTGTAAAGCCACAAACTTGATGTTGTGGAGACTATAAATAATTGCTCACTCTAGTCGGTGGAAACACAAGTAGCCGTCTGTGAAGATAAAACATGTTAATTGCCTTCATTACAAAAAAACAATAATAATTCAGAAAGAAAAGGGATTGAGAGTACATAATGTGCCTCCAAGTCAAATAATTCAATAATTGAAGTGAACACATTCTATCCACTTATCCACTTAACCTCACATTACAAGAAAATAAATGAAAGAAAAAAATCTATCTACAAATTCCTGATCCACGAATCTAGGATGAGACACACCTAAAACTTTGACAAGGCCCTATCAAACTCCTTGGCCTGTATACAAAACTAGATTTTTCAACCTTACCAACTAGAGAAAAAGAAAGAAAGAAGAGGACTCATAGCTAATGATACAATTCTTACTTTGAAGTAATAGTCCAATTTTCTACTTGTAGCTTGTGTGTACACACAAATGCCAATGATGTATTGGCCATGGTCTTGCCATTAACAGCTTAGGACTAGATAGCAATTCTTTGTTTCAGAGAAAAGAATCAAAGAAACATAATTGTTTAAATTGTAACTAACAACCCAAAAGTTTGGCATTCATATGCTCTCCATTTTTGTGCTAGATTTATGCTATGATAATGCTAGTGTTTAGGTGCACACAATACTTTTGATTATCATATAAAAAAACAAAGAAGAGAATGATATACTCAAAACATATATACTAAATTTGCAAAAAACCTTATCTTGGTAAAAGAAGTCCTTGAACTTGCAAATGAGATAATTTATATCACCATAATTGTTATGATGACTATGAGGGCATTGTTGGGAAGTTGTAAGGCCGTGGCAAAGCACTAGGGCATTAAAGCACTATGACAACTATGCTCATGACCATGGCAAATTGCTGTATAGCTATTTTTCCATGATTAACATACTAAAGTTGTTGAGAATTCAAGAGCCTTGTGATCTAGAGTGCCATAACCAAGCATGATATAAAATTTACCCTAATGGACAAGGGTAAATATGATTAAGTGTTTGTAAGGAACCAACTCCCGAGGTGTTGTAGGTTGAAGGATTCTTGAAAGCATGACCAAAATGATAAAGAGTTCATCAGATGATATTGAGTCCAAGCTCAAGTCCGAGATCGACTCTAAGACTGAGTTTGAGACCGAGTTCAAGATCGAGTCCAAGACCGATTCCGAAACCGAGTTCAAGACCGAGTCTGAGACTAAGTTCAAGACCGAATCCAAGATACAAGATCAAGTCTAAGACTGTAGCGCATGTGGTTTTTACCCTTTATCCTATGGTGATTTACTATAGGATAACACCACGGAGTGGAACCTGAACCCATGTGCCACATGTCATATGCCACATGTCCATAAGACAGTCGTGTGGAACCTAAGGTTCAAGGCCTTAGGCTACTGAACGAAAGAACAGTGCCAAACTCCCAAGCATAGAGCCAAAGAGTGATGGAACTGGACCACAGAGCAACTCTCAAACATACAGCCTAAGGAGCGATCCTAGAGTATCCAGCATCCCAATGCCAGGACCAGCATGCAAAACGGAGCCAAACGGAGTTTAGTGCTATTTCAGCATACCGGTGGCCTAACGTGAGGATATGGGTATTCCACCAGTTAGCATGGTGTGGAGTTTGGGCTTAGATCCAAGTTGAATGCAGAACAAGGATAGACATATAAGAGGGAACTAAACTATGCCTCAGGTTGGTTGGCCATGCCCGACCTACCCACTATCCCCCCCCACCCCTTGAGGAACACACGCTTTGGGCTTTCACCCCAAACCTCCTTTAGTATTAAGAGTTAGTTTCTAGGACAAGCTCAAAACTTACTAAATATGGAATGGCACTAGATTGCAAATTTGGACACAGGATGAACACCATTGTGTTCAGGTCAATCTCTACATTCTGTAGATATGCTAAATGAGCAAATCTGGACACTTTCCATAAATACCATTTGGGACTGAAATGAGACTAACACAAAGAGCATGATAGTGAGGGTGTTTAACAAACACGGTAAGCTATCATCCAGCGATATTGAGGGACTAATCTCAATATGCAAGGGT